TATAAATTATTATTCCCTTGTTTTTAAAATTTGTTGAAAAGAATGTTCCAAGTTTGTCATTAGACTTTTCATTTTTTTTGGCAAATAGAATTTTTTAATTTTGTTTAGTCAACATGTGATTTTCCCTTTATGATTTAGGACTCTCTTCCATAGAGTCCTTGTCCATTTTGTGTCTTAATTATTATAATTAATTATATTTACCTTATTTCTTATGGGTTAAAAAAAGTTGTTTAATTCTGAATTCTATTTGATTTGGGAGGGAGGGGAATATGTATTTCTCTCTTTTGGACTGCGACCAGCACAGCTAGAGAGCGGATGACGAGTCCTGAGTAGCAGCAACGGGGGATTGAGAAAAAGGAAGAGACAGACAGACAGAGGCAGTAGGGAAAGCTGGGACCCGGTGGGACAGCTGCCCTCTGATGGAGAGACAGTGACCCAAAGCCGGTGCAGCACGTTTATTTTATACAGTATGATTCCAGGAAGTTTTACTAGAGTTTAAGACAAAGGAAATTATGTGAAATCATGGTTAAAGATCAAGCTGCAATTCTTCATTCTCGTAGCTTCTTTGTAATTGTCACTCCTGGCTGAGCCCAGATAATTGCGTCCGTTCCTTGCACCTGGCTGAACATAGATAATGAAACCCACCCCGTGGCACTTGAGCTAAGGGTCAGGCTGACAACATAACTGCTTCTGGCATGGTATGTTTCCAGGATGGCTCTGTCGACACCATTGGACTCAGCTGACTATCAGCTCATGTGCCTTCCCTGGCGCTCTCTACAAATATGGAGGTTCAAATTTGATTTTCTTTCCCCCAAAGAGCTAATTTTCTTCACTCTATTTGTTTCCAAAAGGGCTCTTTAGCTAGAAACAGGTTACTCAAAAACTGAGAGGATCTCCTTTCTAACTGGCCATGGAGAAGGGTAATCTGACATGTGGTTTCAATTAGTAATGCAGCTGGGCTGGTTTCCTAACTCCTATGGGGCCACCAGCTACAGGGAGCTAGGGAGCAGGAGGTAGGACCTGAAATTGAAAGGGAGGTGACAGTGGGGTGCCATCATGCTCTCCCAGGCTCTGCAGGAAAAGGGGATTTACAGATGTGGCCTGAGTACCTTTTAGATGCCCCTTTCTGCCAGGCTGCCTGGCTTATGGGAGGTGCTCCCTGTAGCTGACCGTGGTCTCTAGCTCCTGAATATTCCATTGCAGACCTCTGTAGTTAGGAAACCCCAGCTTCAGCCCGCAGGGATCTCAAGAACAGCAACAAAAACACCCCCAAAACAACAACAAAAAACGAACCTAAGGCTGATCCCAAAACATGGTCGTGAGCCTTCGTTGCTGGCCCTTTAAACACAGCTGGCCACCTCAATAAGCACATAAAACGGAGCTGTAGGCGACAGTACCTGTCTACAATATTTATCCAAGATTTATTTGTCCTTTTGAATCTTTGTTCTTAATTTTTCAATCTTCGGCTCGCCCTGCCCGTCAGTTCTGGACATCTGCTTCTGTTTTCTACAACTGATTTGAATTCCCTTGTTACCTCTTGGGGCGGCATCTCCCTTGATCTTAATGTCACTGTAACATCAGATAAAAGGCATGCTGCCGGCCTCCGCCACAGAGAACTTTCACCAAGCGCCATAGGAGCCCCCGCTTCTGAGGAAAGGTGCACTTAGGCGTGGGGGTGACCTCTGTGGAAGACAGAGACTAACAGTTCACCCGAATCCTGACACCTCACAGGCCCTTCCACTCACCTTAGCCAGTTCACTAGGAAATACCAGAGAGACGGCAAAACAGAGGAGACGTGGACATCTCTATGCCCGGAAGGTAGGCCTGGCTTTCACTTTGTCCTAAAGGGATGGACACACAAGGAAAACACAATTCCTTGCCAGGTCGGATGAATTGATCAGTGATCAGTAGCTCACCAGTTGGGGCAGCCGAAGCCTTTCCCATCTTGTTCTATCCTCATCGGCACTTTGATACGTGGGAACTAGAGTACGTGTTTCAACTCACTGTGCTGTAGTTCCCACATAAATAAAATTACAGCTCAACCGCCTCCAACACTTCAAAGGCCAGATATTAGCCACGCCTTTTATTAGCCTCTACGATCTAGGTGTGGTCATTGTGCTGCTCTGCCTGATAGCAAGACTCTGAGCTATATCATAAAACAAAACTTGAGAGTGAGCTTTTACTGTTTAAAACAGCCCTGGTGTCCTTGAGGTGACCCAGGAGGGCCTCCTGCCCTGGCCCCTGCCTGCCTCTCTGTCCGCACCTCGGTCACTGCCCCCTTGCTCAGTCTGCTTCAGCCACGTGCCCTGAACACCCCATTTCATTTCTCTCTGCCCGGGACAGTCTTGCCTCAGGTTTCCAGGCCCCATCCCTCACTTCATTCAGGTCACTTCAAATGTCGTCTCCTCAGAGAGCGCTTCTTTGATTTGCCTACTTAAAACAGCAGCCTTGGTCATTCTCAATTCCTTGCTTTATTTTTCTTTGTAGCACTTTATGTGACATTTTATTCACCTGCAAATACACACACACACACGTTTATTGTCTCCCAGCTAGAATGTAAGGTCTGTGAAGGCAGAAACACTGATTTGTTCTTCTGTGTGTTTTCCCTCCTTGATCAGTATCTGACACAGAGTAGATGTTCAACAACTGGCAGCTTAAAAATATCCAAATGTGACTACCATAGTTTACACAAACCTAGAGAAAATCTGCCTTCCAAGACTCCAATTATAATAACTCATTTTCTCCCACCTTGGGCTCTATGATCATCATGATAGGAAAATGGCTTTTATTCCCATCAGCAAATGATTGTATAAGGAAAGAATTTCTGGAAAATAGTATTTAATGAGCCTTCCATGTGAAGACATTTCATAAATACCAGCAGATGAACCCTCATGGAAGCCCTGTAAGGCAGGCATTATCTCCACTATCACAGATAAGGGCACTGCAACTCTGGGACTCACTTGCATAATGCCATGTGTGCTGAAGGTTCCTGAGTCAGGGACTCAGACTAGCTGACTCCAGCAGCTGGGCTTTCATTCTACTGCTGATAGTATTCCGTGAGAGGTACACTGCCGGAATATTGTCAGAGATCCTTAACTTACATTATCCATCCAGAAAGAGAGCTCAATGATTTAACCAATAACTGAGCTCCTGGTAGGTGCACCTGGTCTCTAGGTTTTCTGACATCCACCCGGCCCAGCAAGTGACAGCATAAAATAAGTAAAACTTAAAAAAACCCATGAGACACTTGTGCCCGTTGCCTAGGAACTACAGACCCCTATACCTTGTTTTGCTCTGGTGGACAGAGTTGTTTCTGAGCTGCTATTTTCCAAAGATGGTGCAGGCGATAGAGTTTTTGGAAAGAATAGCAAGGCAGACAGCACTAGTTTGGCTCAGTGGATAGAGCATCAGCCTGCGGACTGAAAGGTCCCAGGTTCGAGTCCGGTCAAGGGCATGTACCTTGGTTGCGAGCACATCCCCAGTAGGGAGTGTGCAGGAGGCAGCTGATCAATGTTTCTAACTCTCCCTCTCCCTTCCTCTCTGTAAAAAATCAATAAAATATATTAAAAAAAAAAGAATAGCAAGACAGCTGGTTCCTATAAAAGACAATATATATTCATTTGCTAGGCACAGGGCTAGGAACTGGAGACATAGTGATGAATAAATAAGATAGACAATGTGTTTGGTCTTATTTATCTTACCGGCTAAAAAGGATCTTACGGAGCTAAACTTATGCTGCTTCCGTAACATTGTTACGCTTTCATTTATTTAATCAACAGCTGTTTATGGATTACATGCTGCATGTCATGCTTTGTGTTAAGAGGAGGGAATAAAATGATGAGCAAAGCCAGACATGATTCTTGCCTTCATGGAGCTTACCGTTTAATGAGGAAAACATTAAATAATTCCATAGCATACATGGTGCTGTGAGATCCTACCAATAGGGGAGACCGGCTTCCTTAGGTGAGGAGATTCTTGCTTGAGGAAGTACCACTTAAGCTGACATGAAGGTTAACTAGGAGTTAACTCGGCAATGAGGGGAGGGAAGAACATTCCAGGCAGCTCGAACAGCATCTGAGAAGATCCTGGTGGAGAAGGAGAGATGGGTGAGCAGGAAGGATTTTGAAAGAGGCCAGCTGGAGAGCTGAGAATAAGGAGCGCCCTGCTGTCAGGTGGGCCTGAGCAGTAGGTAGGGCAGGCAGGTAGGGTAGTGCACCTTCCCAGTTGGTCTCTAGTTCATGGTCATGGTGCTCCTGCGAGTCCATGCTGGAGACACGGAACTTTGAAGCAGAGAGGCGGCTGCATGGGCGGCAGAAAGACTAGGTGGTCGCTTGTCAGTGCCCCCTTCAGTACCGGGATAGAGTGCTGTCGGAGAGCCCAGTGATTTAAAGTTCTTCAGCGGTTACTTGTAAGTTTCTCAGCTATTGTGGGAATAAAAGTATTTCCCTTTCATGGTTCTTAATGAGACTCGACTGAGTTAATCTATTAAATTATTTAGCACAGTGCGTGGCTCATGGCAGGTGATCCACAGATAATAGCTATTCTTTTTCTTCAGCTGCTCATGGAGGCAGTGATAGTGCTGGTTTCCTCCCACGGTTAAGATATGTGGAGGCATGAGGCTAGGCCTCCTTTGCGCGGTCCTATTTTTTTTTTTTTTTTTCACTTTAAGAGCCTACAATGGCCAGAGCCGGTTCTGATGCTCCTTAGGAGAGCTGGGCCATTGTCTTCTTCATCTGCCTGGTGCACCATGTGCATTCTTTTAAAAGCCACCTCTCGCTTTCCTCACCTTTGTAGGTGGATGGGTATCTTTCCATTTGGAAATCTCCATCCCACACCCGGCAGGGAAGCCCAGCAGGAGAAAGGCACACCCACCACGCCCAGCCCGGGCCCGCCCTGCCGCGGCGCCCACCGAGGTCCTGCCCGCAGAGCCCGGGTCTCCGCGCGGCGGGACGGGCCAATCAGAAGAAGTTTGGCCCTCTGCAGTTTCCGTCCGCTCACTAGGCGGCGCTGCGGCGGCCCCGGCTGCTCCCGGGCTGTCGCGGGCTGGGGCTGTGGGGCTGGCGGCTGAGGCTCGTGGCCATGGAGTGGGTTTCGGAGTCGGCGGCTGTGAGGCGGCACCGCGTCGGAGGCGAGCGCCGGGACGGCCCGGCCGCCGCGCCGCCACCGGAGCGGGAGGCCCGGGCGCTGGAGACCCTGGTGGACGCGCGCGGCGGCAGCGGCAGCGGCAGCGGCAGCGCGAGGACGCGGAAGCGGAGCGGGGCGGGCAGCGGCGGCGCGAGCGGGGCTGCGCGGACCGGGCTGTCCGAGGCGCGCGCCGCGCTGGGGCTGGCGCTCTACTTGCTCGCGCTGAGGACGCTCGTGCAGTTGTCGCTGCAGCAGCTCGTGCTGCACGGGGCCCCGGGCCACCCCCGGGAGTTCAACGCGCGCCAAGCCAGGTACTGGCCGCCGTCCCGCCCGCGCGTCCCCTTGCGTCCCCTCGCGTCCCCTCGCCGGAGCCCGGGCACCTCACCTGGTGCACCCAACCCTGCGGGACCGCCCGGGCTCGCCGGCGCCTCCTGACTCCGCATGGGGTGGGGTGTGGGGTGGGGTGCCCTCGCGCGTCCCTCTCCTGGAGACCCCGTTTCCAGGACGCGCGGCCGGCTTGCATCGCCCCTGAGAAGCTGGTGGTGCAGGTGGGGTGGCCGAGGGGCCGCGCCGTCACGCCGCTCGCTGTGTGCCCCACCTGCAGCCGGTTTGCTGGTTAGCCGTCCCTCATCTTCTGGAGCAGCTTTCACTTCTTATGAACCCCTCTGCTTTCCAAACGAGATGCAGGAGCGTGAAATGTGTGTACCTTGCCGGTTTTGTAAATTCGGTTCCCGGGGAGGTGTCGGAAGGGGACCATGCAGTCAGTGGTCCAACTTTTTGAGGGTCACAGTCCTCACGTCTGAAAGCCATGGAGGCGCAGCCTGGAAGACTGCACTTCAAACTTTGACAATTTCAGAAGTTCTCAGATTCCCGGCGGTTATCCTTGGGTCCCTGGTGTGTAAGGTTTAACTTTTTTTTTTTTTTTTTTTTAAATTAAAAGACACCATTAAGGCCCTGACCGGTTTGGCTCAGTGGATAGAGCATCGGCCTGCGGACTAAAGGGTCCCAGGTTCGATTCCGGCCAAGGGCATGTACCTTGGTTGCGGGCACATCCCCAGTTGGGGGTGTGCAGGAGGCAGCTGATCGATGTTTCTCTTTCACTGATGTTTCTAACTCTCTATCCCTCTCCCTTCCTCTCTGTAAAAAATCAATAAAATATATTTTAAAAAATAAAATAAGAGACACCATTAAGTGTGCTAGAAAGGTGATTAAGTCACATGTATTGTAGCATAAGTGTAAGCTCAGAATCTTCAGCTAGCTGAGTTTTCAACAACCACTGTGATTTTAAAAACTTTTTTTTTTTTTTTGAATACAATGTGCTGGAAGCTTATTAAGGACTTTCCGGAACACCCTCCTCCCCCTCCTCCTTTCTCCCCACTTGGAATGCAGCGAAAAGACAAAACATTTTTTTGTTTGTGTGTTTTAGGAGTAGAGTTAGTTTTGGCCTGAATTGAAGGTATTAGGCCTTGTGTGCACAATCGGAGGGCTGAGTCCATTCCTTACAATAAAAAAAGTTTTGTTTGTTTGTTTATTTAACCTCTTGACTTAATTGTCTTTGCTCACTGGTTTCCCCAGCCCAGAATCAGTAGCCCTCCAGAGTGTGGCACAATGAAGTTGCACTCTGTGCTGTATCGTCTTCAGCATTTCCACATTTTGAATAGAATCTCTAGCCTTTGTATGAGGATTGAGAGGATTTGGGCGTGGGTGGGTAGAGAAAACTCTGAAGGGATGCATTCGTGGGAGATGAAACGATGGAACGTTCCTGAAATAATAAAAGGCAACCTTTTTAATAAAAATTATGTTTTATTTTAAAATTAAATTTATTTTTTCCAATTGCCGACATTCAATATTCTTTTGTATTAGTTTTGGTTATACAGCAGAGTGATTAGACATCATCTACTTCAAGTGTTTCCCCCAGAAAGGTACCCCTTTTTTATGTGAGAAGTGAAAGAATGTGTTTTGCGGGGTGAGGGGAATTGTAGAGGAGAAGTTGTTCTGTGCTAAGTGTTAATCATCATTCTTTTGGTGACTTCCAGGGATCATCTTGAACACATAACATCCATTGGCCCCAGGACTACAGGAAGTCCAGAAAATGAAATTCTGACTGTGCATTACCTTTTGGAACAGATTAAACTGATTGAAGTTCAAAGCAGCAGCCTTCACAAGATTTCCGTCGATGTACAACGGCCCACAGGCTCCTTTAGCATTGACTTTCTGGGAGGTTTTACAAGCTACTACGACAACATCACCAACGTTGTGGTAAAGCTGGAACCCAGAGATGGAGCCCAGCATGCTGTTCTGGCTAATTGTCATTTTGACTCTGTGGCAAACTCACCAGGTATGGACCTGTTTTTCAGTCTACTTGAAGTCATCCCAGCCCAGAAAGCTTATGAATGCCAAGCTGCTTGGCAGTTCTGGAATATCATTTTTTTGGACAAACCTTTTTAGTTTTGGCAGGTAGGGTAATTAGAATAGTGTCGTTTAGTTTAAAATCTAACCCCTCACTATTCTCTCAAGTGCTTTATTGTTATTATTATTAAACACTAGAGGCCCAGTGCATGGATTTGTGCACTGGTGGGGTCCCTCAGCCTGGCCTGTGCCCTCTCTCAGTCCAGGATCCCTCGGGGGATGTCAAAGGCCAGGTGCGTGGATTCGGCCCAATTCCCACAGGCCAGGCAGAGGGACCCCACGGATGCATGAATCTGGGCACTGGGCCGGTTTCGGCCCCATCCCTGCAGGCCAGGCTGGCCTCTAGTATGCATAAAAGACCTTTGGTTAATCTCTTCCCACCCTCCCCCTTCCCCACTTCCTCCTGAGAATCATCAGTCTGTTCCATGTTTCCATGCCTGTTGTGTTGAGCATCTGCCCCCTGGTGGTCAGTGCGCATCATAGCTACCGGTCGAATGGTCGCTTAGGCTTTTATATGTAGAGATTAGTGCCAGCAGCCCAAGGACAGGACATGGCATGTTGGTGGTAGATGAAAGCAGCTTTATCAGTGTTACCAGTATGTGTCCCTGAGTCCTGGAGTTAGGTTCTGCCTCTTCAAGTGTTTACTCACCTAGGTATTGTACTAAGCTTTGGGGACATGGGATAAAGGGGCAGTCCTTGCCTTCACAGACACAGGGTTTGGAGGACATCTTTCCTAGTAGTTTCTGTCAACCTGTAAAGTGACAGCCCACTGGGGATGCCATTCTGTTAGAATACCTCATTAATCCATAAGTCTTCCTCTGGAAATACTTTGTCAAAATAGGATACTTGATTTTACGACAGTGCCTGACACAGTATTTTGAATGAATGAGAATCCCCTAAATTGAACTTTCATTTAAAAATGTAAGATTCACGAGAAAAATGTTTTTAGTGATTATGAAAGAGATTGTAAACAGGGAGGAATAGAAAATTGTAGCGTTTTACAATGGAATCATAGCAGGTTAGAGGTAGACAAGACCTGAGATGGCATCTGGTACAAACTCTGCCTCCCTCCACCCTTCATTTGACACAGGAATAAACAACTGATCAACACTGATCAGAGACAGAGGTAGGACCAGTTGCTGGGTTTCCTGGCCAGTCCTTTCATCTACATTTGAAAGGAAGGAGAGGTAATGCTCCCTTTGGCAATCTACTTAACCTCTTCTCTCCTCAGTTTCTGATCTGTGAAGTGGAGATAATAGTGCTTTTCTATTAGCATTTCCCCCACTATTAATTGTTATTTAATATTGACATTTCTGGGTTGCTTGAACCTACAGCAGGCCCAATAGGATAATCTAGAACTACACAAAATATAAAAAAACATTTATTTGCTTGATTCATCCTAGGACACTTTTAATCAGGAAGCCTGTCAATTGCATTTAGAATGTAGCATGCTTTTTTAATTTAATGTTTTTATTGATTTTTTTTTTTTAGAGAGAGAATGGAAGGAAGAGGGATAGAGAAATAGAAACATCAATGAATATCGATTGGCTGCCTCCTGCACCCCCCTGCCCCCCCCCACTCCCCTCCCCCGCCCAATTGGGGATTAAGCCAGCAACCTGGGCATGTGCTCTGACCAGGAATTGAACTGGTGACCTCTTGGTTCATGGGTCATGCTCAACCACTGAGCCATACTAGCCAGGTTGTAACATACTTTTTAAAAAATATTTCCAAGAAGTTTACATGATAAAAGCAACTAGATTTGCAAAAAAAATTTTTTGAGTTTTCAACAAAACAGTTGAGCACATTGAGTACAGAATGATCTGGTGAAAAAAGGTGAATTATTGGCTGTCAATAGAGAGGTCAGCAGGACCAATGTGAATTGCTTAGGGTAGGAGAGATTCACATGCATTTGTAGTACGAAAAGAAATGGACATCATCCCTCACTTCCATATTGGCACAGTGTCCCAATGACATGCTTATTATGGAATTGTCTTGTTTCTATCAAGTATTTTTTCAAATGTTAAAAAAGTCAGTATATACCCATTTGTTTTTATAAAGTCAGAAATATCTTTGTGTGTGCCATAGAAACCAGTGGTCTTTTATGCCTGTTTCAAAGCAGTAATAAGTGTCACCTTGTCCCCACTATTATGCTTAAATTCTAGGAAGGGACAAATTAACATCAAGGTTATTTAAGAGCATTATATAAAAAAAGATGTGCATACAAGTATCAGAAACATAGTGCCAAATGTTATAAATTATATATATGGAGTCTAATAATGAAAGGATGGCATTTTTGTGAGTCATTGGAACTCATTTTAAATTAAAATTTTATAAGATCATCTATACCAACAGTCCCAAGGACATTTCTGTCAATAATAGATTGTTAAAAATAGCTTTAAAAAACACACTCACAAAATAGATGATCACCTACATCCTTTCAGTGGGTGAACTGTTTGAAACATGGGCATTCTTTTAAGTTGTTCTCAGCAACATATCTGGACCTTCGGGATCATTACCAATTAGAAGTAATGTTACCCACAGAAAGGACTTAAATGTCTTCTTGGGTTTGCTGTGTGGTTCCAGGTTGTTGGTAGAAGAGACATTGAGTTATTTTAGGAGTGGCTTCAATTTCTGGGTTAATTCTAAATAGAAAGAGATGTTGGTGATCCACTCAGCCATTATAGATACTGCTCTCTAACTTGCCTTCACTTTCTTAAAGATATTTGACCCTCTCTGGTTCTGTTCTCAGACAACAGAACTATTAAAATGAAGGAAGATAAATGGACAGTTTAACTTTTAAATCAACCCTGTATAGATATGTCTCTTTCAGTTTCCCTTTCTCTTTGAATAAAGAACATTTTTATGGCTTGATTTTTATTTTAAAGTAACTCACAGTCTCAGAGTGTAAAAACCATTAATTTCATTTGGGTCCTGGAAGGTGGCACTTTTTACTGACTGCTACATAGACTTCTGGTTTGATAGCAGTTAGGTAGTCATTACTTAGTTTCACTTGGATTTAAAATGCAATTCAGTATTCACTGCCAAGACAAGTAATAGTAGGTAATAAGTAGTTTCTTCTTGAGTAGGAGTGGAGTCTGGAATTTAATGACCCCACAACTAGCGTGCTAGCTAGCTGCAGAGCCTGCCTTAAGTTTGCAAAGAGAAGGAAAGCCCAACACTGAATGCAGGCCACAGTATTTTGTAATCCTCACAACACAGCTGCGAGGTAGATATCATTAGCCTGCTCTCTAGACCAAGAAGTTGTAGGGTAAACGACAGAGCTAGAATTTATTTCCAAGTCTTTCTTACTTTAACACCCATACTAAATTGCCCAGCCAGGGTAGCTCGGTTGAGCATCGTCCTGTGCACATGTAGGGAAGGCAACGTATGGAAGGCACCGGATCGCTGTTTCTCTCACACAGCTGTGTTTCCCTCCCTTTCTCCCTCCAAGCATGACCCTTTGGTAAGAATTGAAAAACAGAACAAAACCCATGCTAAACTCTGTAGTGCTCTGTCTCCCAGTGGGTGAACCTGAAGATGCTATTGTCTGGCTTATTACTGTGCATATTTACTTCGATTACGCTTTAAACTTATTATTATGGAAAATTTCAAATATGTATAAAAACAGAATTGTTTAATGAACCTGTTTAATGTCACCCAGCTTCAACAGTCTGATCTTGTTTCTTTACCTCCACCCCTGCCATTCTTAATTATTTTGAAGCAGATCTCGGCTGTATCGGTTTCTCTGTATTTCAGTCTAAATCACTGAAAGATAAGGATTCTTTTTTGACATGCTCATAATACTATGAATTACCTCATTAAAAAAAATAATAATTCCTTAATATCATCAAGTGTCTAATCAGTTACTTTACCTCTTATAGTGCTTTAAAAAAAACAAGGCACTAAAGCCATCTTTATAGTCACCTTTAATTCATACGTAAAGCTTCTGAATCAAGTAGTGAAGTAATTTGATGAAGTCCTCTGCTTTATCAGTGTTGGGACTAGGGATACTACTCAATTCATTAGTCTCCTTTCCTGTCTTATTAGATTTGGTGTCTTCTTTGTACTTTTTTTTTTTTTTTTTATCACATCTCCTTGAGGAAATCTTAAAAAATGCTACACCATTCCAACTGACCCCTCTGTAAATGCGAGTGATCTGAAGATTTTATGATTTTGGCAGGAAAACAGGCAGGAAAGGAGTGGGTGGCAGGGGGAGATGATCTAGGAAGCTGTGAGCACTAGAAGTGAGAATATTATAGAGGATGTGGAATAAGGATACAGAAGGGAATAAAGTACTTGAGGTTGATGAGAATATCAGATTTTATTTTTTTTAAAATATATTTTATTGATTTTTTACAGAGAGGAAGGGAGAAGGAGAGGGATAGAGAGTTAGAAACATCGATGAGAGAGAAACATGGATCAGCTGCCTCCTGCACACTCCCTACTGGGGATGTGCCTGCAACCACAGCACATGCCCTTGGCCGGAATCGAACCTGGGACCCTTTAGTCCGCAGACTGACGCTCTATCCACTGAGCCAAACCGGTTAGGGCAGATTTTATTTTATTTTAATCTTCATCCGAGGACATGCTTTTATTGATTTTAGAGAGAGAGGAAGGGAGATGGAGAAAGAGAGGAACATCTGTGTGCAAGTGAGCATTGATTGGTTGCTTTCTGCAGGCGCCCCGACCAGGATAGAACAGAAACCTGGGTTGTGCCCTGACGGGGAATCGAACCTTTGACCTTTCTTTGTATAGGATGATGCTACAACCAACTGAACCACAACAGCTAGAGCAGAGAATGCCAGATTTTAGTATTAATTTAGGTCCAATCTGGTTGGTTATTCAACAGACATTAATATTCTGGCCTAGGTATAGGTCTAGACATTGAGATTAAGTCAGCCAGCAAACCAGACAAAGATCCCTGTTCTCGTGGCATTTACTGCTGGTGGGTATGCTTGTCACCTGATGGTGACAGGCGGAGCTGTGCTTCTGGCCTTGTAGCTGTGTGATGCTCCCTGATGAGAAAACCCCATTCCTTGCCCTGCTGCTTCATACCGTAAAGATTTTAAAATCTGAGGAGCAAGTTTGCTTTTTTTATTTAAAGGTGCCAGTGATGATGCTGTTAGCTGTTCGGTGATGCTGGAAGTCCTCCATGTCTTGTCAACGTCTTCAGAAGCCTTGCATCATGCTGTCATATTTCTCTTTAATGGTGCTGAGGAAAATGTTTTGCAGGTGAGATTTTACTGTTGTAAGTACTAGGCTTGGATAATAATGATAGTAATAATAATAAACTTATGCATTTATCATAAAATCATATACAGAAGAAATATTGTACCTGGAAGTACTATAAAAATTCTAGTCACTTATATATACACACACACACGAGAGGCCCAGTGCACGAAATTGATGCACTGGAAGGGTCCCTAGTGGCTGCTGGCTGCTGGCACCGGCTGAGCATTCCCTCCCTTCCCTGGTCACCTGCTGCCGCCGGCCAGGGCCTCCCTCCCTTCCCCCAGCCAGCCCCGCCCCCTGGTCGAACTCCCGGGCAAGGGGACAATTTGCATACTATGCTTTTATTATATAGGATGTTCAGCATTTGAAAACTCAACTTAGAACAGGTCATCTTGTCAGAGTTTGGTTCATGTCAGTGTGATGGCATAATTATCACCTCAGGTTTTCTTTGACTGGAGTTTCAGAGGTGTTTTGAGGCAGGCACGCAGCATGAGTACCCAGCCATGGGGATCGTCCCTTCTCACATTTGTTTGTTTTTTGTTCTTTCCTTTGCGAAGCCTCACACTTACTGAGGATGTTGTTTGGCGCCACTCGCGGAAACCAGGATGTTCTCTGTGGTGGTGACTTTCCACTCAGCAAACTGCACACAGCCATTATGCATTGAGAGAGAAACAGATGTGTGTCTTTAGATATATTGCCTTTGAAAAAAATGATTATTTTCCTGTTCTTCCCCTTGTCGGCATAGACGTTCTGTCTTTAAGATAACTAAAATAGAGACTTTGGTAATCTCAAATTGTTTAACGTATATTTGTTTTCTTTCTTTCTCATTCAGGCCAGTCATGGTTTCATTACTCAGCACTCCTGGGCCAACTCAATTCGTGCATTTATTAACCTGGAGGCAGCAGGTGTAGGAGGGAAAGAACTTGTATTCCAAACAGGTATGTGAGACTATACAGGGTGGGACAAAGTAGGTTTACAGTTGTGAGTACATGAAACACAGACTGTATTCTTGTATTATTACTTATTAATTATTGTATTATTTCCCATATGAACAACTGTAAATCTACATTTGCCACACCCTGTATTTTATATTTGAATGCAGTTGCATTGTATACTTTAATGTAATTCTTGTTTTTATAAAAATGGAAAGTGTGTGAAAATAAGTTATTTCTCTAATGAAATGAACATTCTTTTTAAAGCATAAGATAGGTTTAGCTTGTCTTTGTTAAAATTCTTAACCAAATATTAATAGCACCTAATGCTTATATAGTGCTTATTATATGCCAAATGTTCAAAGTACTTCATATATATATATATATATATATATATATATATATATTTTAGAGGCCCAGTGCATGAAATGCATGCACTGGGGGAGGGGAGTCCCCCTCAGCCTGGCCTGTACCCTCTCGCAGTCCAGGACCCCTTGGGGGATGTCTGCCTGTGGGCTTAGGCCCGATTCCCCTGGGGATCAGGCCTAACCTGGCACTCAGACATCCCTCTCGCATTCCGGGGCTCACTCAGTCCAGGACCCCTTGCTCCTTACTGCCCGCCTGCTGTGGAGGCGGGAGAGGCTCCCACTATTGCCCCTGCTCTCACCAGCTGTGAGCCCGGCTTCTGGCTGAGCAGCGGGGAGCACCGCTCAACCAGAAGCTGGGCTCACTGCTACTTAGAGCTGGCCCCACACCCTGCCCACTGGTGTGGGGGGGTGGGGGGTGGGGAGAGGCGCGATTGGGGACCGGGCTGGCTGGGGGAGTGGCCAAGGGAGGTTGAAGCGCCACAGTCACGTCCCGGCCCGCCTATGTGGAGGCACGGGGACCATGCTGCCCCCTCTCCCACTGCCTTTGCAGAAGGGGTGGCGTGCCAGAACCGGGACCGGGCCCATGCTGCCACCTCTCCTGCCACCTCTGTGAAAGGGGGCGCACCGGGACATGGCTGGCCTAGTGGCACAGGCTCGCTGCCCCCGCCCCTGCCCACTGGTTGTTCCGGAAGGACGTTCTGTCCGGTCTAATTAGCATATTAGCTCTTTATTATATAGGAGATATATATATATATATATATATGCCACTTAATCCTCAAAACACCATGAAAAAATGAAGGCTAAAAACAGAAAAAAGAAAATGATAAAAGCAAAAACCATGTGATTATCACTTTGTTGAACTTGTAATATGGAATTGTATGCCTCTAAATAAAATTAAATGCATCTTAAAAAACAAAACAAAAACCAAATACCCCCCAGAATCCCCAAAATAAAAAATACAAATAAAAAAATAAAAAACTGACTCATGCCATGGAGCAAAGAAACACATAAGAAAGAAAGAAAATAAAAGGTCAATGAGTGGTGGTAAAACAAGTTTCTCTGATGGGGGAGAGCGAGCACATTCAACAAGCAAATCTAGATCTGGCATACAATTACTTTATCTGTCAACATTAGTCAGCTTTTTGCTAAATTTTATTGTAACAAACAACCCTGAATCTCAGTGGGTTACAATAAATAGCAAAGGCTTATTTCTTCCTCATGTTACATTTTGGTTCCTGGATAAGTGAAGTTACGTTTCATGGTTATGATGTCCCATGTGGCTTATTCATTCTGAGATCCAGGCTGAAGGAGACGCCCCATTCAGGGATGAATTGATCTCGTGGCCAAAGGGATGGACCATGTGATGTCTCTCGGTTAAATTTAATGTCTCTCCCATTCAAGATTAATTTGCCACAGCAATTCATGTGGCTGAGCCTGCAATTAATAGGGTGAAGAAATGTATGTGCTGCTTCCACAGGGAGGCATTACAAGTTACATGGGAGGGAGGCCTGAGTAACTGGGAACAAAAATACATTTTCTCTCACGATCCTAAAGAGAAAACTGCCACATTGGAAAAAAGGTTGTATATGCATGAAGATATGAGTGCAGAATTATTAATAATGATAAAAATTATAAATAGTAATAAGGAACTTTGTGGTATATTCAGTGTTTTGCAGTTATTGAAATGACCACTGTAATATCTAGCAACACAGGAAAAGCATTGAACATGATGTTTAGTGAAAGAGCAATTTACAATTATATGTACCCTGTGAGTATAACTACATACACACAATCATACATTTTTTTTAAAAATTGAAGATATGACCCTTGCCGGTTTGGCTCAGTGGATAGAACATCGGCCTGCGGAGTGAAGGGTCCTAGGTTCGATTCCAGTCAAGGGCACATGCCTGGGTTGTGGGCTTGACTCCTGGTAGGGGGCATGCAGAAGGCAACTGATCAGTGATTCTCACTCATCCTGATGTTTCTATCTCTCTCTCCCTCTCCCTTCCTCTCTGACATCAAAAAAATATTTTTTAAAAATTGAAGATATGAAAATAAGTTATCTTAGGATGATGGACTTTTGAGTGATTTTTAATTTTTAGACAAAACTTTTTATAGCCATAATCAGTTTGGCTCAGTGGATAGAGCGTCGGCCTGCGGACTGAAGGGTCCCAGGTGTTCGATTCCAGTCAAGGGCATGTACCTTGGTTGCGGGTACATACCCACTAGGGGGTGTGCAGGAGGCAGCTGATCGATGTTTCTCTCTCATTGATGTTTCTAACTCTCTATTCCTCTCTGTAAAAAATCAATAAAATACATTTTAAAAAAACTTTTTAGTGTTATTTTATAATTAAAAATAATTTTATTTTCTGAAATTTTATGTTGTCATGTTTCATTTCAGGTCCTGAAAATCCTTGGTTGGTCCAAGCTTACGTTTCCGAAGCCAAACATCCTTTTGCGTCTGTGGTGGCTCAGGAGGTTTTTCAGAGTGGCATCATTCCTTCCGATACTGACTTCCGCATCTACAGGGACTTTGGGAACATTCCAGGTATTTTGTCAGTTGTGGGCCGCAGTGTGACGATGCTTAATTAATCGCAAGTTTTACATTTTGGAAGCCTGTGAGTAAACGGCATTTTCTGGGAGCACATTCTCTGAGAGCTGTGTATTCTGACTCAGCTCCTGATATTTTCCTTTTCTTTTAAATTCTGCTCCAATTAAAATGCTTGCCTTTTTTAGAACATGTCATGTCACCTTGCCCCACAGTGTGACAGAAGGACCGAGGAGAACTGTTCAGCGGTTCATTCCCAAAAGATGGTGATAGATTTTTCGGGGACTTTTGACTTTCATTGCTGTTTTGCTTTGCCAGCAGCATTGGTGGACTGTATAGCTTATTTGACGTTAAATTTGGCTCTGGCCTGGCAAGGCTATAGATGGCAAAGTTTCGAGGATGTCCCAAGCTCAGTATTCCTGCTCCTTGCTGTGGGACTTGTAATGTGCAGTCGTGTGCCTCCTCACTTGTGTATTGATTACGTACCACAGCTATAGATTCTGTAAGCATTTGGAAGGGAATGTCATCCGTAAATGTGACCAAGCAATCATGCTGCTGCTTTGACATTTTGTCTTTTAGGAATTTAATACATTAAACAAATAGCCTAAAACAAGTGGATCTTTACAGCAAAATGACCCTTTTTGTGTATGTTTTAGGAATAGACTTGGCTTTTATTGAGAACGGATACATTTATCACACCAAGTATGACACAGCGGACAGAATTCTAACAGATTCCATCCAGAGAGCAGGTTGGTATTCTAATTTAGACTTTTTATACGTGTTAAGATGGAATATTAGGGATGACCTATAAATCTATAAATATTTTGTGGCCTGAGCATTAGGGAGGCAGTGTATGGTGTGACTGAACTGGGGCTTTGGAGTTAGAGATCTGAGGACTTAAATTTAGCCTTGAAGGCTAGTTTAGCAATTAAGAGCATAAGATTCTTCATTGTGGGGAATTGGAAAGGGGTTGACCCAGGGTTATGGTAGGGCTGCTGAGTGATGAGAGTCTAGCCAGAATGGAAGCTGTGCATTGGAGGCGGCACCAACACATTTGGGCAGCTTGCCCAGGTGCAAAAAAGTTACATTGATTCAAGGTTGGGTGGTGAGGGCAGGTGAGAGGGTTATAGGACACGTGTCAGGAGAACCAGGACAAGGGAGTTCAAGTGCTCCCCCGAGAGATGTGGGGTAGTGAGGGCAGGTAAGTCTGATACTGGGCCTTAAAGAGTTGTTGGGATTTGGCCTAGTGGGGATTACATTCCAGGTAAGAGCACAGCATGGGGTAGGATGTGCTTGTGTGTGGGGTTGTTGGTGAGTAGATTGTCAGATTACAGTCTAAGGCAGTGGCCGGCAAACTGTGGCTCTCGAACCACATGCAGCTCTTTGGCCTCTGGAGTGTGGCTCTTCCACAAAATACCGACTTCTGCGCATGGACCATGAGGTTTCACTCGCACTGTACGTGCATGCCCGCACGTGGTATTTTGTGGAAGAGCCACACTGAAGGGGCCAAAGAGCCACACGTGGCTCGTGAGCCACAGTTTGCCGACCACTGGTCTAAGGGAAGCTGTACTTTCAGCAATAAAGGGAAACGAGGTAGAAGTGTGAGGGTAGAGAAAATTGCAGAAAGCTTTACAGATCATCCAGAAGATGCTGTAGAAATAAGGGGTGATGAAAGGCCCGAGTACATGAATGAACGATGGCTTTAAATGCTGTTAGTCTCATGATGCTCTCTGGAGTGGACGGTGGAGAGTGGGGAGAGCCATGAATGAGGTAATTTAGGCTAGGAGACAATAACTTAAGTGTGGAATCATGAAGATCTAGACTGTGGTGCTGACAAAAGATAGAAAGGAAAGGGGAGGGGTAGAAAAGTAGATTCATTTTTAATGTAAATTCAGCAAGACTTGACAAGTTAGATAGAAGGGATGAATCAGATGGACGGCAGCAAAGATGATGCCACGGACTGTAATAGGGATGTGGGAAGGTGAGCCTCATCCAGGGCAGGAACAGAGAAGGGAAGGACACCATGAACCTGTGAGACCCACAGGAAGGGGGGTGGGGGGCGTCTGTGAACCGACCAGATGAAAATACAGGTACAGTTTAGAGATCTGGGAGGAACTTGGTATATGGGTTTGGGTGTGAAAGGCGTAGAAAATACCAGAAAAAGTATGGAGAATGGAAATGTTATTTTGGAAGAGCAAAGCGAAGGTAGAATTCTACACTTGAGCTTTTAAAGTCCCATTAGCACATTTTTAGGGAGCCAGGAGAGCCAGTGTAAGAAACACTGTGGTACGACAGTGTGGAGTCTTAAGTGAAAAGAAGAGAAAGTTAAGGGTGGGATGGGCAAGCGGAAGAAATGCCAATCACTCAGGCTTTTTATTACTCCCGTGTTAAAGCTCAAACTCATTCATCTTTTCATCGACATAACAAACATTCGCTACCTCTGATGTGCCGGGTTCTGCGTGATCATGACTCTCCCGTCATCGCTGAGCAGTCTCTCTCCTCATCCAGGACTCCTGTTTCTGTGTTTGGAACTCGCCCTCCTCAGGGCCTGCATCTTCACAGTTCCCAGCCTGGACAGTCTCCCCACTGTGCGAGCTATAAATACCACTTCCTCAGGGCTGCTTCTCTGACCTCTCAGACTCCATTAGTCTCCCATGATATGTTTCTAGGGACCTCTAATACCTCTCCTTATTAATTATTTTTATTCAGATACAATGGACATTGCTTATTAATTCTTAATAACTTGTACACTCACTTGTGGTTTGGTGTCCGTGAGCTTCACGAGAGGTTTTGTCTCTTGGCTCACCACTGAATTGTGGTGTCTAGGGCAGCGTTTGCTGCATTACATATAGAGTAAATGAATAGGCACTAAGAAACAGCTATTGAGTTTGTCAACAGCAAGGGTACAGCTGATCGCAGTAAATACAGTTCTAATAGATGGGAAAGGATGAAGGCCATTTGGCTGAGTTTGTAGGTGGAGAGGAAATGGAGTATGAGCTTGTAGCTTATTTGAAAAATTTAATAAGAAAGTGGGGTCGAGCAATAAGGTGGTAGAAAGCTATTTCTTATCACATTCTTGCTAGGTGTTTCTCTACTCGGATACTGGATGGTTTATTCAACTTTGTCTTTCTTTTCTTTACTAATAGGTGACAACATTTTAGCAGTTCTTAAATATCTAGCTACATCTGATGTGTTGGTTTCTTCTTCTAAGTACCGGCATGGGAACATGGTCTTCTTTGATGTGCTCGGCCTGTTTGTCATTGCCTACCCCTCTCGTGTTGGCTCCATAATTAACTGCATGGTGGTAATGGCTGCTGTTCTGTACCTGGGCAAAAAGTTGTTGCAGCCCAAACATAACAGTGAGTATTTCCCCCTAAAACTACAATCCTGGCATGGGCGTAGAATTTGCCTGAAGTTTTTTAGTCAGTTTGCTTATATCTTTCCAAGACATTAAAAATCCTAAGAAAAATAATATTTGATTTGTAATGTAAGAAATTTCTTAATATCAGATTAATGTGTGCATTATATTTTTAGTCTTGGTGAAGCAGACAGTTTTTATGTACTAATGCCCTCCTTAGAAGTCCGACATTGGAGCTCTTAAAAAATGGTTTGTACAGATTGACTTTTACTGAAAAGTCCCACTGAAACATCTGGTCTGCACTGCGGACCACTAGCACAGTGTTCTGACGTATGAATGAACTGCTGCCAGTTAAATTGGTCCCCTTCCGCTTGAAATGGTTTACAGTCTAAGCTGGTATCTGCTGTTATGAGATAAAATATTCAGCAGCTAATTTAAATAATCCTTAACCACCAGTTATGTTCTGTGCTGCTTCTTTTCCTGTGATAGCTTCTTTTATTTTTTATTTATTTATTTTTTTAAAAAATATATTTTATTGATTTTTTTACAGAGAGGAAGGGAGAGAGATAGAGAGTTAGAAACATCGATGAGAGAGGAACATCGATCAGCTGCCTCCTGCACACCTCCTGGGGATGTGCCCGCAACCCAGGCACATGCCCTTGACTGGAATTGAACCTGGGACCTTTTAGTCCGCAAGCCGACGCTCTATCTACTGAGCCAAACCGGTTTCGGCTGATAGCTTCTTTTAGCAAAGTTTTAGGTGGAACTTTGTTTTCCATTCTTGTTGATAGTTCGACACACAAAGCAACCCAAACGGATGAAGAGTAAGACGACCCATTTTCCCAGTTAGGAATGAATCTGAAGTAGTCCTGAAAGACTTATCTCTGAGTCTTTAATACCCACAAAACTCTCCGTCAATGTTACTTGAATATTATTCTTTTCTACCTTCCCTGTTCTAGTGTTTAACAAATCTTATCCCTGGGTCGTTTCAATACTTTTCAGTTACATGGCAAATTTTCTGATTTAACGTTTGCCCCTTTAACTCTACTGATTGGTTATGAAATCGTTTGATAAAGATGGTAGTCTCCACACTGTGTTTCTCTTCATTAGCAGCTAACTACACGAAGGACTTCTTCTGTGGATTTGGCATCACTCTGATAGGCTGGTTCACTAGCCTGGTGACCGTCCTCATTATAGCCGTGTTCATCTCTCTGATTGGACAGTCTCTCTCATGGTACAACCACTTCTATGTCTCCGTTTGTCTTTATGGAACTGCTGCTGCAGCCAAGATAATATTCATACATACCCTTGCAAAAAGATTTTACTATGTGGTGAGTGTTAAGCGCATTTATTGATTTCTTTTTGCTGCCTTCAAGGATTGAAGACAAACTCAGTGGGATTCATTGTACAGTCAGGTGCCACTTAGCCATGGGATGCATTCTAGAAAAGGTCATTAGGCGATTTGATCATTGTGTAAACCTCACCCAGTGCACGTACACAAACCTAGATGGCATGGCTGCTGCTGTAACTGCATGTGCTGTGCGCTCACAGAGTGGCTGTGCAGCGTTACCACGAATGCTGGGCGGTGCATTGCGATGTCACTAGGCGACAGGGAATTCTCAGCTCCATTATAATGCGACGGAGCTACCATCATAATGTGGTCTGTCCTTGACTTCCTCATGTGGCTTTTCCCCGGTGGAGGAAGAGCACAGAGTATACACACGGCCGATTTGGCCTTTCGAGCTATCAAAAACTGTATGGCATGGCCATAGAAAACTGGCTCCCAGAGCTGTGTTAAATTTCTGAAAGGCTTCATATTCTGAGGGTTTTCTTGCAGACTCCAAATGAGGTGACAAAGCTGTAAGTGGTGTTAGGGGTGATAGTTAGCACTGCTGCATCTGCCTCGGTTTTTGTGACCGTGTTCTTGGATCTGCCAGCCCTCCCTGGGCTCACCTAATTGCTTATCTATACTAATAAAAGGGTAATATACTAATTAGACCAGATGTCTTCTGGATGACCATCTGGACGTCCTTCCTGATAAAGTCAGCCCCAGGTGAAGTCACACGCCTCACGGTCCTGGGCACCTTAGGCTACGGCCTGGGCGAAGCCACCCACCCACGGTCACCTGCAGCTGCAGCCAGCCAGGGTGAAGCTGGCCCGGGTCCCGGGTGCCTGTGGCTGGCCAGAAGGAGGGAAGTCCGGGTCCCGGGTGCCTGCAGCTGGCCAGAGGAGGGAATCCTGGGTCCCAGGTGCGGGGCTGAGGCAGAGGCAGTTAGGGGCGATCAGGCCGGTAGTGGAGCAGTTAGGGGGTGATCAGGCAGGCAGGCAGAGGGGGTTAGGGGTGATCAGGCAGGCAGAGGTAGTTAGGGGAGATTAGGCAGGAGGCAGGCGAACAGTCCCAGATTAGGAGCCAGCGGTCCCAGATTGCGAGAGGCATGTCTTAGTGCCAGCAGTCGGACATCCCCCGAGAGGTACTGGATTGGAGAGGGTGCAGGTTGGGCTGAGGGACCCTCTCTCCCGTGCACGAATTTCGTGCACTGGGCCTCTAGTGTTTGAATAACTCTGTTCTCCACTGGGCTGTAGGCTCCGTGAGGGCAGGGATTGTTTTGTTCATTATCCCCTGGGCTGAGGCAGGGTCTGACACAGCACTAACACAGTGTTTGCTGCCTGCAAGAATAATGCACTTACAGCTGCACTTAAAGTTTTCTCCTTGGTTTCCTTCACTTTTTTTAACCTGTATGTTGTTGATGTAGATTCTGACAGTTTCCCTGGTGTGCTGTTGGGGGCACTGCAGCATCCTATATAGTCATCCCTCAGTGTCCCTGGGGGATTGGCTTCTGGGGGGCACCCCCTGGGATATAAAAATCCTCAGATACTCAAGTCCCTTATATAAAATGGTGAAGTATTTCACATAAACCAACTAAGCACATTCTGCTTGATACTTTAAATCAGTGGTCGCCAACCTTTCGGACCTCACGGACCACCACTGGTTGGCGACCGCTGCTTTAAATCATCTCTAACTTTACTTATAATGCCTAATACAATGTAAATGTTATGTCAGCAGTTGCTGTATTGTTTAGGGAAAAGTGACAAAGAAAAAAGTCAGCGGCATGCTCAGTACACTTCAGCAACAATGTAATATTTAAAGGAATTTTTCAATCCGTTGTTGGTTGAATCCACTTAATGCAGTACCCGAAGATACGGAGGGTTGACTGTACCGTCCTTCACAGGTCATTTCTCTAGTTTGCCTGAAATTCTTTGGAAGTTGTGTAAATAGGAAAGCTTCCAGAGGTGAATGTTTTTAGGAGACTCCTTTTTCTATTTGAAAACATTTTCAAAGTTTACTTATAGCCTGGTGGAGGAAAAGCAGAGATTATATACAAGTAATGATGTTTTTTTACCCCATCTTGTTAAACTCCCCTTTCCTGTGCAGCAACTTGAATTTATTGCTTCATGATAGGAGGTAGCTTTGTTTATAAAGGCTAGATCCCCACTTAAAATGTGTAGCTTCTCTGAGCAGTGGGAACTGTGTTACAATAGAGGATCTTTATGAGTGGCCCATGAATACGACTCTTGAGTGTTTTTCTTTCTTTCAGAACGCCAGTGACCAGTATCTGGGAGAAGTGTTTTTTGACATCGCGCTGTTTGTGAATTGTGGTTCCCTTATAGCTCTCATTTATGGAGGATTTTGCTCGGCATTTATCAGTGCTGTCTGGGTGGCGTTTCCATTGCTCACAAAGTTTTGCGTGCACAAGGACTTCAAGCAGCACGGTACGGTGTTTTTGGTTTGGGTACAAATGGGAAAATACCTTTAAATACATAAGATAAGGCTTTCTGGGACTGTTTCTTTCTTTGATCTCTTTGGGAAGGTTTTTGAAATTGTTGTTTTTTTAATTTTCACATCACGCAGATTTTTCTCTCATACCTCATACCCTATCCCATTTTCACGTTTACGAACACATGCTAATATATTATGTATTTTTTTAAAATATATTTTATTGATTTTTTTACACAGAGGAAGGGAGAGGGATAGAGAGTTAGAAACATCGATGAGAGAGAAACATCGATCAGCTGCCTCCTGCACGACCCCCACTGGGGATGTGCCAGCAACCAAGGTACATGCCCTTGACCAGAATCGAACCTGGGACCCTTCAGTCCGCAGGCTGATGCTCTGTCCACTGAGCCAAACCGGTTAGGGCTGTATTTTGTTTCTTAATTGTACTTTAGCCTCTCTGAGTGACAGTGCTTTATCTCACTGGATAACATGAACCAAAAGGGCATGTAGTCACATCTAGCCCAGTTTCTGATAGGTGCCGAGGTACACCAGCAGTGTAAAAATCCTTATCGCACCACCGCGTTTTGGAGATCTGTCATTTCTTTCTCTTTTTCCCTAGGTGCCCGAGGAAAATTCATTGCCTTTTACCTCCTGGGGATGTTTATTCCTTATCTCTATGCGTTATACCTCATCTGGGCGGTGTTTGAGATGTTTACCCCCATCCTGGGGAGGAGTGGTTCGGAAATCCCACCGGATGTTGTGCTGGCTTCCATTTTGGCTGGTTGTACAATGATTCTCTCCTCTTATTTTGTAAGAAAATTTTTCTTTTTTAAAAAAAAAATATAGACATGTGATGAGTTTAGCCATGCCATTCTGTAAAATAGTGTTGCTGATAATTTATTGAGAAATTCTTAAGCAAAAGAAATAGTGAATGGCTGTGCATATTGTGGGTTTGGTGTGGTAAGAAAATGCAGAATGGGTTTTTGTTGTTATTTTTGCCCCTCATCTGATTATATCACTTTTCAAATAACTTTTCAAACTGCCTGAATGTGAATTTGCAGAATGCGTACCAAGTGAGGACTGGTAGGGATGGCTTAGTGGTGAATTTTAGAATGATTCCTAATAGTGTGCTTTGAACTTACTCATTGGAGGCTAGTGATAATACATAGCAGTTTTATTGGTGCTTGTTAGAGCGAGTAAAGGAAGACTAATTCTGATGAGGCTTTTTCCGTGACCATTCGGCTTACAGTTGAGTCTTGTCTCCTCGAGGGATGTACACCTAGGACACCCACAGTGCCTTTACTTAGCAGTGATGAAAAAGTATCACAGGCTTGTCATTTTGCTTGGTCAGTATTCTGCCCTCGGTGAGAGTCCTGCCCTTGCCACCCGTTTCCCTTCCCCGGGACTCTCCAGCGGGAAGAAAGGACATGAGCAGAGTTGATGGCTGGACCCCGTTGGTTAGAACAGGCTCCATGCCGAGTTCTGCTCTGTGAGGTGCAGACACCGTCCAGGACTCCGGACGCTGGCCTGGCCCCGCTAGAGGAGGCAGGTCTCTGTGTGTGGCACTTCTCGTCGGAGTTCCTAAGAACAAGAAGTACTTACTGAATACCCGTGGGCACACTCTGAAATGTGGGGCTAGGGGACCAAATAGAAAAAGTGATTGTGGCTTTACTGTGTTCTTTCCTCTGTGGAGATGATAGTGAACTTTTTCATATTTGATTCAGTAAAGGGCTTCTGTGTGGAGGATGTTAGGATCTAGCCACAGCAGGCCAGCATGCCACATGCCTGACCAGCATTATCCACGCAAGTCGCTTAAGTAGCCAGTAAGTAGCTGTATATGCAACAGCATACACAGTCCTGTAGATTCCTATGCACAGTGTTGTTTGCAGTCGTTGTACTAGTCCTAAAAAAAATCTGAGCCAGTTTCAGCCATTTTACCTTTGATATAATGATCAAGTCCTTATTGTTATTTGCAGAGATGGATGGAAAATTCTAAACTGTTTCTTGTTACCTTCAGGGTTTACGTATTTTGGTTTTAATATTAAGCCTTTAAATCCTCTGTACATATTACTAGATAGGTTTGCTGTTGTGAGGATTAAAGATGGTGGAACATTGTCTTGTAGAGAAGTTCTGATCTAGAGTCAGCTGAGTTATGAACTGGATCCCTCAGAGTATTAAGTCGTAGTCAGTGACTGGATATTCAGTTCTTTTCCACATGGAAGGGTTCAAAGTGAACTCTGAGAACCTCACTGTGGAAACTGAAAATGACCCCAAAGCATGGAATCTTGGAAACCATAAGAAAGGGGATTAAAGTATATTATCTTCTAAATTATATTTTCTTAGGAAAGCTTTGATTTTATTAAAAGTGCCTCTTGGCACTAACCAGTTTGGCTCAGTGGATAGAGCGTTGGCCTGTGGACTGAAGGGTCGCGGGTTTGATTCTGGTCTAGGGATATGCCTGAGTTGCGGGCTCGATCCCCAGTAGGGGGTGTGCAGGAGGCAGCTGATAATGATTCTCTCATTGATGTTTCTCTCTCTCCCCCTCTCTGAAATCAATAAGAATATATTTTTAAAAAGTGCCTCTCGGAATACTTTAAAACCTCATATAATTTTCATTACGTGAAACAGGTCTGCTGCTCTTTGACGCTGCGGGTTGTCATTCCCATTATTTCCTTGTGTGTTGAGTGTTAAGGATAGTGGCTTATTAATAGGGTGAGCCATTCTCTTTGGTAATGGGAAATGGAAGCAGAAAGCATACTTTGGAGAGCTTTTCTTCCAGTCCTTAGGGATTTATTAAATGTATTTGCTAGAAAGCAGTTGAATTCCTGTCAAGTGATCAGTTAGCAGGTCTCCGGGGATTCTGGCGTGCTGCAGCTGTCATGGTTATGTGGGTTAAATGGGGTAGCAGATTGTTTTGCTAACTCACTGCTTTGAGGCCTGGGGAACTTAGTTCTGTGCTCACAGTAGTAAAAACGTAAGATCCTTTATCTAAGACCAGTATTGTTCTGCTGGAGATTACACTGGATGGGATATTGGTACACTGTAGATATAAAGTTCTTTAATTTTATGTAGTAGAGTATATGGTAGGTTATGAATATTTGCTTAATTTTCTATTTTCATCTCAAAAGTATTTGCATATTTATGTTCTTTTCTACTTACTGACCCTAGAGGGTGGGTGATAAGGGGGAGAAGACAAAAGGGGGAGCTGGGATTAGATCATGGTTTCTCAAAGGGGTTCCTTCAGAACCCCTAAGGCGTCTGAGTCATGTGTGTCCCCCATAACTTTTAATGCAGTGATTTCATTACAGTTAATAAGCTTAGTTAGGATTTTGGCTGCCGCATTGAGATTGAGACACCGTGCCGTTTGGAGGGACACTGTTACTTTGTGTTGCAGTTTTTCCTCACGTGCAGGAGCCAGGCAGAGTCTTGAAAGCCCATCCAGAGGGATCCCACAACTGGGCATTCTATACAGGCATGATGAGTGAAGTGTGAGTCTTGTTGGAATAGGCCTGAAAGCTTACCTCCGTTTCTTTAATAAAGGCCTGATGTCACGAAGGGCTGGTAGTTAAGTCATCTGTGTTAACAGCACGTTGACAGAACAGGAAATAAAATGAGGTCATGGTTTGGTGATGGAGCTACGTCCTCCCGTCTCGGGGCCAACTGAGCAGACACACGGATTGCCCCCTTTCTCCCACTGCTGTCTGTCAGGAAGGCTCCGCCGTGGCAGCGGGGCGTTCTCCCTCATCCAGGTTCTGACGTGCGATGGGAATCCCTTATAACTAGTGCTGAGTTTACTGGGAGTGTGTGAGCGTGTGTTAGCACCTGCTGATACATTTTCTTCATGATCTGTCGTATAGCACCTGTCATAAAATAGTTACAGCCACCTTTCTGCCAGTGGTAATTTTTCCTTTTTTGTGTTTTGTGTTTTAGATTAACTTCATCTACCTTGCCAAAAGCACACAGAAAACCATGCTCACTTTAGCTCTGGTGTGTACAATTACATTCCTCCTTGTTTGCAGTGGAACTTTTTTCCCATACAGCTCCAATCCTGCCAGTCCAAAGCCAAAGAGAGTGTTTCTTCAGGTAAGAGCAGTTTTGCGTGAGCTATTTGAAATTCTGGAGAGGAAAGCCTGTGTGTTTTGAGCTTCACTAGTCAACAGGAAAACCAACTGACATTCCTACTGTTGACCTATTGAGTTGTACTCGACTATTCTGGGTAAGACAGTGAGGAAAAGACTGACCATCAGGAGGCATTCTTACCAGCTGGATACTTCCCAAGAGACCAAATTGGAAATATCTGCTCGTTGTTTTATCACTGTTCAAATTGTAAAAATGCACCCACTTTGAAAAATAAGAGCCAATATATATCATGGCGTAATGAGCTTTTAGAAGTACAGATTGTAAGAATTCCTGCAGGCCAGTAAAAATCTAAACTATCAACTGGCAAAATAAAATAGGTATTTTATTTACTTATTAAATTTATTGATTTTTAGAGAGGGAGGGAGGGAGGAAGGGTGGAGGTAGGGAGGAAGAGAGAAACATTGATTTGTCGTTCCGCTTATTTATGCATTCATTGGTTGATTCTTTTATGTGCCCTGACCAGGGATTGAATTCACAGTCTTGGTTTATGGGGACGATGCTCTAACCCAGCAGTCGCCAACCTTTCGGACCTCACAGCCCGCCGGTTGGCGACTGCTGCTCGAACCAACTGAGCTGCTTGGCAGGGGCCTAAAATAGATATTTTTAAATGCTAGTAAAATCGATCTTCGTTAACACTCAAAGTAATATGTGACAATGAAAATACAGTGATTTAGAAAGGGTTTAATAAAATGAAATTTAGAATTTTCTTATATTTCAAGTCTTCCTGCAAACGTTTAGAACTGGCTCTATAAAGCAGGAGGAAGGACTGAGTTGCTTTATTTACAGTCCTCTCTGTTAGAGGCCGTGGAGAGGCCCAACAGAAAAGCTGAGTCGCAACCTAGATAATGATTCAAGGACTCGCATAAGTAATAATATTTGAACTTAAATATCAGAGAGATTTTGAAAAAGGGCCAACCAGTCCTTGTTTATATACTGGAGGACATAGTGATACATTTTATGTGACATTCTTTTTTAAAATATATTTATTGATTTTTTTTACAGAGAGGAAGGGAGAGGGATAGAGAGTTAGAAACATCGATGAGAGAGAAACATCAATCAGCTGCCTCCTGCACACCCCCTACTGGGGATGTGCCCACAACCAAGGTACATGCCCTTGAGTGGAATCGAACCCAGGACCTTTCAGTCCTCAGGCTGACACTCTTCCCACTGAGCCAACCCAGCTAGGGCTTATGTGACATTTTATAGTTTGCAAAAAACCTTTGGTGAAGAACAGCTAATTAAAAAAAAAAGTTTTTATTGATTTCAGAGAGGAAGGGAGAGATAGAAACATTGATGATGAGAGAGAATCATTGATTGGCTGCCTCCTGCATGGCCCCTACTGGGGATTGAGCTGGCAACCCCGGGCATGTGCCCTGACCAGGAATCGAACCGTGACCTCCTGGTTCATAGGTTGACACTCAACCACTGAGCCACACCAGCTGGGTGAGAACAGCTAATTTTTAGGAGATTTAATATTATTTGTGACTTGCTAAATGTTTTCAATTTAAAAGTATAGTTAACATACAATATTAGTTTCAGGTATACAACAGCATGTCTAATTTTTATAATTAAATCAGTACTGTTTAGGACAAACCATATTTTTATTTTTAAAAACTCCTGTTCTGATTGGAATTGGGGTTTGCGTCAGTGCCAGAAGTTGGTGAACTTGTCCTTACTGTAAGGGGCCAGATAATATTTGAAGATCTTCCAGCTGCTGTTTTTTTTAGAGTGAAAGTAGCCACAGACAGCACCGAAGCCCTCTGCAACCCTTTTTCTTCTGCCGTATGATACTCTTCAGGCTGCTTTCTGCTGTTAATAAAGCTATTCCAGAAGGAACTTGGTGTCCTTTCCCAGAATTCTGTTAAACACAAGTCCGTCACCTTTTGGTGAGCTGTGATTCCCACTTTTCTCTGCACATGAATTAGTCTCATGTAACACTGAAAGGTAGATGTGTGTGTACTACATAGGTCCTTATCTAAAAGGAGTTCTAGTGTCCATGGTTTTCAGAATTTATATGAAATTTAAATATATAAATATATTTGTAAGAAAAAAGCGAAAAAAAGTCAAAATGTATTTGTAAGAAATAATAAAACAACCCATCTTTGAATTTAAAAGAAAGAACATAAACAGTCCTTAAGAAAACCCAGTTGACCCTTACTGATCCAACTCTTTCTCCATCTCTCCCTCTTCCCAGCCCCTAAAGTACTCACCCAGCATCTTGAAGTGTGGAGCTAATCATTACCTTAGTTTTCTTTATTTTACCACGCATGTATAAATCCCGAAACTACAACACATAGTTCTGCCTGCTTTTGAATTTCTTACAGGTAAAGCCATTCCATAAACATTCTTCTGCCCCAGAGCATGTGAGAATCTTCCATGTTGATTTGTGTCGCTGTCGTGCGTTGTTTTTCCTTGCTGAGCCGACTTCTGTTGTAGGATGACTCCCCAGTTTGCTCACTTTACTGTTAATAGGCATCTGGGTTGTTTCCGGGTTTTGCTAAGGTGGGCAGGGCAAAGGCTTCTCTAAGGTGCGTATTCAGGAGTGGGATTGCTGGCTTGAAGGGTAGGCGCGTGTTCCCTTTGTTAGGCAATGCTAAACCGGTTCCTAAGGTGATCGTGCCAGCACACACTCCCTCCGGCAGTGTGCAAGGTGCCTGGTGCTGCTCCACAGCCACCTCATTTCTGGTTTTGTCTGCGGTGGGGATATGGGTGAAGGAATTGAAACAGTAGTTTTCTCATTAGTCTTGTTCTCTTCAGCACATGACAAGGACATTTCATGACTTGGATGGAAAAGTAGTTAAACGGGACTCTGGAATATGGATCAATGGGTTTGATTACACTGGAATGTCTCACATCACCCCCCACGTCCCGGAGATCAACGACACCATCCGAGCGCACTGCGAGGAGAGGGCCCCCCTCTGCGGTTTCCCGTGGTACCTCCCAGTGCACTTTCTCATCAGGTGGGTTCACTGCTCCTCTGCTTCAGTTGGGGGTGGGTTTGTTCTCAGGTCCTATCACTGTATCCACACGTTATTATTTACACCGAAGTCAGGTCCGTTCACACTGCTTTTCCTGTCACTGCAACGGTTCTGTTTAGTGGGATGAAGCACTCAGAAGAGTGGGTTTGCTTTTTTTTCAAATTTAGAAAGTCCTCTAGAAATCTCAGTAGTTAGAAAGGGCGGCCTCCTTCACTGAGCTACTGGACAGCAGTTAAGCATCAAGTTCAAATCACGTATTTCATTTCTGGGGAAAAATTATGTTGTTAATCCTCACCTGAGGATATTTTTTTTCCATTGCTTTTCAGAGAATGGGAGGGATGGGGAAACATTGATGTGAGAGAAACACATCGATGGGTTGCCTTCTGCACATATCCCAACCTGGGACAGGGAGCAAACCCATAACTGAGGTATGTGCCCTTGACCAGGAATCCAATCTACAACACTAACCATTGCACTGCACTGGCCAGGGCCATTTCTGGGAAAGTTCTAGTGTTTGGCAGTGGAGGATTAGATGAGAAGAAATAGTTTGGGTAGTGGAATCAAGATCACCTACAATCCTCTATTCTTAACTTTGGGAAGGTTTTATTCTGCAATAACCTGGGCTTCAGCAGAATTGGCATTATTTATTACTAGAGGCCTGGTGCACGAATTCGTGCACAGGTGGGGTCTGGCTGGCCTGCCCAGATCAGGGGGAGGGGACACAGGAGGTTGGCTGGCCGCCCCCGCCCCCTGGTCAAACTCCCAGTGGAGAGGACAATTTGCATATTAGCCTTTCATTATATAGGATTATATTCATCAGAGTTTATTTTCATGCCCCAAAATCTGTTTCAAATATTCTGAACACAAGCATCCTAAATATTTTTGAAATAGTGAATATTGAATTCCTTTCCAAATAGGAAAAACTGGTATCTTCCTGCCTCAGAAGTTTCTCCCAGAGAACCTGTTCATTTCAGACTTATATCCAAAGAGCAGACCCCCTGGGATTCTGTAAAGCTGACCTTTGAAGCATCAGGTAAGTCATACGGCAGTTCCCTTCTTGTCTGTAGTTCTTTAAAATTTTAAGCATGAATGTTTTTTCCTTAGGTTTATAATAGTGACCAGTAGCTTAATGTTTTTAAAAGCAACTGTAGTTGATGATTTTTTTAAAGAAAATTTAACAGGCAGCACTAAAAAATACCCAAACCTTCCTCCATCCTTTATGCACAATTTGGAGAATTCCAGTAAAGGCACGTTCCTGGCAGGCAAGCTGTACATTACCCACCCTATGTTTTGTGATTACAGATGTCAAGAAATCAGAAACTTTTTCTTGACTGTTTATATGTAGGTCTGTCTGTGTACCAGTTACCACACTTTAAATTATAGAAGCTTATAGGTAATGATTGGGAGAGTTAAGATCCTTTGTAGTTTTTTTCATTGTTTTGCAGTTACTTTGAGTTTCCTTATCCATGAACCTGGAATGTCCTTTTATTTGTTCAAACCTACTTTTTTGTCTCTCAAAAGTGTTAATAGAATTTTTCTTATCTAGGTTTCGTTGCTATTATAATTGGGTTTTTCTCTACCTGTATGTCTTTTAACTGGTTATAATTTGTATGTGTGAAGACAATTGACTTCTGTATGTCAATTTTTTATCTTGCTACCTCATTGGATCTTTTATTTTTTTTACTCTTGAAACTTAAGGGTTCTCCAGGTATACCAGGAATTGCCAAACTTTAAAGGGCCAGATAGTAAATATTTTAGGCTTTGCCGTAATTGTAAGCCTGACGGAGTGGTTCAGTTGGTTGGAGCATCGTCCTGTACACCAAAAAGGTTGCAGGTTCAGTTCCCGGTCAGCATATACCAAGGCTGTGGGTTCAGTCCCTGGTTGGGGTGTGTTCGGGATGCAACCGATGCTTCTCTCTCTAAATTTAATTTTAAAAAATCCTCAGGTGAGAATTGAAAAAGAATAGATTAATAAATAAAAAACCCCAAAAACATAAACCATTTTTAGCCTGAGAGCTATACAAAAGCAGACCTCAGGCATAGCTTGTTGACTACTGCATATCATCTGCAAATGCAGTATTTCTCCTTTACCAATTCTAAGTGGTTAATACTTCCAGCATTGTGTAGAACAGCTGTGAGATGGTGGCATTCTTGCCTTGTTCTTATACAAAGTCTGTAGTGTTTTCCCAGGATAGATGATTTTTTATCATGTTAAGCATTCATCAGTTGGCACTTCTTGAAATCTTTTTTAAAATAGGGAGTTATTTTAAATTTTGTGAAAGGCCTTTTTTTTTTTAGCCATCTGTAAAGATGATCATAGGTCTTTTCTTCCTTGGATATTTTGATATGATATATTCCATCAGGTTGTGGCCTGTTATTTTCTTAATGTGATCTTGGATGTTTGCTAATATTTTCTTTAGAAATTTTGCATCATATCTCATGAATTATATTGGTCCGTGTGTGTGTTTTACATTCTATCGGGTTTAAGTACCAGTGTTATGCATTATAAATGTAAAAACATCATAAATGTGACACATCATGAAAACAGTTGGTAAATTTTCCTTATTTTCAATGCTTTGGAAGTTTATGGAGCATTGGAACCACTTGGTTGAAAAGTTGGCTTGAATTCCTCTGTGAAACCACTGGTGTCTTTTTTTGTGGAGTAGCTTCTTAATTTTTCTAGGGTAATTGGTCAACTTAAGCTTTATGGCTGTGTTCATTTTTGGTCGCCTATATTTTTCTAGAAAAATCTCCATTTCATCTGGGTTTTCAGAGTTATTAGTGTAGAGGTCTTCAAAGCAGTCATGTGATTTAAAAACTTCTGTTTATTTTTATTTCTCTTTCTGCATACTTGTTTTTGCTCCACTTCCCTCCCCCCCACGCCTCTTTCCTAATCAAGTTAGCTAGTGGTTGTCTTGTTAATTTAAAATAGTAACAGACTTTTGTTTAAGGTGGATCTGTTTTGTTCTCTTCTCCAGTTCATTGATTTCTGCTTTTATCTATAATATTTCCTAACTTGTGCTTTCTTTTTATTTTGTCCTTTTACCCATTTTATTGAAAACAGTGTTTATTGCTATGAATTCTTCTCATCATTGATTTACCTGTATCCAGTAGTTTCTGATATATGTAGTTATTTTCATTATTTAGAAAAATTTCTATAATTATTCTATTTCCTTTTACCCATGAGTCTTTTAAATAGGACACCCTTAATTTCCAGGTAGAAGGCTGTTTTGTTGATAATTTCAAGCTTTGATTTATGATCAGTGTCATTTGTAACCTCAATTTTATAGAATTTTGCTATTTTAATGATCTAATATTTTACTCTTATGAATATTTTATGCTCACCCAAGATGATATATATCCGTATTATCAGCATGTAAAATTTGATACAGATTTCATATGGTCTATTTCACTGATCATTTTGTTTAGGTCTTTTATATAATTTTTTGTTCAATTGGTGTCTTAGAGTGAAATATTATAGTCTTATATATATTTCTATATATACATTTTGCATCCCTTGTGTAGTTTTGCTTCATTAAATAGTTGCTATTTTGTGTACAGAATTAACAGTTTTTATGTGAACTTGCAGCTTTGAGTATCAAAGTACCTTTACTTTTAATGCTTTTTGTCTTGAATTCTATTTTCTCCTGACATCAAAGAGCTCTTTGTAACATTGTGTCCACTTGCCTATAATACCTTTGTTCATACCTTTATTTTCACCCTTTCTGAATCTCTAAGAATATTCCTTGAATATAGTATATGATTGGTCTGGCTTTGTAAGCCAAGCTGAAAACTTTTCTTTTAGTGGCCGTGTTAGATCTAGTCACATTTTATGACTGATGCTTTCCGTCTTTGTCAGTGTTTTGTAATTACGTGTGTAATACTCCTTTTCCTTTGATGTCTTCTTTGCTCTTTAATTACCTGGCACTTAGGAAGGTTTATATTTCTGAGTGTCGGGGGGTGGGTGTGTGCTTACTGGACTTCGCTCTCCCCTCTCTGGTTTGCTACATGCAGCACTTACACAGTGGTTTCCCACCCCGGTCTCTGTTTTAGTAAAACCCTCAGTGAGAGTTCTTTTGCTATGGCTGCTGCAGTTAAAACTTGGTTTGATGACGCGTATTCTCTAGATTTCTGAAGAAAGGCTCTCGTGAGTGCTAGAATGTTTCAACGACAGGACTGAGACTTGAGCCCAGGTTTCTGCTGCACCACATTACTTACCTTATTGATCTGCACAGACTGGCAAACCTCCATTCGGTTTGCAGTGAGTGTCTTTAAAGTGATAAAAGGCATGAACTTCATAGTCTGGTTTGATGGTGGCTTAACTGCTTTTCTTGCAGATGCTGTTTTAAAGATAGTTATAACGGACCTTTCTTCCTCTTATGTTACAGGACCAAGCCATATGTCATTGTATGTTCGACCCCACAAAGGCTCAACACTTTCTCAGTGGTCTCTCGGCAATGGCACCCCGGTCACAAGTAAAGGAGGGGACTACTTTGTATTTTACTCCCATGGACTCCAAGCCTCTGCGTGGCAGTTCTGGATAGAAGTACAGGTGGGATCTCCCAGCACTGCTGGTGTCACTGGTCAGGTTCCCCGGTGGCAGTTGGCAAGTATCAAATACTCGGGCTCAGTATGCTGCCTTCACAGAGCTAGAAAACTAACAGCTTTTCTCTGCCAGGTCCTGGAAGAGCAGCCCGAGGGAGCCGTCACCGTGGCCATCGCTGCCCACTACTTCTCTGGGGAAGACAAGCGGTCCCCCCAGCTGGACGCCCTGAAAGAGAAGTTCCCGGACTGGACCTTCCCGTCTGCCTGGGTGTGCACCTACGACCTCTACGCGTTTTAACCTTGTGAATGGGCTGAGCCAATGCCCTGTGGGATGCTTCAGGTGACATGGTCTCTCCTTAAGCTACATGGATATTTGTAATGTAAGGCAATGAATTTTAGCAAGTTTTGTGGGCTAGCCCTCTCGGGGCCAAGCACGGTAGTGGTTGTGCTGTGGGGTAGTGACACATGGCCTTTTTAAAACTTGAAAATGCCAGCTTTCTGGCACTTAAGCACACGTGGGTACTACCACTACACTAACATGTCATTTTACATGACCTTACGGACAAAAGCCAACAGACCAACAGCTGTCCCCGGAGAGTCATGAAAGATGCTGAAAGTACTACAAGACCATTGTTAATGAGACAAATGGCATTTCCAATGAAAGCCCAAGACCATTGTTGTGTCATGGATGTGGGTAAATTGCCAGTCACTGGAGTAATGATTCCCCTGGAGGCCTACTGTAGGTCACTAGGAAACTATTACAAAAGGACGGGAAGCACCTTTGGGCTTTTGAGGCCCCAGCCTGTGCTGGGAGAAGTGTCTGCGGGCAGCTTCTAGGGTGTGCGCTGGAGCCCAGGACCCCTGGTGTGGAAGCCGGTGTTCAGCTGGTGGTTCCTCGCCTTCTGAGGAGTGGTCAGTGCAATCCTTGTTGCAATGCTCATTTCCCTCTGGAATATCTGTCCCCCCTCCCCACCTTATCGATGGTCTACCCCCTCCCCACCTTATCGATGGTCTACCCCCTCCTGTTTTCACAGGTTCTCTTGGTCCAGAATATCAGTTGTTTGTGCAAGTACAGGACTTTCACTTCCTGCCCCAGAGCCGGGTTGCCATGGCGTCTGTTCTGGGGAGGGAGGGTGGGTAATAGTGACTGAGCATTTTATACATACTTATTCTCTTTGTTTTGTAGAAGGGAATTTTCCAAGGTTAATCCTTAAGGGCATAATTTTATTGATGCATGGGGTCCTTATTTTTGTCTGTTTTCTAACCAGCTGAACAGATTGGTTTCTCAGTAACTTAGTGTCCAGCAGAACGGCTTCCCTGTAGCTGCTGGGGTTCAGACCCTGCATAATGGCAACCCTAGGACTTAAGAGGTGCTTTTTGTTTTGAAGAAGGTGGCTGTGAGCATATCACAGCAGTGCCCCTGGGTTCCTGGCGCCAGCAGTGGAAGGGCTTGGTGAGATCCCTGGCAAATTTTGCTAGCTTTCTTTTTCCCGTTGAGAGATGTAAAAAGTTGGACTAATTCTGCATTTACTAAGCATAGGCTCCCCCCCCCCCCCCCACACACACAAAACATTTTAAAGAAAAGCTACAATAAGAATTGGCACTTGGACCCATTTGAACAGAAAGATTATAGTAAGTGTGCATCACGGGAGGAAATTCTTGAAACACGATGGGATTTCTGATCATGCTCCTCATATTGCCTGCCTAATTTGTGGCTCTTTAAAACTCACTGGGCCCACAAACAGGGCTGCAGCCAGAGCTGAGTGATGACATGCTGGCTGTGACATGCATGGGCACTAGAGCCATTGCTTTTTTTTGACTTTGTAGAAACCACATATTTCTAGCCTCAAGTGCCTGACTCCTGCCACATTTATCTGTCAGGCGGTAATTAAGTGTTTATAGCTTGTATGAAATCACAGTTGTGGAGGAAAAGTTAGAAACTTAATAGCTCAATGAATTTTAAAATACAGTCAGTCCTCCATATTTGAAGGTTCCACAGATGGAAAATATGCAGGAAAAAAAGTTACATTATTGTTGACATGGACTAGCTAGGCCTACAGTGGTTGTGTCAGTAGTAAACATGTAGACTTTTTTCCTTACCCTTAAAAAATACAGTATAACTGCTGCTTACATTAGGTATTACCAGTATAAGTAATGTAGAGATGATTTAAAGTATATGGGAGGATGTACGTAGGCTATATGCAAACACTATGCTATTTTATATATGGGACTTAAGCATCTATGGATTTGGGTATCCAAGAGGGTGGTTCTAAGGGATGACTGTACAAGCATATTTTTGTGAGTAATCTGAAATTATTTTTAGGTAAAAAAGGCAAAACCCCAAATGTGTTACTTGTGATTAGTTTCCTTTGGGAAGGATGTTGTTACTCCTTTTTTCAGTAACAATCACGGTTCTCTTTTTGCCCTTGAATTGTACCTTTATATGTAAACAATTATGTTTTTAGGCTTTCTTTAGTATTATAAAGCTTCCACATTATGCAAGATTGGTAACAAATCTCTGGGCATGCTTAATCTTCTGGGATGTTGATTTAATGGCAGAAATGGTTAAATAATTCCAATATTCGTGGCTCTATTAATAAGCACACCACTGTTAGAACCCCTCTGAAATGAAAGAATTTTGTTTTTAAGTATCTGATCATTTGAATAACCTTTTAAAAAAAGTGTTTGCAAATTCTAAAATACATGATTTCCTACAGAATTTAAATGTAAGTAGCACATTCAGGGAAAGTGTAAATAATTGTGATTTCGAAGGAATTATTTCTTAAAATTTACTGTGTTGTCCTGAAAAAAAATTATTGATGCATGAAGTATCTGTTTACAGCATGCTAGGATTCTTAAAATGTTGCTGAGGGGGCCATAACCCAGCTTGCTGACTCAGGAAGCTACAGAAAAAATGATTATGTCTGTCCATTACTTTTCACTGGTTTCACTTGAGAATTAATTGTTGCCTTACAATGTTACTGAAATAAACTTTAATATACTAGTTAGTATATTAAAATAGAAAAATATATCTTTATTGTATTCTGTATCCTCATATTTGAAGTTTTTTAAAGTCTTGTTCTTTTTAATAGCTGTTAGAAGGCCTAGACAAGCGGTCACGAACCGGTGGTCTGTGAGGTTGGTGACCACTGGCCTCGATGGTTCCTGTGGTTATAACTGCTGTTTTAATGGGGCATGTGAGCAAAGAACTCAAGATGGAAATGTTAGTTTTACTTCAACTGGTATCCTTTTGGCTGTGCATCTGAATTTCACAGAAATTAATGACCAGCTACTTGGTAAATGTTGAGTTTCAGCATATTTAGCAGTTTTAAATCATATCTATTGGCAAAGGAAATCACTGAAGGGCTAATGAAAATGGTATTTTGTTGGATAGAGCTCATTCTAATCTCCACACAAGAAAAGGACATCACTACTCAAAACAGTCCAGTACAAGGTGTAATAATAGCAGAATGACATTCCTAATACAGTTTACAGAAATTTATGGCCAATAGAGCAAAAATGCACTTAATACCTCTTTATTTAAAAAGCCTAGCCAATTTGGAAGTACATCAATATATATTTTTGATACTACTACATTATTTGATTTGTAAAAATATAACATGTTGATACTTTCATTTATCCCAAGAATGCAAAGTTGGTTTAATACCTGAAAAATCAATGCAATATACCATATTCATAAAATAAAGGACAACTACCATATAATCATCTCAATAGATGACCAATTATTTGGTAAATATTGACAAAGCCTAACACCTTTTCATGATGAAAAATAAACTAATAGATGGGAACTTCCTCAACCTAATAAAGTAATTTGTGGTTAAAGACTGAATATAATGCTTTCCACCTAAGTTCAGAAAGAAGACAAAGATGTACACTACTCATTTCTGTTGAATACTGTGCTGGAGGTTCTAGCAAGAGGCATCCAGATTAGCTGCAGATGACATGATCTTTAAAGAAAACCCTATGGAAGCCACAAAAACTATTACAGTTAACTAATGAATCCAGCAGTGTTGTAGGATCTAATTTCAACATACTAACAAAGAGTAATTCTATTTGCAATAGCATGGAAAACAATAAAATACTTAAGAATAAGCTTACAAAAGTACAAGATTTTTATAATGCTAACTATATAAAACACTGCTGAAAGGAATTAAAGACATGTCCTAAGACCGACAAACTTAATATTAAGATGGCAATATTCTCCAAATGATCTATAGATTGAGGTCATATCAAATCCCAGCTGCTTTTTGTGTGCACACACATAACTTGACAAGCTGATCCTGCAAGGGACCCAGAACAGCCAAAACATTCTTGAGAAAAACTTAGGATTCACACTTTCAAAACTTCCTACAAAGTAGCAACAGTAATCAAGACAGTGTGGTACTAGCAGAAACAGACACAGATCAGTGTAATGCAATCAGCCAGAAATAGACCCATACACTCACAGTCTACTGAGTTTTGACAATGGGAGAAAAACTTAAGTAAATGGTCTGGGACACTGAATCGTCACATATAAAAGAACAAAGTTAGACCCCCTCAGGACATAAATAAAATGAACTCAAATAGATCAAAGACTAACATGTGGAAACTAAAATCACGAAACCCTTAGAAGAAAACATTGGCATTAGTACCTGCTGTTGCTAACTGAAAGAGAGGATTTTCACTTTTTTGAAAAAAGCTGTTACCATACTAACGTAGGTCTTTCAAAAAAAGCCGAGTGCCACAGCACAAACTTTCAAAAAGCAGGAACACGCTACTCTTGGATAGTGGGGGAATGAAACCTGTATCTGATAAGCATCTAGTATCCAAAAGATAGAAAAACTCTTGCAAATCAACAAAAGAAAGATAAATGACCCAAATATGAAGTGAGCAAAGGATGTGAACTTTTTTATCCAAAGATACACAAATGGCTAATAATCATGAAAAGACAGTCATAAGGGAGATGCAAATCTATAATGAGATACCACCACTTATTATATTAACGCAGATGGCTATAACCAAAAATACAACAAGTGTAGACTGGAGCCCTCCTCCTCTGCTAATGGGAATTAAAAAAATAATAGCCCAGGCACTCTGGGAATATGGTTAGACATTTCCTCAAAGAATTAACTCACATCACATGACTCAGCATTTCCACTCCTAGACAGAACTGAAAACATGTCCACACAGAACCTACTTGTACATGAATGTTCATAGTAGCATTATTCATGACAGTCAAAACGTGGAAACTACCCAATTCCTTAAATAACTAGATAAACAAATATAGTATGTCTATAAAATGGAGTATTATCCAGCCTTGAAAAGGAATGAAGCATTGATACAAAGATGAACATCATGCTCAGTGAAAGAAGCCAGACAGAAAAAAGCCACATATAACATTATTCCATTTATATGAAATGTCCAGAATAGGCAAATCCGTAGACACAGCAGATTTAGGAATATAGGACAACAGGAAAAAGTAATCAAATTGTTAATCTCACCTATTAGTGTCCTCTACACTTTTGTATATAAAGTTTTGCTTGGTGGAAATCATATGGTATGCATGATTTTGTATCATTTTTCATGGTAGTTTAAAACATTTTCCATGCCATCAACATGAATCATTTCCAATCTTGCATTGTCAAGCATCTAGGATGCCACCAACTCTTGAGGCTCCTATCCTAAATAATTCTGCATATAAATAAATATTAAGTCTGCTGAATTTCTAAGTTATTTCATAAGAAAAATTCTAAGAGGTGGAATTATATGATCAAAAGAATATTTATGTGGCTTTTAATACATATACTTTTTGCTGTTTCCCTGAGATGGTGAGCAAACAAAAGTTAATGTAATGGTTTTATGGCCCTTTACCAAGTACACATTACAGAAGTAGCAGCAACTTTAATTCAAGCAAAGGTTGACTTTATAGCCCCAAATGACTTCTTGTTTTGGTATTAGCAAATAATTTAAACCTCGAATAGTTATACTGAATATTTAAATTCACTGGTTAAAAATATGGCTTAAACAGTTGATACCTGAACCAAACAAGGCAAAAAAAGATTGAGTTTTTAAATATTAAATTGTATTAACAAATTATCAGATAAATTTCCTATAAATTTTTTTTTTTTTTTTTTTTTGCCTTGGGGCCACCCATTCCTATTAGTTGAAAAACAAGTATTTTCTAGAGGACTCATTTATGGCATTAACCCTAGGAATATAGCTCTTATTGACGCCTGCTTGGGACAGTGCAAGATGAACCCAGCAGCACATTAGGACATTTGAAAAAATGACAGCTGTTTAAATGGTAAATCATTTTTATTGATGGAATATTCACACCAAGCACAAAAGTAATGCTAGGTCTTCTCCTAGTGGACTAGGGCAGAAGAAATTTCAGTTTAGTTTCTTGCTGAGCTCATGATGTACTCACCTGGGAAACAGTTCTATCTTAAGATTCAGGGAAAGGTGGTTTAAAACAAAGGCTTAAATAAAAGTAGCACCAGAAGGACCAGGTCAGGTACCAATAATCACATATTCCACCCATTCAGGAGTTTCTGTATGTGAAATTATTGCACTTGTAAAAAGTAAATGATAGTAAATTACCAAACCCAATAATTTAAAACAGTTTGATGAATTCTGAACTAAGCAATTTCAAAATAGTCTTGAGTTTCCCATCAAAGGAAACTTGGCTAGGACAACTAAATCTAGCCACTTACTTTTAAAAACAAGGATAGAGGACCAAGTTTTATTTCTAAACTCTAATTGCACTAAGAGGAGAGAGGCTGTTTTACATAGTGGTATGAATTTGGTCCACATGAAATACATTGTTATTATAAAAATAAACAAGTTTGTTTTTGTAAAAAATAACATTGCATTCCTTTGTTCAAATTGCACAATACAAACAAGCTATCTAAATTAATACTGTTATAAGGTAATTAGAAGTACATACACAGGGTATGTGTTTAATCTGAAGCAATTAAGGAGTATGCAGTTTTCATAATGTATGAAAACTAAAATTAAGTCATATCTAGAAATACATAAAATATTTTAAAAATTACAATGAAGAATGCATTCTTTACATACTAATTTTTAGTTAGCCGTGATAATACAGGATTCAGTATATTTACATAAAACTCCATTTTTACTCAATTTACAAAAGCAATAAATAAGAAACTACATTAATTTGCACAAAACCTGTTTCATTTCATGATTGGTGTAACCATTTCTGTTATTTTATGACCAAGCCAATAAAATAAACCTGTCTTCCTCTATGAAGACTGCTCATATTTGGAAAGAAGAGCAAGTCCTGTCTTTATTCCAAGAGTGACTATAAATGGCCATGCAGAATCCAGCATAAAACCTTACAAATTATAATACAAGCCCTAAAAATATGAACAGTGCCTTTGAGTATATTTATACAAGAGTATTCACAAAAAGATAAAATTCTTGATACAAAATAGTTTAGTGGTATCTAACACATAATTAGACAAGAACCCGTCCGACCTCCGGTCCAGCAGGAATGCAGCTGGCACACTGCCTCACAGGTATAGCGCTCCCATCATTCAGGACTGGCATGTGCTGTGCCAGGGCAGACATCTGCTCAGGAGGCCCAGTCAGAGTCCAGTGCTCTCAATCTAGGGCATTCCAGGTAGCTCAGGTACCTGACAAGCTACAGCAAGCACATGAGCATTTATTTTTAAAAAAGCAGTCTGGACACACGCTGAACCAGAAAACGTAAGAAGCTATATGTAGTGAAAAAGCAAGCTCATCTGGGGCAAAACAATCCCTATGGTTTAAGACCTACCAATCTTAAGAATAAAACCAAAATATTCTCATGTACATCTGTACAGTATTCTTTATTACTTTCCACCAAAGCTTTAAATTTTTTTTTTAAATGAAAGAGGATTTATTCTGATATATTTTTCTGGAGTCAAGGAGATTTCTTAGAGAAGAGTTAGTTAAAATGTAATACCTTACCAGAGTCTCTGAGCTGAGATCCCTGGTTAAATCATCCAATGAGGTCACAGTGCACGCACGCTGCTGCTAATTAATACTGCCGTGGTGACGGCACCTCACCGTCGTTAGGACACACAGCAGTCGTAAGTCCCATCCTGGAAAGTTTCCTCCTCCTCTGCGCAGGTTGTGTTCTCCTCTTTCCCGCTGACCATACCGCTACCTCCGACCTCGCCCTGGGGGATGCTTCCATGGCCTGAGGAGCCCCTGCTCTCCTCTGCCCGAGGACTAGTCTGTTCAGGAGTCTTACCCACAGTTACTGGCTGGAAAGCTTCAGGATGGACCTGCTCTTCTGTTATCTCACTGAGCTTCTGTAGTTGTGGCTTAATGATGTTCAAAAATGGCTTATATCCAGGACTAAGTAAAGGAAAGAGGAAATTAGTTCACCTGCCATATTCAAAAGGCTCCATAGAGTGTTATATATATACTAGAGGCCCAGTGCACAAAATTCATGCATGGGTAGGAGCTCTAGGCCTGGCCCGTGATTAGGATCGATCAGGGCATTCCGCTGTTGGCCAGGGCCTTCCTTCATTCTGTGCCGCCCCCCCAGTGGTCAGCACATGTTATAGCAAGTGAGCGAACTCCCGGTGGAACTCCTGAGGGAACACTTTGCATATTAGCCTTTTGTATATGCAAATATACTTTTTCTATTGATTTCAGAGAGAAAGGGAGAGATAGAAACATAATGATGAGAAAGAATCATTGATTGGCTGCCTCCTACATGCCCCCAACTGGGGATTGAGCTCGCAACCCGGGAATGTGCCCTGACAGGGAATCGAACCATGACCTCCTGGTTCATAGGTTGATGCTCAACCACTGAACTACACTGGCCGGGCATTACAGTGTTATGGAAAAATTCGTACTAAACACAGATACAGTAAGGTCAGTGATTGATTATGAGGGGAGAGGAGGCAGCACAGGGAGGTAGGAAGGGAAGGTTTCTTAGGTGCCCTGGCCAGCATAGCATTAGCATGAGTCTTAAATTTCGGCACACTAGGAGCAAATTATCTAATATTACAATTAAAAATCATATTCCACAGTGTAAGGACCAATAGGATTTCATACCTGAAAAAGAACTTTCAGAGAATCTGAATGAATTTTCCAATTAAGGAAAACTAGATCCAAGTAAGGCAAGCCCCCAAATCCACACATAATTGGTGAGTAAGGGCTAGAACCCCAGGTGCCTAACTTCTATCCACTTTTTTTTTTTTTTTTAAGTGTCCTTTATTGTATATGTCCTAATAGAGTTTTATTAGCATCCACTACTATCTTTAAAAAAATATGTTCTTATTGATTTGTAGAGAGAGGAAGGGAGAGGGACAGGGAGATAGAAACATTGATGAGAGAGAAACATAGATCAGCTGCCTTCTGCATGCCCCCTCCTGGGGATCCAGCCCGCAACCCAGGCATGTGCCCTGATCTGGAATCAAACTGGTGACCTCTTTGTTCATGGGTTGATGCTCAACCACTGAGCCACACTGGCCGGGCCATCCACTACTCTTAATTTGGTTTGCTAGTAACTGCCATGGAATTTGTTAAATTCATATAGACTAAGCTTTTATTTTTTCAAGTAGAAATTTTTAGATTATTTAATTCCACAGAACCACAAACCCTAAGTTCCAGTCTTAATGCATAAACCAGTCAGAAAAAGATAAATATCACATGATCTCACTCATTTGTGGAATATAATGAACAATATAAACTGATGAACAAAAACAGATCCAGAGACAGAGAAGCATCGATCAGACGGTCAAACCTCAGAGGGAAGGTAGGGGAGGGTGGGGGTAAGGGGGAGAGGTCAACCAAAGGACTTGTATGCATGCATATAAACCTAACCAATGGACACAGACACCAGGGGAATGAGGGCATCAGTGGGGGTGGGTGGGTGGGGGGAGCAATGGGGGGATAAGGACACATATGCAATATCTTAATCAATAATGAAAAAGAAAAAGAAAAACAAAAAAACATCATTTGTGCTGCATCAATTTTAAGTCAGTGATATGCATTCCATTTTAAAACGACCAGCCATTTCACTGGACATCACTCATCTAAATGTTTGGTACAGAACAGTAACTAAAGAACACAGCATTAAAATGAACATATTAAAGCATTTTTATACTGACCAACCTAAAATCTCTAAATAAGTAAACCAGAGCTAAGCCTTAATGGGAAAGGACAGGGTTCACCAATGAACAGCAGAGAAACAAGCTGACAGAACCAGCACTTACCAGTCTGCAGAGGCCCATCGGTCCACCGCATGCAGCCCTGTCTTTATGTTCTGTAACATCTCTCCATCTACCTCTGTCGTCTGTATAATCACCAAAATCTGGTTGATTATTGAGGATTCTCTAAGAATCAAGCCTATGACAATGCACCAGTCCAGACATCCTGCCTCCATGAAGATGTGTAGCAAATACCTGTACAGAAACAGAAACAGAGTAACTGGGAAGGAAATATGGAGCTAAGAAGAATCTAGATGTCAGAGGGGCAATCTACCAGGAAAGTAGCCCCTGCACCTTATTTACCCAAATATCCCAAGTAGGGATTCTGTACTTTCAGAAGGCCGAGAAACTCACCGCAGCTGGACCTGGGATTTGTGAGGCCCTTTACTGGCCAACTCCATGGAGATGTGCTCTAGCTCTGACTGCGTTAAACTGAGTGTGGAGAAGCTTTCATCCACCACTGTCCAGTCCCCATCCACCATGGAGCTGCTTTCAGTCAAGTCTGTGGCTGAACCAATACTGCATTCATCACCTGATGAAGAAGTGCCAAAAGTTATAAACTAACTTCATATGGAAAATGTTTTAACTATAGTTTTAAATATTGGCTGTTTTTTAGATGTTGATTTCTCTTGAAGAGTTTGAAACTAAAACATAAATCCATTGCTAAAATTCCCAAGCTAGATTAACAGTAGGTATTTTTAATTTTTTTAAATTTTTTAAATATATATTTTATTGATTTTTTACAGAGAGGGAGGGAGAGGGATAGAGAGTTAGAAACATCGATGAGAGAGAAACATCGATCAGCTGCCTCCTGCACACTCCCTACTGGGGATGTGCCTGCAACCAAGATACATGCCTTTGACCGTAATCGAACCTGGGACCCTTAGAGTCCGCAGGCCGACACTCTATCCACTGAGCCAAACCAGTCAGGGCAACAGTAGGTATTTTTTAAAAAACCATTAGAGTTTGGCCAGTGTGGCTCAGTGGTTGAACACTGACCTATGAACCACGAGATCATGGTTCGATTCCTGACCCGGGCACATGCCTGAGTTGTGGGCTCAATCCCCACTGAGGGGTATGCAGGAGACAACCAATGATTCTCTCTCATCATTGATGTTTCTATCTCTCTCCCTTTTCCTCCCTCTGAAATCAATAAAAACGTGTATTTTTTAAAAAGCCATTAGAGAGGTAACCAGGCATTATGTGCCTTCACATGGAAAAACATGCTACTGCCTATTAAAAAAAACTATAATCTGATCAAGTCTTTAGATTCAATTACCAATTGGCAAGAAAAACAGAGGAAACAAACTTAATCATCAAGATGTAATCACCAAAATCCACATTAAGGAAAAATCCATGAAGCAGGTTTCTTCAATGAATAAGTAGAAAGAAAAAAAAAAAAAGATGGGGAGGGGAATAATCACTAAAAAGAGAATTAAAAACATAACAATCACAATGTATCAACCTTATTTAGACCTTGAGTCAAGCCATAAAAGACAATTATGAATTAGAAATAATTGGACTCTGAAAGCTTACTGGATATTTGATGGGTTAAAATTTTAGAAGGATGATATGGTATTATGGCTAATTTTTAAAGTGTCCTTTTAGATATAAATACTGAAATATTCACAAAATACATGTTTTGGATTTGGTTAAAAAAATACCAAAAGTGGATGAAACAAATTTGGTCATGAGTTGGTAATTGAAGCTGGGTGATGGATACGTGGATCCATTATCTCAACCTTCATGTCTGAAATGATCTCTAAAAAGTTTCTTAAAAAAAAAAAAGCAATGGGCCCTGGCCAGTTAGAGTGTCCGGGTTTGATTCAGGTCAAGAGCACGTACCTCATTTGCAGGTTCCTCCCTGGTCCAGGGGGCGTGTGCAGGAGGCAACCAATCGATGTATTTCTCTCACATGGATGTTTCTCTCTGTCTTTTCCTCTCTCTCCCACTCTCCCCCCCCAAAAAAAATCAATGGAAAAATATCCTTGGTCGAGGATTAAGAAAAAAGAGCAATGGTACCACCTCATGTCCATTATGATGGCTAATATGTGGGCAAGGATGTGGAGAAACCTCAACACCCTTGTCAACATTGGTGGGAATGTAAAATGGTATATGGAAATATGATGGTTCCTCAAAAAAAAAAATTAAAAACAGAATTATCATATGATCTGGAAATCCCACTTTTGGATATATACCCCAAAGAATTAAAAACAGTGTCAAAAAGATATATACTTTCATGTTCACTACCACATTATTCATAATAATCAAACGTGGAAGCAACCCAACTATACATTAGTAGATGGATGAACAACATGTGGTATATACATATAATGAAATATTACTCTACCTAATAAAGGAAGTTCTCATGCATGCTACTACAGGGATGAACTTTGAGAATGTTATGCTGAGTGAAATAAGCCAATTACAAAAAGACAAATACTGCATGATTCCACTTACATGAGGTACCTAAGGTAGTGAAATTCATAGAGATAGAAAATAGAATGGCCCTGACCCGTTTGGCTCAGTGGATAGAGCATCGGCCTGCGGACTCTGGGGTCCCAGGTTCGATTCCAGTCAAGGGCATGTACCCTGGTTGCAGGCACATCCCCAGTAGGGAGTGTGCAGGAGGCAGCTGATTGATGTTTCTCTCTCATCGATGTTTCTAACTCTCTATCCCTCTCCCTTCCTCTCTGTAAAAAATCAATAAAATATATATTAAAAAAAAAAGAAAAAAAAAGAAAATAGAATGGTATTTGCCAGCAGTTGGGGAGTGAGGAATGGGAAGTTGTTATGAATAGGTATAGGGTTTTAGTTTGTAAAATGAAAGAGTTCTGGATACTGGTAGAACAATGTGAATGGGAATTGTAAACACTACTGAACTGTATACTTAAAAATGGTTAAGAAGGTAAATTTTTTATGTATTCTACCACACTTGAAAAAAAATAATGGCATCTATAAGCCTACCCACATAGCAGAAGCTCAGCTTATAGTGATGACAGGTGAATACCTGGCCATTAAGAAAACTGCAGAAAATCAGATTAGTTACTACTAGTTGCTCCTAATTATATAAACCTAAGCAACATAAATCACTTTAAAAATTCCTCAAATTTTATCTTACCCATTTCTTTCTTTAATTTTTCCCTTTATTGATTTTTAGAGAGAAAGCGAGAGGGAGAGATAGAAGCATCATTGGTGAGAATCACTGATTGGCTGCCTCCTGCATGCCCCCTACTGGGAATTGAGCCCACAACTTGGGCATGTGTCTAGACAGGGAATCAAACTGGTGACCACTTAGTTTCTAGGTTGACGCTCAATCGCTGAGCCACACCGGCCAGGCCTGACCCATTACTTTAAGAGCAGAGGTTGGCATACATATTTTGGTAAAGGGCAAGAATAGTAAATATTTTAGGGTTTAAAATCTAAGAGGCAAAGTTAAGGATATTATGTAGGAAGTTAAAAGAAAAAAAGAAAATGTCCACATTTTAAAATAAATGAAATAAGAAAGATAAGTGAGTACAATTTTTTATGATACAGGTATACTTATGAGAAAAATGGAATTCTTATATGGGGATAGATAACATTCTGCTTACATGAGATTCAAAGTCAGTGTTTCTGTACATTAAAATCTATTGCAAAAGTTCAATTATTAGTGCTGATTTGTAATAAGATTCTGCCTATTTCATTTTACCTAAAATAAATATGGTGGCCTATAGCCAAGGCCAACTGGCCTTGTTCCAGTGACCCTCACCTGCCTGGCAGATACTAAAGGGTAATCCTCAAGGAAGCATCTTCAGAGAAGAATGAAACTCTCTCTGAAGTGCTGCAGCACCTCAACTCCCTCCCAAAGGAACTGAAGAAGAGCTAGGCCTTAAAGTGACACTCACCTTTGTTAGATAAAGGTGACAGGAAGGCGTCTTGCATTTGTGGTCCCTGGGATGAGGCTGTGTCTATCTCATGGTGGGTAGGGCCAATGTTGCTGAGCCAGCTCTGACTTCGCTGGACATTAGAGAGGCCAGCATCTATCTCAAGGTTTAAGAAACGGTCAGCTGATTGAGATTTTAACAGCTGCTCTCCCACTGCAAGGCAGGTCCAAAAACAAAAAAATGGAAATTCAACATGCACACACTGCCATTTCCAATTCAGTCCTTTCAGCTTCTCTTTCCGCACTTGCTCAATATTAGAAGTTAAAAGCCAATTATTGTCCTACACTGCATCCCCCACCCATAAACCAGGGCTATGGGGCTGTAACAAAATGGACTGACTATATAATGCCACCCAAGAGTCATCTAACATCATCATATCTTACTAGAACTAGGCAAAATTTTACTCTGTTCATCTTTGATGTGATTTTCCTTGGTTCTAAGATGACATGAAGTTTCCAAATGCCATAATTAAAGGCTTTTGTTTCAATTTTCTTAAGTGACAATTAGAACAGTCTTCCTTAAAAAGACCTGAACTAAAAAACTTTATCTCTTAACTTTTCTTTCACCAAAGTGCAGTTTCACTTTGTCCTCTCCTAGTTTAGAAGATGGGCTCTCAAAGATGCATTTTTACCATTTCTCTGGAATGAGCTGTCAGGTAAGGAACAATTTAGCTTATTTTGATTAACCAATTCCAAAACTCCTTCCCATAGTAAGTGTGGTAGTTCTATATTCAGTCAGTTCTCAACTTGATAATATGAGATAACAATGGCTATATTTATACATCGGATTTCAAGGTCACAGTCTCTGAGACATAGGTTCTACTTTATTCACATCCTTGATCAAAATGGTGGATGATCTGACTGATGTACAAAAACTTGGCTTTTATCTCTTCCTGAGTTTGGAATGAAAAGACTTCTTTGAATATCAACTAACTGCAAAACGTCTAAGTTCCTGGAGTAAAATACACTCGCCTGTACCTTGACACAAGCTTGCACTACCTGTTCGGAGTTTGCCGTTCTTGAAAGGAGAACTGAGAGAAGAGGCTGGGATGATGGGAAGTGGCCACAGGAAATCTTTGTGGAGTCTCTTCAGGGCTATCACAAAGTTGTCCACCCGGGCAGCTCGGGCACGCTCCTTGCAGAGCCAACTAATGAGTTCAAAGCCCAACTGGGCTGCAAAGCAACCCAGGTCCTTGAGCCGAACTTCTTCTAAGAGACGCCGAGCATGTCTCCAGAGCATCATGTCAATATACATGTTCTCTGCACAGTCGCTGTCTTTACTCCATCTGTAAGTGGGAACACAAGGAAGCTACAAAAAACCTTTACTGGAAGGCTTCACATACTTTTACGTAGTAGCACTGAGTGTGCTGATAGGGAGGTGAGAGATCCAAGATCTAATTCTGATTGAAGAGGAGGATAAAGTATTAGGTCTTCTCCTCCCTGTGATACCACAACCCACTGAACAATGCCTGGAACTCAGCAGGCTTTTACAACGTAATTGTAGAATGAATACATGGAATAGGAGAAAACAGGAGGCAAAGCCAAACGAGGCAAGAGGAAAGAAAGGGAGGACATAAATGCTATATTTAATTTAAAGACCAAGGAAAAGAGGGGAGGAAATCAGATCATAGAAACTAATAAGAAGAAAGGTGAAATGCAGTCTCATAATGTGAGTTATGTAGACAACTTAAAAAATACAAATAAAAAAATAATTTAAAAAAATTAACTTCACTAAATCCAGTCTATCTCCCCTTACCCGTGGGCGCTGGTGTGCCCACCCAGTCTGTAACAGTATGTGGTGCTTCCGTGAGAGGCAGCACTGGAGCAGGCGGCCTGGACTCAAGTCTCAGCTCTGCACTCATTAGTTGTGTGAACATAACCAAGTTTATGTTCTGGACTCTGTTTCTCCACCTGAATCGTGTGGGTAACAACAGTACCTACCCTTATGTACCCTTAACAGTTGTTGAGAGGATTAAAGACCTACACTTGTAAATGCCAGAACCATGCTTACTTAGCACATAGTGAGCACTGAGTCTGCGTTCGTATTTAAATTCAGGGTATGGCTGAGAAGCTTCTGTTTGCCTGACAATTGTTTATAGGTTGCATTTCACGTGTATATAGCCCAAGATTGTGTGTATGTTGCAAGTGGGGGTGATATTAATGGCTGTGATAAGAAAAAGCAGTAAACATCACAATAAAAGAAGTTCAGTAAGCTCTGTGTGTCAGGCACTGCAGACACAATACGAACAATATGAAAGGATTAGGGAAGAGAAAAAAACAGGAGCCGAGAACATGCAACACAAGAAGGAATCATGGATCTCACAAACGGGGAAATTCTATTTTATAATGTTCAGTGTGAGTCCGCAGCTGACCTCTCAGAAGCAACAGCCCACCCATGGGGGATGGAGGTTCCCATCTCAGATGCACTTCCTTGTTGCTCTCCCACTGTTTTAATGGCCTCTCCAATCAGAGTCACAGGACAGTCAAGCATAGGAGGACTGAATTTTATTTATTTTTGTCTAGTAGTACAGTTAGAAAGGAGGATAAAACTGACTGTAAGAAGACTTTTGGATTACCTGCAACTTTATTATCTTCCTTTTTATCCTATAATCAAGTAATTTAAAGTTAATTACATTCAGAACAGGTATATCGAGACCTCTAATACAAGTAGCAGAAAACTGTAGAAGTGAACTTTGGAGGAAGAAGGAAGGGAAGTTTTTTGAGAATTGCAAAAGGAAGTGCAAGTAGATCAAGCAGTTGTTTTCATGAGATCTGACTTTACAAATGCCCTGAAATGCAATGTCACTCAATGCCCTAAAAGCATAATGGCTTTTCATCCTTTTACCTTTTTCCCGAAGGCCCAGATGGCATACTTAGTGTTTTCTGTAAGCTGAATTTACTAGCAGGTACGTTGTCAGCTGACTGGGACAAACTGATGCTGCGATTCCTGAAGAACTCAAATCCTCCGCTTGAACTGGGTTCCTGCGAGAGCACGCAACGTGCAGTGCGGTTAGAGGGGATGCCACACGGGTATATGCCCAGAGAAGCTGCCAAATCTGCAACTAACCTGAGCTGTAGGTGTGGATGGAGGTGTCTCAGATTCTCCAGAGCCAATGGCTTTAAGAAATCGAATCATGTGCCGACATAAGTCCCACTTGCCTTGCTCTAGGGCTGTGTTGAACAGAAGGGTGGCATGTTGCCTGCTTACTGCTGGGACTTCCATATTCTACAAAAACAACCAAGGAAGACAAGCATTCCTTTTATGCTGCAAATAATTTGGGAAACGATGAGCAACTCTTTATCTCCATGGTTCCCTAAACCCAGATGAGAGATGCAGCTGCAACGCTGCAGTCCCAGTTTAACAGCGAAATTAAAGGAGCACTAGAGGTATCAGACAAGAAGAGCTGAGGTGCATACTGTGCTGCGTAACATAAACTGTGAATATTAATCTCCCACTACATGCCAGAGCGTTATATAAACCTCACACACTCTCTTTCATTTCTCCTAGTGAATCGGCAATATGGGTACGTCATTCCTATTTTACAGATGAGAAAACTGAGTTAAGTAACTTGTTGAAGCAAGAATAAAAATCCAGATTTGCCAGACTCCCAAAAAGCCCAGGTCTGTTCTCCTGGGACAGCTTTCTGAGGATGGGACTTAAAAATCGTTGCTTTGGGCAGCAGTATGTAGTACTGTTACACAAACAGCATCCTAAATAATTCTTTCACAAGTTTATTTATTTGTTATCCTCACCCAAGGACATGTTTGATTTTAGAGAAAGAGGAAGGGAAAGAGAGAGAGAGCAAGAAAAACATCGATTTGAGAGACATGGATCAGGTGCCTCCTGTACTCGCCCTGACTGGAGATAGAACCTGCAACCTAAGTAAGTATGTGCCTTGACCAGGAGTCAAACCTGCAAACTTTTGGTGTTTGGGACACCACTAGAAACCAACTAACCCACACGGCCAGGGCTCTTCCGCAAATCTAACCTTACTGCCTGCTCTGGCCTTCATGGAATGGTGACTAATAGATAAGTTTAACTGTAATTAATCCACAGCAACTTAGGGATTCTGATAGAACAGAAGTTTCCAATTCCATTGCTTCAGAGATCACTGAAAGTCTAAGGAGTGACCTGAAAAACAACACCTGCATTAATTTGTTTCTATTTTTATGATTCTGTGGCTCTTTCTTTAAGATTAATCAAGGAATCAGAATTTCATGGCCGTCCAGCCTCTGCTGGAGTATCTCTGGTTTCAATCAGTTGTCACTGTAGACAGGAAATCTGCTTCAGGCAGTCTGAAACCAGGTTTATGGTTAGCTTCTTATATCAGCAACAGAACTTGGCAGTCATCGAAACTTTAGTGCAGCCTGTCAAATCCACATCAGACACACAGGAACAACAAACTATCAAGCAGCCTTGTCAAATATATAATGAAGCAAATTTTCAAGAGTCTCAAAGGGCACATTTTGAGAAGAACTGCAATGAGAGTATTTACTGCGGCAGGCCTGAGTCCTCTTAACTCACTGTGGGGAGCCTCAGGTAAGGTGTTCTGCTATGACCCAGCTCTAACCAGAGTCCCTGCATCAAGTCCACACTACAAGGAAACACCTATTATGTATGCTGGGGCGGCTCAAACCCAATAATATTCATGTTATATGTACTATAATACATATGATACTTCTTCAGTATTACTCAAAATAGTATTATAAACTCATCAGTCTGTTTTAGGCCTAATTATGGACAAACAGGATTTTTAAAACTCTGCAATGTTACTATCAAGCAATGAATACATAAGTAAGTGGAACAACACACTGATGTTTCACTCTCTGTCTCCCTTCTCTCTCTGAAAATAAATAAAATAAAAAAACCTGCAATGTTCCTTTTTAATATTCAAAGAAATTTTCTGTTATTTGATAAAAATAAGTTCTTCAAAAGCAAAGATATAAAATGAATAGAAAACAGGACTGAATTAATTCCTTAAACACAATCACAGTGTCAAAACAGGACATTTCTTTTTTCCCCAGAAGTTTAAAATCATTAATTCTTGTACCTTTATAAGAAGAGAGCTGTTACCTGTAAGATAATAAGGTAAGAGGCAGCTGTGTCCAAATCCTGAGCCATCAAACATTCCTCAAACAAGTCCTTGGGGTTTCCAACAGCTGCAAAAAGGTAGTTCCACAGGGCATATTCGGTCTTCCTGGCACAATGCACAACGGTCTGCAGGAAGAGGGGGAACTCGGTGATAAACTTTGCCACCGTGGGAAGCAGAGGGTCGGGAATGGGCTCCCGTGAGGTAGCTTCCTCTTCCAGCACTTCGTGGAGCATGAGCTCCAGCACGTGAGGGAAGTAGGGTAACGCGGAGCAGGACTGGGCCAGGAGCAAGGCCTGCTCCCCGAGGTTCCTGACCAGCAGCTGACGTAGGATGTGGTGGAGGTAGATCTGCGAGGTTCTCTCCACGACACAGAAGGGGAAGAGCACCTCCAGCTGCTCCCTAGCACTGCTTCGAGTGTACAGAGAGTCGTAGAGCACAGTGTCATTGACAGCACCGAGGACTAACGCATCTTCAAACAGAACCGCCAGCGGGTAAATGTTGATGTGGAAAGGCAGCATGATCCGCTGGGACAAGAAGGAATGGGGCTTTCGATGGTCCCTCGGGAAGAGAGGGAGCCAAACTTTCATCCCTGCCCCTCCACAGCTCAGCCAGAGGGCCTCCAGGAGGTGCCGCTTTTGTTTATTTGCTCGACACGTAGTCCATACATTTTCAACAGACTGAGCTAGTACAACAGGAGCACAGAATGGCAACTGGAAAAGGAGACAAGAATCAGTTTTTTTTCCTATTAAATCTGTAGGTTAAGTTCCTAGGCACTAATTTCCCAAGACTTTAAAAATGCGAGTGCAAATTTTTAGGAAAATTACGGTAACTTATTTAGAATTAGAGTTAATAATAGTCCCCTGGCCTTTCAGAGTATGTGTATTTAAATCTAAAAACCAAAACCTGAGAACCAAGATGGCGGCATAGGTTAACGCCGGAGTTTGCTGCTTTGAACAACTACTTCAAAAGTGAAACCAAAAAACGGAAGGGACATCACCCAGAACCACAGGAACACTGGCTGAGTGGAAGTCCTACAACTAGGAGGAAAGAGAAACGCATACGGACACTCAGAGGAGGCGCAGTGCTGAAGTCAAATTCTGAGGTGCGGAGTGCGCGGAGCGGGCTGGCGGCGGAGGGCGCGGTTGGCGTTTTCAATCGGGAGGGAGTCGCAGACTCTGAGCTCCAGATCCGGGCGAGTCTTTAGGGACCCAGACTCAAACGGGAGAAGCGGGACTGTCTGGCTTCGGTCAGAGCGAGTGCAGCTTTCTCTCTGAGCTTTGCAGCGGGTGCTGGGACTCAGAGAGGCAGAGCCCCTGGGGACAGGACTGAGAGCGGCCATAACTGCTCTCTCCGGCCCACCCTGTTGATCCTGTGCGACCCGCCCTGCCCAAGCCCTGCACACAGGCATTTGCCGGATAGCCTCAGGCAAAGGCTAGATTAGCATCTCCCTAGAGGACAGAAGTTCTCTCACTGCTGACACAGCTGATTCTCATAGCCACTTGGCCTGGAGGTCAAACCCTCCCTGGAATTAGCTACAACAATCAAGATTTAACTATAAGACTGCGAACAAAGACCACTAGGGGGTGCACCAAGGAAGCATAACAAAATGCGGAGACAAAGAAACAGGACAAAATTGTCAATGGAAGATATAGAGTTCAGAACCACACTTTTAAGGTCTCTCAAGAACTGTTTAGGAGCCGCCGATAAACTTAATGAGATCTACAAGAAAACTAATGAGACCCTCGATCTTATATTGGGGAACCAACTAGAAATTAAGCATACACGGACTGAAATAACGAATATTATACAGACTCCCGACAGCAAACCAGAGGAGCGCAAGAATCAAGTCAATGATTTGAAATGCGAGGAAGCAAAAAACACCCAACCGGAAAAGCAAAATGAAAAAGAATCCAAAAATGCGAGGATAGTGTAAGGAGCCTCTGGGACAGCTTCAAGCGTACCAACATCAGAATTATAGGGGTGCCAGAAGATGAGAGAGAGCAAGATATTGAAAACCTATTTGAAGAAATAATGACAGAAAACTTCCCCCACCTGGTGAAAGAAATGGACTTACAGGTCCAAGAAGCGCGGAGAACCCCAAACAAAAGGAATCCAAAGAGGACCACACCAAGACACATCATAATTAAAATGCCAAGAGCAAAAGATAAAGAGAGAATCTTAAAAACAGCAAGAGAAAGAAACTCAGTTACCTACAAGGGAATACCCATACGACTGTCAGCTGATTTCTCAACAGAAACTTTGCAGGCCAGAAGGGAGTAGCAAGAAATATTCAAAGTGATGAATACCAAGAACCTACAACCAAGATTACTTTATCCAGCAAAGCTATCATTCAGAATTGAAGGTCAGATAAAGAGCTTCACAGATAAGGAAAAGCTAAAGGAGTTCATCACCACCAAACCAGGATTATATGAGATGCTGAAAGGTATCCTTTAAGAAGAGGAAGAGGAAGAAAAAGGTAAAGATACAAATTATGAACAACAAATATGCATCTATCAACAAGTGAATCTAAGAATCAAGTGAATAAATAATCTGATGAACAGAATGAACTGTTGATTATAATAGAATCAGGGACATAGAAAGGGAATGGACTGACTATTCCTGGGGGGGAAAGGGGTGTGGGAGATGCGGGAAGAGACTGGACAAAAATCGTGCACCTATGGATGAGGACAGTGGGTGGGGAGTGAGGGCGGAGGGTGGGGTGGGAACTGGGAGGAGGGGAGTTATGGGGGGAAAAAAAAGAGGAACAAATGTAATAATCTGAACAATAAAGATTTAATTAAAAAAAATAAAAAAAATAAAAACCAAAACCTATGAACTTCACCAGTTTATACTATTTTCCCATTAGAATTTGGAAATAATGCCTTAGCAATAACATCTGGAGTATGGAACATTTTATTATTATTTCGGGACCTTATCCTTCACCCTTCACAAATTGTTTTATTCCCTGAGGCTTATGACTATTTTCACGTACTTTCTCAATGTCCAAATCACAAGACAATACTCTCCTCTTAAATTATTTTATTCCCTCATCCTGATGCCATACATTCTTAACGTTCTAGACGATGTGTATTCACTTACCAGTTTCCTCTGGTTCGGGTTACTGTCCTTCTCCCGGATCTGCGGGCCTGACCGGTCTCTCTGCATCATGATGAGCTGCCCTGCAAGATTCAGCATAATGCTCTCTGCATCACGAGCCTGAAGAAAAAGAAATTGAATCCATACTAAATTTTAGGTATGTTTTCAGCATTTTCTCCCCAATCCCTAAGGTTTACAGTTTAAACGACCAACAATATTTATTGAGTGTGTACCCTGTGTAGCTATTCTGTTAGGCTCTGTGGGTATGTACAAGGAGATTTGACTAGGCTAGGAAATGCTTAACACAATGTAATTAATGAACATGCAAATCAATATAAAATTGAGGGCTGAGCTGAATTATCTTGGAAAAATTGAGACCTTCAGAAGTTCATAAAAATGAGAGTTCAATTCAGTGATCTAGGTGGCATAGCTAGAGAAGGCTTGAAGGATGAGGAAGACATACATGGGTAGGTGGGAAAGGTTTGGTACTCTAATTGAAGAACAAATGTAAATTACATGGATAGGCTGGAACAATTCTTTTGGGAAAGTGAGAACAATCTGTCTAGATTAGGGGTATTATGAGAAAAACAGTGGGTGGTAACAAACCTTCAGTTGTAAAAAGGAAGAGTAATTTGACTAAAAAAAACCCCACAAAACGAAAGCTTACTGATATCCTACACATAAAGGGTAGAAAAAGAGGACTGAAGCAAATTCTTTTTTCTTCAGTTGGACCCATGCATTCAACATTTTCTAATGATGAGATTACAATATGTAAGAACAGGTGACCACAACAGCATTTTCAGGCAATTTTAATGAACTCTTCAGAAACCTATAACCCAAAAGAAGGGACAACCTGTATCCTTTAAACCTTAAATCTAAAGGAACCCTACACACCATCTCTTACCTCCCCAAATCCCTGAAAGATTATTCCCATTGGGGTTTCAGAGATAAAAGCTCCCTCTTATGAGGGAGGCATTTGACTGTTGACTTGTTCTCACTGCTAGCTTTTTAAAAATCTTTAATATTAATGAAGCCATGCTTTGCTGTAGCAATCTTGGTCTTCCCTCTGTGGAAGACGTATTCCATCTATTTCCTATTAGACAGTTGGAACTCAATCTGCTCGTTACCAAGTTAGATATCTCCTCGTTGTGAAATGCCCTCCTGAAGCAGGGCACCCAGCACTACTCATGCTGATTGCCTATTGTATCTGAGATATCAGGAGTCCTTTTTTTTCCTAATATGAAAATGGCAAACATAATTAAAAGTATGGAGAATAGTATAATGAACCCCATATTCCAATCATCCTAATCCACAATTATCAAGAGTTTGTTGTATTTGTTCTATCGATCCCTTTTTTAAAATTTATTTTGCCGAAGTATTTTAAAGATAGCATGCCATTTTATTCCTATACACTTAATCTGCATCTCTAAAATATATGAATGTTTGCTTATATAATCATAATGCCAATATCACATCTAATAAAATTTACAATTCTTCCTTAGTGTCATCTCTCAGTCCATATTTAAATATCTTTACTTGTTTTAACAGTGTCTCTTTATAGTCACTCTGACTCAGGATACAAATGAACTTATGCATTACATTACCTGTTATGGCTCGAACGTCTTATTTAGAAGTCTCCTCTTACTATACTTTTCTCTCCCATGTCATTAACTTGTTCTAGCTGTTCTACATTCTGTTTCCTGTGGTGTTAAACTAAAATTCCCTGTATTTCCTGTGAATGGAAGATGACTTTATACAATTTGGGTTCAATGTTTTTGGTAGTAACTCGTCATGTTGCATCATCCAGGAAGCATGCCACACCTCACTCTCCCACTCTAGTGATAAGACTTATTAAGACTAAGGTATGACCACCTCATTCTTTCACTATAAAGCCCCCACCAACCTTTCGTCTGATGATTTCACCTAATAACCATTGCCTGAATCAGTTATTTCCTTCGGCGACTCTTTAATTCTTACATTCCTCCCACATCTTTTACCTAGAATTCTTCTGTAAAACAGAACTTTTCCTTATCAACTAGGACTATCTGGTTACCATGACATATTTTGCAGAGGAAATGGGATCTTTATTTTAAAGGAGTTTCATGAAAGTGCCTTAATAGGAAGCAAAAGACAGACTGAGCAGACAGGGATGACAAATCTACATGGAATTTTTCTATGAAAATGGGTTCCACATTGACATGAAGTTTGGAAACCATTGGTTTAATGTAAGGAGCCTTGGAATAGAAGGTATGCAACCTGGGTCCTGGTGGGACCACTACATGCTTTTACCATAAAACATAGCATTCTCCTTCCTCCTTCCTCATCATTAACTGATGGGAGTCCTCCAGACTTAAATCCATGCTACTTCTTTCCATCTTCTTTGTCATTGCCCAAGTTTGGGCCACTAAATGCAACTCACCTAGATCATTACAATGCTTCCCAGAGACTCTCCCTACATCCTGTTTTGTCCTACTCTAGTTCATTTCCTCCTTAGAGTACATTTTATAAAGTTTACATGTAGTAATATCCAGGTTAAAATTAAGATAAAGTCTGAAGTCTGTATCAACAACAGGACTCATGTTCTGACATTCTATGCTTCAGTCACCCTGAAACTCTTCCAATTCCCTGCACGTGTCATGTTCTCTCTTATCTACGGGTCTTTGCTCTGCTGTTCCTTCTGCCTCAACTGCCCGCCGCCCCCTCCCCATACCCCCCGCCCCCACACTTTACTTAGATAACCATCACTTGTTCTTCAGGTCTCCACCTGAATGGTACAGAAATCTCTGATTGTTCAGACTACTCCGTGTTTTTGTTACACACTCTTAGAGTAACCTGTACTACTTTTGGTATACACCTTACAATTATAATTACTTATGTAATTACTTCTTTATTACTGAGCAGAAACCATGTTTATTTAGCTTGTCGCTGTAACTCAGCATCTACATATAAGGCATATACTAGACACTTAGTATTTATTTAGTGAACAAATAAACAGTTCCCAATATCAACTTAAAAAACTAAATACTGAGATGACAATTCTAAAGAGCTCATAACAGAATGATACCTGCTGTGGCATTTTCAAGGTGATTCCATTCTCTGTACTCACTGATGTCAGAGTGACAGATACTACCAGGAAAGGGTGAGGAATGTAGCGTGACATGGAGACTTCCTGAAGAACCTGGATACCAGCAGTAGTATTTGGACTGTAACAACAAAAGAGAAACCCACACATCTCAAAAACAATGCTAGCAAGGTTGCTCCCCCCATGCCCCGCTATTAAAAGTATTAGTTTCATACTATGGATGACCCGGATTCCTTCTATCTATTGTTCCCTCTTCCCCAAGTATCTTTTAAGCAGCAGACTGACAAGGTTGAGTCATCTGCAGGGAGATGAGGGAGAAAGAAAGGAAGTAAGATGTAAAAGGGAAGAAAAGCTAGGGAATAATGTATAAAAACAGCTTAGTTGGTTGAGAAAGGATATAAGTTCTATCTAGACTAGTAAGATTTCTTAATTTTTATCTTTACATTACTCCTCAATCACTATGCTACTTTACCAAATACACACTTCATGGCTGCTTAAAAAAAGAAACAAACAAATAAAAAACCTGAGAGCAAAACAAAACTCGAGAGGCATGATCTAAACGCTGCAAGCCAACCAGATGGCAAGAGGAATGCAGGCAACACACAGCAGCAACAGGACTGCCCGCTTCTCCTGCCCAGACCACAGCCACCAGCTCAGGGGAAAAGGTGCATCTGCTGAGGACATGCCTCCTAATGCCTTCAGGCTGCGGAGTCCTTAACTTTCCCCACGTGTCCGGGATACTCGGGTAGTGACTGACCACTGCTTTCAAGGTTGTGAAAAAATTAGTATCTGAAAGGTTTACTCCATCCCACACTAGATATTTTTTTCAAACGAATCCAGTAAAATTACCCGAAGAAGTTAATGCAGGCTTATTTATCTATTTACTTGTCTTGGTAGCTAAAAAATACTGTATGAATATCACTAATTAAAACTCCTTGTTTTTAAAACAAACAAAAACCCCACTAAATATGAAATTAGAGAAACTGTTTTAAAAAATAAAAACTACAGAGGAAACATGATACACAGGAGCAAAGAGTGACTTGTCACATGCTCTGGACTTACCCCTCAGACTTCTTCTCAATACTGTAAAGGCATATTGAGCAGTCAGCTCTAAACACTACCACCATGTCCCGGAAGACACTAAGCAGTAAGCTCTCTGCTTGGGCTTTGGTGATGTGAGCAAAGGCATTGTCCAGATTCGATGTTCTCAAATAAACTCTCAGCTGCAGAAACAGAAATAAAGAAAACTGGAATAACAAGATGCCTACTGGAGATGCTTAAATCCATGCTCTTTATCTACTGATGTTTTTCAAGTAAGAGAAGTTAAAAGGCTAATGTGAGCATTAATAATAAATGGATAATGTTTATATTTTGACAGGGAAGGCTCATTCTACAAATAATCAAAAGATGAAGTGATCAAAACTGAGACTGTACTATTAGATACTCCTTTTAGATCTGAATATTTAGACCTGATTTAAGGAGACAAACAATTTCTCAAAAATAAACACACAAATCAATAAACAACCTTTACAAACTTTTCTTCTTTTAATTTATTTTTTAACTATTTACAAACTTTATAGAGAATGTCTAACAGATAAAAATCATTAGAAAAAGTATCTAGAACTCCTTATTATCCCTTTAAATTTTTTTAAAAGTAGTAACCTGATAAAGGAATACACTATTGATAAACTCCAACATCGAGGAATCTCAAAATAATTATGAGTGAAAGAGGACCAAAAAAAGAGTATGATTCTGTTCATAAACATTTCTAGAAAAATGTAAACTAATCCAAAGTATCAGGAACAAGGTTGCCAGACAATGAGGTGATGGGGAATTATAGTTGGGTATGTGGGACAGAAAGAAAAATTATAAGGAACCCAAAGGAAACTGTTAGGGGTAATGGATATATTTATTATCTCGACTTTGGTGATTGTTTCTTGGTGTGTAAATGTTATTACATCCTATATAATAAAAGGCTAATATGCAAATTGTCCCCTCGACCAGGAGATCAACCAGGGGGCTAGACTGGCCAGCCAACTGTCTGTGGCCCCTTCCCCTGGCCAGCTAGCCCCAATTGGGGCAGGTGGGCTGGCTGGACCCCACCAGTGCATGAATTCATGCACCGAGCCTCTAGTTAAATTATATACTTAAAAAAAAAAAGTTGTAACCTGAAATGAAAATGCCATGATTTAAAAACTAATTCTTGATTAAAAAATAAAAAGTTTTATTTATTTTCCAATAAATTACTTTTATATAAAACAAAATAGTGCTTAGTATCTTTAAAAATATAACAATGCTATTTTTTGAGAGAAAAAACTTACCTCTTCTTGACGGTCACTTATGTTATAACATGCAAGGACAATAAAATCATTCCACCAGGCTAAGCCTCCTGTCACAATCATATTTTGCTCCTTAAAAGAAAAAAGAAAAATTACCTTTATTTATGCTGCCAGAAATTACATTAATACACTAATAACATATTCTAAACAAATAATGAAAGCTGAAGTTATTTCTGCTCTAGTCTCATATTCCCAATTAAACATTACTCTAGGGCCTTTATTACTGATTCATATTCTATTGAAAAGTATGAACATTTCTGTACGACAGAAAATACATCATTCAAAATTATGGGAATAATGCAGCATCATTATTACCACATTCAAAGACCCTCGTTTAAATTCTGGCTTTATCATTTATCAGTTGCTTGATTCTGAATCCTAATTTCTTCTATAAAATGGTAAGTAACAATAGTGCTCTCATTGGGTTGATATGAGGATCAATGCACTAACATATATGAAAGTATCTTAAAGTGCCTGATATTAAATATTAATTTCCTATTTGTTCATGCAAAATCCAACTGCATTTGTATGCTACCCAAATATTCATATCACATGCACATAAGACAAGCAGAGAAATGATCTCAAATTTTGTGGAAATATATCCTGATGATATCTGATGAACTCAATCTAGGATGTAAAAGTAAATCCTCAAGTTAAAAAGTTATAGTCTCTGATCTTAAAGAAAATGAAAGACAAACCAACTATCTCAATACAAAATCATAAAGTATCAAACACTTTATCAGAATTGACTCATACATAATCCAACATCACTTAATATTTGATTTTATTTCTAAATAAGCAAACAGTGATTTATATTGTAGTTATTTCATACTGTAGTCTTCTTTTACTTTAAGAAATCAATTTTTAATTTAAAAAAGACTAACCTGGGTAATGTTTCCAAAAAGTTTCCATTTTTTGGTGAGTAAAGAGTAATGTGCAAAACCAAACTTGCCAACCACAGCAATATTCTGTCCAAGCTTATCAATCGCTGAAAACTGATTAAAGAAGAATAATTAAAAACTCTTCTTTACAAACCTATATTCGTTATTATATATCAAGAGCTTAGCATTGCACCAGGCAAACTGACTATTAATAAATGAAATGTAAAATTTAAAGATCTATGTATTTATATACAACTTACATTTAAGTAAATTATAGATGTTATACACTAACAATGTAAAAAGGATCAAGTATTAAAATCTTTACTTTTATTAATGCACTTAGTGAAAGGGTCAGTTCCCAGAATGCCTCTTAACAGCAAATGCTATCCAATGAAAGTTAACACCAACAAAGTAACTTACCCGTATAGGCCAATTGGTCTCTAGATAGGTGCTGGAAATCTAAAGAAAATAACACATTAGTTTGGTAAGATTTATGAAATGAATTTAAACCTTAAAGCATTAACGTTACAATATGAGATTCATTTTCTTTTTCTTTCTTTTTTTTTTAAAATATATTTTATTGATTTTTTACAGAGAGGAAGGGAGAGAGTAGAGAGTTAGAAACATCGACGAGAGAGAAACATCGATCAGCTGCCTCCTGCACATCTCCTACCGGGGATGTGCCCGCAACCCAGGTACATGCCCTTGACCGGAATCGAACCTGGGACCTTTCAGTCCGCAGGCCAACGCTCTATCCACTGAGCCAAACTGGTTTCGGCAAGATTCATTTTCTTATACAATGTTTAAAGAGTGTCCAAATATGGGTATTACTAGCAGAGTACTTGGCATTTACCATTTGTATACCAGCCAGTATTTCACATCTTCTCTCTCAGTCATTTCATTCTAAGTTTCTAGACACCAGGCTTTTCTTTATCTTTTGACTCTACAGTTTTTGCTTGTTTTAAATATTCAATACTCAGCAAACATGGACTGACAAAAGATTTTTAGAGATGCACCCACAGGGCCACCAAGCATTGTGTAGATGTTATCTACAGTTTGGGCTTGCTGATCGGACCTGTCCTCAAAACAACCTTACCTAATAAAATTAGAGCCCCTGCAAGAGCTCTGTTTTCATTATTTTTATATTTTTTCATTTCTGAATAAAAAAGCAATGCATGCTTATAAAAGAAATGCTCCTGTTATATCATTGCTCAGGGCTAACCACTGGGTAGTTTTTACTCTATCTCTAAACCAACATCCATGTACATGTAATATTGTGTGTAAGCTACCATTTCTTATTGAGGTGTTCAACTTACTCATTTATAAGAACTTTTAGTATATTACCCATATTAACTCTTTATCTGCAACCTAAACAGTAAAAATGCCTCATGTTGTCTTTCTTACATCTGTGTACATGGGGTCTTTGTATCACTCCAATAAGAATTTTAAACTTAACGAATTCTCTATGAGCTATCAATGTAGATTAAGTAAATTATAGCTTTACAGAGACTGTGATGTTTTTCACTAGCCTACTGATTAAGACATTTTCATGAGCATGTGGTGAATAGTGGTGAAAATTAACAGAATGAGAGAACAAGGAAAGAATCTTCTGATCTTGGAAAAAGAGAACCTTCAATTTATTTAACTTTATATCCATTTTACTCAAAGAAAAAGTATTACATATTCAAAAAAAAGAAAGCCAAATTAAAAAGCCAAGAAAATGTCATCAATCCAGTGGGATTCTTTGCATGATATGAAGATAAAACGAAACCAAGTAAAAATAATATGCTGAAAACATCTGCATTAACGTGGACAAAGTTTATTTATAAAACCACTTGTTAGACTTCACTTGTTATTTAGTAAGCCAACCTATATTCTAAATAAATTACTAGCTGTTTGTACATTAGAAAAATTTAACTCCAGTGCTGGAATTAAAGATAACGGTGTCAGCCCTAACTGGTTTGGCTCAGTGGATAGAGAGTCGGCTTGCGGACTGAGGGGTCCCAGGTTCAATTCTGGTCAAGGGCATGTGCCTTGGTTGCGGGCACTTCCCCAGTGGAGGGTATGCAGGAGGCAGCTGACTGATGTTTCTCTCTCATCGATGTTTCTAGCTCTCTATTCCTCTCCCTTCCTCTCTGTGAAAAAATCAATGGAATATATTACAAAAAAAAAAAAAAAAAGATAAAGGTGTCACAATATATGCTTGAAGAATGCTTAACTTGTATCTTAACGGATATGCCATACTATTCAGCCCAATAATAAAACTCACTTGATAGATGAAATTAGTTCAGAATAATGATAATCGAAGGTCATGAACAGGTGGCAAAATAAAAGATGAAAGTAGTTTTGTAGGAGGCTGTAAGCAAAATTTTTTTTTGGATGAAGAAAACAGTCACCTGAAGGATGTATCTGGAATATAACTGGGCCAGCCACCAGTGACACTAAAAGGATCCCCTTCCCCAATATCTTGGTATTTCATAAGCATTTATGAAATGTGTGGGTGGGTAGAGCGCAAGATGGGTGCCAACACGAGGAGTTTCTAATCATGGAAACCTAGGTTAAATCTTTTATGATCACACTCTGATGAATATCTGTAAGAAACAGTTTATTCTTTCAAACCTCAAAAGTCTCTGGGGTGCCACAAATGGTTTATTTTCAAAACTCAAAGTGCTTTATTACTCATGTAGTTTTGTATCTGAAGATGTCATAAAATAATAAAAACTTTTATTTTTACCCCAGTAGGTCACCTTTACTGATCTGTGCCACCTGAACTTTGAGCTCTGCCCCTAATACTGAGAACAAAAAAAGGCAGAAGTAAGGAAAAGCAGCAGCTAACAAAAACTGCAGAAACTCAGGTCAGGATTCCATACTCAGGCCCAAAGTCATGCCCGACCACTGAGAAACTGAGTGCTGAGGTACAGAATCTCTACTCGTAAATTCTTAGGATTCTCTTCAGTCTCAAAGAACCTAATTTTTTTCCCTTAAAGTCATTCTGCTAAAACCCTGTCTCCTGCCTAGACCCACTTCTGTCTGTAACTGGTGAGACTGTGAGAGCCCTCTTCCTAGAAGATTTGATCTGTGCCAACACCACACCTGGTACAGAGGAATAAGAGTAAATCATTTATAAATAAAATAGCCTTTAGAATCCTTGCTGCTGACATGCTTAACACATTGTAGGTGTTTATCTCCCACATTTCATGAAGCTTACTCTTTCCAAATAGTTAGCCAGGTTAACTAGGAAACCAACATTTCAGAACACTGGATGGTAATGATTCGTGCACCTTTCAGAAATAAACATTTATATTACACAAAATGCTGAGTATTAAAATAAATGGCAATCAAAGAAGGAACATACCCTAATACCACAAGCATACTGTTGTTATTTTTGTTTTTAATTTCATATTATTTGTGCTCCATCTGTCAACAAACTACTTTCAAATTTTTAAAAAATGTGTAGCTAGGGAAACTAAATTAAAACAAACAAACACCATCTCTACCAGCAACTACCAACCCTGCTTCTGATAAGTATCTGTGATGTTTTAGTTAAAGGAAAAAACATAACATAGAATCTTCTGATCAGGAAACTAACAAACACAAGGGAGAAAACTTAAACAAAACACCCAGTTATCCAGATGAGGAACAGACAGAGCAGCAGAATTAGCCGGAGCCTATTTGATGAACTCTGGCTGTACAAAAAGCATACAAACAAAGCCACTCCGATGGAGTAAGTGGGCATTTATCCTAGACAAGAGCATATGTTGAAGGGAGAATGTTGTCTTGACCTCTGTTTCTTCAGAAAATCATTACTAATGGCTAAGGAGCTGAAAAGTAAAGCATGAAATTACATGAACATTGTAAAACACCCCACCAAAACATCACCACACTGCACTGACTCATGTAGCTGGAGTGGCAGCAAACAAAATACAGGGTAAATCCAAGTAAAAACATTGCCAAAAAGGCACATTCTAGGTTTTAGCTCAAGGTCAGCAACATATTACATGATTCAGTATTTAGTACCTAGGTTTTGAAATAGGTTAGACTATTACTTTAGCTTACATTATGGTAAGAACAAGTCTGACACTACTCTGCTGTGTGACCTTCGGCAACTCACCTAACTTCCCTGAGGCTCAGTTCCTCATGTATAAAATCCAGTTGGACTACATGATCTCTGAGGTCCTCCCAGCTCTAAAAATTCTATGAGTCCATTATAACTTAATTGTTGTGGGAGTACAACCCTGGCATTATTTTCATGAATTTTAAGGAACTGAAAGAAATTAGGTAAAGCTAGAGTTAAACGAGTTCATTTTTCCAAATACTATCGGTATCTGAAGAATAGAATGACAAGAATCTTGCTAGTACCTACTTCGTCTAAAGTTGTAAAATCAGTGTTAAAGGATTCTAATATGGGATACTTCATAGATGGTTAAGAATCACAGAATCACTGAATTTTTGAGCTGGAAGGAAATTCAATTTTTGTTATTGCCTGAGGGATTTTTGAGTTCCAGACCTACCTTCTTTGATCCTCTGCTCTACTTGGCTCTCTGGCAACACAGACCTGGCTAGGCAGAACTGGCATTGATGCTAGGTCAGTGTAGAATGAATAGTTCAAAGTATGGGGAAATGAAAATAGCAGAGAAATGGCTATAGGAGAGAAGGGAGCAGTGGAAAATTTTAGTCAAGGAAGTAGCTGATGCAGTTTTATTTAAATATTGTTACTAATTATAAAATGGTATGCACATTGTTTGATTTTACTAATGTAAGTTAAATACACTTTATATTTTAGTGTATACCACATGTCAATGTAGGAGATTTTCTTCCTTTAATTTTTCACCTAATGACCATTCTTCTGTCTCTCATTATCTCTATTCAGAGTCAACTGAAAGTGACATGGGAGCTGAAGTAAGCTAGTGAGGGAAGAGTACAGAATATAGAAGGCAAAGAACTGTGGAAAGAGAAACTGACTAAAACCATAATTCAAGAGTAGGCACTGATGTACCTAAGGCATTTTGATATCAAAAGGTGAAAGAACACTCTCAGGTCTGAAATTGTATATTAAAGTTTCTTTCAAGAAACTTCAATTTATTGATTAAACTAATTTTATTTGGTATCAAAATTCAAAATTTTCATATTAAATGCCAATTTATCAGAATTACTATAAGAAACTAATTTAAAGTTGTAGAATGAGTAAATAATTTGGAATAAGATTAAGTAATAACAAAATTAGTAACAATAAAGTTCTGTACTGACCAGAAGTCTGCAAATTTGGTTTAAAGTCAAACAATTAAACTCATTATGTCCCAAGGACTACAAGGTCAGCTGCTGCACAGGGTACTAATCAATACTGTTAGTTTCCGTGAAATTACTACATTTTTGCCTATGCAAATTTACAGAGCTAAATTTATATCCCCCAAAAAGTTTGGAAGTAAAACAGTTTTGCTCAGTAAGAGGGCAAAACATAAACTTCCTATTTTTGAAACTGCTTACTGTTAAAGGACTTAAAGAGGGTGGTAATATGCTCTATGTCAAGTGGAAAGAAAGGAAGCAGAAGACAAGAAAACAAGAACATGGAAAAGCAAAAGAGAGACATGACAGTCAAAAAGGTCAAAAAAGTTCTCAGTTTTCTAAAGCAACAGAGGAAATATTTAAAAATCTGCTCCAGGTGCTGTCTTACCAAGGATAAGTCAACAGCCAATGAAGACTTACTTGGACCACATGCCAATGTCGATGTCCGAGTAAAGTGCTTAAACTCTGAGACTCAAAACCGCCCTCTGCCAACGAGCTGGGCTTATAGTGAACTGAAGAACTCCTGGGGTTCTGAGTTTGTGAGGCCTCTCCACAGTTCAAGTACAATCGATCCTCCCCCTGAAGCAACACCTGCTCTTGGTTACTCTAGATGAGGGGGAAAAAAGGAAGCAGCAGGGCAAAGAAGGAAATAAAAACAACTCAGTATTAGGTAGGGGAAAGTAAGTAAGTACGTAAATTCAGTTTTATTACAGGAAATGTACCATATATCTTAATGGTCATTTTCCTCACAGAAGACACGACTACAAAATGATCTAATGTACTATTATATTTCAATACTTGCTTCCCAGTGTAAATGAAAATTTTAAGTCCTTTTGTCATATAGATTCCAAAACATGCTCAGGTTTGCAACTGCTATAGCAGTATCTTTGATTACTACTCCAACATGGCAATGCTATGAGACTGTCCATCTGAAAACTAAACCTAACTACTCATTATCTAAGTTTATGAGTTAGTTTCATATAAAATGCCTCATGAACGGTGGTAAGAGAACATGTCTGGTTGAACAGCTTGTGTGTGTGCTCACTTGTGCCCACATGGCAGGAAGGGGTGGGTTGGGGATGGGGTAACATGATGCTGGAGGATCTTTAAGCCACGGGAGGAGGAAGGACAGGCTAAGTCCGTGGTCCTGGTTTGGAACAATTCAATGATCACTTGGTAAATGCTTGGTTAGTGCCAAGGACTGTGTCAAGTTCCGAGGATATTTAGACAAATATGACAGTTTCTTTTCTTAATGATTATGCCCTGGTTTTCAATCAAAGACCAGTGTTCTCCAACACAGGCAAGATTCTTCACTGGCTATTCAAATCAGATTAGTGCCCCAGAGATCCTCACTGTCCCCTTGTAGTACAAATGTCTTGACATAAAGCTCAATGGTGCTTTTAAATTATTATTTGGGATGGGGAAAACAAGAAATACTCTGTTTTTCTGGGCATCCTTATTCTTCAACTATAGTAGTAAGATAAAAGATTCAGGCTATGTCCACATTCTTTGTACATGTATTGTAAATTTTAGCTGCACCAAATATTTTAAAACCCATTGGTGGCAGATATTTAGATATGCACTCCTAACATGTAATATATACTATTATTACATATTAACAATCCTAATAAAAGAGAAACATGGTAATTGGCGTACGACCGCTACCCTTCCCATTGGCTAATCAGCGAGATATGCAAACTAACTGCCAGCCAAGATGGCGGCTGGCAGCCAGGCAGCTTGAAACTAACATGAGGCTTGCTTGCTTCAGTGACGGAGGAAACCAATGTTCCCCACCTGCCTTGCAGGCCTCTGAGCCTGCAGTTTGAAACATAGTTACAAATATAGAAGCTAAACAAAACCCCAGAAACCTGCTTTCATCCCGCCGGGATCTCAGAGCTGGAGTTGATACAGAGTTTCGATTATAGAACCTAAACAAACCAGATACCTGTTTTCAGGAGCGGAGGCCTAAGAGCTGGAGCCAGAGCTAAAGCTGGCCCAGAATAAAAAAGAAAAAGAAAAAAAGGAGCAGTTGGGAGCTTCAGTCCCAGCCTGAAAACAGCCCTTAGCCCCTCACCCAGACTGGCCAGGCACCCCAGTGGGGACCCCCACCCTGAAGGGTGTGTGACCAGCTGCAAACAGCCATCATCCCCTCATCCAGGCTGGCCAGGCACCCCAGTGGGGACCCCCACCCTGATCCAGGACACCTTTCAGGGCAAACCAGCCAGCCCCCACCCATGCACCAGGCCTCTATTCTATATAGTAAAAGGGTAATATGCCTCCCAGCACCGGGATCAGTGGAGCCACGAGGCCTCCCAGCACCAGGATCAGCGTGATGGGGGCAGCGCCCAAACCCCCTGATTGCCCTGCGGCTCTGTGTGTGACAGGGGGCGGGGCCACAACCTCCCTATCGGCCCTGCTCTGTTCCTGACAGGGGAAGGCGCCCCAACCCCCTGATCGGCCTTGCTCTGTGCCTGATAGGGGGAGCTCCCCAACCCCCTGATCACCCTGCGGCTCTGTGTGTGACAGGGTGCTGCGCCCCAACCCCCCACCCCACGGGCCCTGCTCTGTGTGTGACAGGATAGAGCCATAACCTCCCCATCGGCCCTGCCCTGAGTGTGAGAGTGGCGGCACCCCAACCCCCTGATCGGCCCTGCTCTGTGGGTGACAGGGGGCGGTGCCCCAACTCCCCTATCAGCCCTACTCTGTGAGTGACAGGGGGGAGCTCCCCAACCCCCTGATCGGCCCTGGTCTGTGCGTGACAGGGGGGAGCTCCCCAACCCCCTGATCGGCCCTGCTCTGTGTGTGACAGGGTATGGAGCCCCAACCCCCCTGTTGGGCCCTGCTCTGTGCGTGACGGGGGTGGCGGAGCAATCTCCCCATCGACCCTGCCTTGAGTGTGACGGGGTGGTGCCCCAACCCCCCAATCGGCCCTACCCTGAGCGTGACTGAGGGTGGCATCGCAACCTCCCAATCCGCCCTGCTCTGTGCATGACAGGGGGTGGCGCCCCAATTCCCCAATCGGCCCTGCTCTGAGCCCGACCAGGGGCTGCACCTAGGGATTAGGCCTGCCCTCTGCCACCCGGGAGCAGGCCTAAGCCAGCAGGTCGTTATCTCCCAAGTGGTCCCAGACTGCGAGAGGACACAGGCCGGGCTGAGGGACGCCCCCCAACCCACAGAGTGCACAAATTTTTGTGCACCGGGCCTCTAGTATATAATATTAATATATGTTATTTCAGACTGGTAAAACATTAAGAATTTACATTATAATTTGGGGGAATATTTCGCAAAACAGGTTCCTAGGCATATTTTCTTCAATGTATTCCTTAACATTTCATAGTTACATAAGCTTGGGAACTGGTTTTTATACACCAGCTCCTGGACTTGCATAATGTCCACTAGCATGGAAAGGCCCTGGAGACCCACAATGAAGAAATCGCTACAGCTTTAACTCCCTTATTTCACACATAACATAACTTTTTCTTATCCTGTGTAATTGCTATGGATATTTCTCATAAAGCCTGCTGGAACACACTTTGGGAAATGCTACTGAGATAAAGACTAAATTTTATTCAAGTTATTTAAGTAAATCTGTAAACACTGCTTTTCCTCAAGTTGCTTGTGACCCTTTCTTTTAAAAAAACAACAGTAGCTCAAAAATAAAATTTTGGTGTAAATTTAATAGCAATTTAAAAAAACAATACAGAATCACAGAAAATATACAAAAGAAGATAATATGCCAATTTTAAGAGTATACTCAACACATGTGTGTCCTAGGAAAAGTCTGATTCTAATATGAAAGCCACTAAAAAAAAACACAACACCACCCAAAAACAGTTATAATTAAATAAACTTACCATACAAGGGTTTACGGTGAGTGCACTCTTGATAAACTGAAACAGCAGAATGCCAGGCTGTTTAACTATACTCTTGGGCTCAGGCTCAATTTCAGTGTTTTGAGAGCCAAATCCGCTGATTACCCATAGGTGATAGCCTTCTGCACCCCAGCTCTGAGAAAGAGGAGGAGGAAGAAAGAGAAGGAAAACGGGGGAAAATCAAAACACTAAAAAGTTTGTTGTCCTTTCTTAGCTTCAAATATTCAAATTCTGAAATAACCAACAGCAGCATGGTTAATGACTTTTGAAGGTTAGAGAAACTATGACAAACAACCCAGACAAGAATTTGCATCCACTACAAATACCTACATCGACCACATGCCAGCTGTCTCAGTGGAAACCCCCAACCCTGCTCTCTACCTACAATAGTGAAAACACTACACATCAATCTTAACTCTTCTCCATTAATTTAACTGACTCTCAAATACAAAGACATTCCTTAAAGAGGAAGACCCAGTTGCCTATCAGTGGTCGGCAAACTGCGGCTCGTGAGCCACATACGGCTCTTTGGCCCCCTGAGTGTGGCTCTTCCACAAAATACCACGTGCGGGCACGCGCTACAGTGCAATTGAAACTTCGTGGCCCATGCGCAGAAGTCGGTATTTTGTGGAAGAGCCACACTCAAGGGGCCAAACAGCCACATGTGGCTCACGAGCCGCAGTTTGCCGACCACTGGCCTAGCTGAAGCTTGAGGGGGAAAAAAAAAAAAAAAAAAAAAAAGGCACCCAAAACAGGTGCAGTTTGTATGGAGTAAAGAAGGATATGGAAGCAAGGTGGAGGGTTTTCACTCCACCTTGGCCAATCTATTTGGTTTTTCAGAGTATAAGTTTCTTCCTCTGTAAAATGGAAACGTTCAAATAAATTCTCCAGGCTCAGCAAATTGTAATATTCTATAAATTCCATGATAGTAAAAAACAACAACAACAAAAGAAAATCAGTGATTTCCAATCTTCAAGGCCAAGAAAACAGTAATGGTAAGTCCAAGAATTGTTACAAAATTTCAAAAGTGTAATAGTTTTGCTTTCCCGTGATAAAAGTTGCACAAGCTAACTAAAATGCTTATTAAGGTCTTAGTTTGTGACTGAAATAACTTAGTGAGGCTGATAACACTGGCTGTTGCATGCCATTCAGAAGCACTGACTGGCAGTTACAGAAATGGCATTTGTTCAAAACCTATTTTAAAATATGGAGGTAGGACTAGACATCAACTGGGGTTCTTGGTTGTGAAAGGTTAGGAACCACTATTCAAGTCCCATGGGGATTTTAATTATTTAAGAAACAGAAGGTCAGGAAACCTCTTCCCATGTAGAGCACTCAGCACTAACATCACAGAGATGGTACGCAGAGGGACTGCAGTAAGACACTGCTTTTATGTAAAGACGGGTTACACCTCACTGCTTTCTAAAGAAACACATGAAAATACTGTTGTGAAAGCAACTACAATTCTCTTGATATACATTTATGGAAAGTTCTAAAAATATGCTCAAATAATGCACAAGAGCATGTCCTCCAGGAAAAATAGTCAATGAGCATTTCATTTCATGTTAAAAGGAGGTCATGAGAAGTGGGTGCTAGTGAGCCACATAAGAAATGGAGGTATATTTAGGAAATAGAGTGGTCTCATTTCACTATGGCACTATGTTCTCAATGATGATGGGGCTTGCTAAGAAAAAACAAAATTGAATACTGAAAGTTGAACAGCTTCCTGATTAAAACAACAAACAAAAACAACCTTTTTATTTTTTCAAAGCAAGAACTACATGAGAAGAGTTTGCTGAGACTAAAATAGCTTTGTAATTTTATCAGACCAATGTGAGGGGGGAAAAAGAAGAAAAATCCAAGTTTTCCACACTATATCAGTATTTCATAGACAGTACTTACCATAGAATTGATCTTAAGGGGATCTTTTTTGGTACCATCAGACCTATAACTAAAAGAGAATAGAAACTTAATTAAAAAGAGTCATCTAATTATATATAACTAGTGGCCGGGTGCACGAATTCATGCACATTGCAATTAATTAGAAGAAATATTTTAATATTGCTATTTGCTCTTTATAATAGAAATGTCAACCGAATTCACAATTGACAATGACAGATTGAAACACATGTGTGCGATTGGCACCAGCAAGAGCTTTATATGTATCGTGCATGCATGAATCAACTTAGACTTTTATATATATAGAATAAACTTGCTTCATTAGACCTGCTTTCTGATGTAGCTAAACATTTTCCAGCCCCAACTTCTCTTACAGGTAACTGTCAGCAACACAGCAGTAAATATCAACATGAAACAGATTATTATTGCAGATCACGCAGGGAGAACAAAGGGTAAAAGATTTAACTGCAGCAGTGCTTGACTATATTCTGTGCAGTGAGAAAACCTAGTCATTTTTAAGGTCCACCATTTCTTACTTCTTTTCAGTCAGGTCAAGTTTCTAAATTTTTTAAATCTCTGTTTTCCGGCTAATGAAAAGAAAATAGGATTCCACCAAGTCTCCAATCTACCTTCTCCAGGAATTCTGTGAGGATCAAATGAGATGAGGCACAGGAAAACGCCTCACAGACATTTGGTTAAAGTGTAAAATGTTTGCACTTGGCTATAAAGCAAGTCGTTTTCTTGGGCTGAAGAAATACTGGGCATTGCTACGTGAAGTCATTACCCGGCGCCCATAGTGACTGTTTCTGGGCTGGGCTGTGGTCCACATTTTGCGCCATGGGGTCTCAGCAGCATCGGCTGTGATTTGGTGGGGTGTCGCTCTGGGGTGGTGGTGGGGCCTGTGTCCGACTTGGGAGAAGCCGAATGTTGCTTTGTCAGTGCCAGGCCATGGTGCCGTTTCTGTGTAAATAACCCATGGTCGGAGGGATACTTAGCTTATTAACACACACACATACTAGAGGCCCGGTGCATGAAATTCATGGACTGGGGTGGGGGGGATTCCTCAGTCCGGCCTGCGCCCTCTCACAGCCCAGGACCCCTCGGGGGATGTCTGATTGTTGGTAACAGGCCTAAGCCGGCAGTCAGACATCCCTCTTGCAGTCCAGGACCCCTCACTCCTTACCACCCACCTGCTCGCTGCTCCTTACCGTTTGGCTTGCTGCTCCTTAGAGCTGCTGTGGAGGTGGGAGAGGCTCCCGCTACCACCGATGCACTCACCAGCTGTGAGCCCAGCTTCTGGCTGAGTGGTACTCCCCTTGTGGGAGCGCACTGACCACCAGGGGGCAGCTCCTGCCTTTAGCGTCTGCCCCTGGTGGTGGGTGCACATCATAGCAACTGGTCGTTCTGGTCTAATGGTCGCTTAGGCTTTTATTATATAGATACTAATAAAAGGGTAATATGCTAATTTGACTGGACGTCTTCCGGATGTCCTTCCTGACAAAGCTGGGGGCTTGGCCGGCCTGCACCCACCCCTGGCCCCTCACCCAGGCTACCCCACCCCCCAGTGGAGACCCACCACTTCAATCAGGGGTGTGATCGGCCTATAAGCCGCCCCAGGCCCCTCGCCCAGGCCAGCACCGTCCTCCAGTGGGGACCCTCACCCTCATCGGGGTTGTGGCTGGCCTGTAAACCCTGCAGCCCCTGCCCCAGCGGTCCCACCCCACCCCTCAGCGAGCTCCTCCCACCCCATCTGGTACCCCCTTCAGGGCAGGCCAGCTGGCCCCCACTCATGCAGCAGGCCTCTATCCTCCTATATAATAAAAGTGTAATATGCAAATTGACCCTAAAAGTAGAACCACTGGACCAGTCACTATGAGGTGCACTGACCACCTCTTGGTACCTTTCTCCAGCCAGCAGGCTCCAATCGCCTGATGGTCACCACTGCAGGGCTGGGGCTGGTGAGCGGGCAGGAACAGCTGACCTCTCGGTCCCTTCCCCCAGCCATCAAGCACCGATCACCCAACGGTGAACGGGGAACTGGGGTTGGGTGGTGGCGGGGGGCAAAGCCAGCTGTGGAAGATGGCCCTGATCACAGGCCTAGGGACTGTACCCATACACAAATTTCGTGCACTGGGCCTCTAGTATAGGATATCAAAGCCTAATATGCAAACTGTCCCCGCGGGAGTTTGACCGGAAGACCGATCGCTTGCTATGACATGCGCTGACCATCAGGGAACTACAAGGAACGAAGGGAGGACCCGGCCAGCAGCTGGCAGGCCCTAATCAGCCCTGATCGCTGGTTATGCCTAGGGATTCTACCCATGCATGAATTTTGTGCACGGGGCCTCTAATTAAATAATAAGCTACTTGAAGAGAACCATATTCAACCTTGAATCTAACATGCTATCACATACACAAAGAGGTTCAATAAATAACTACATTTTTACTGAATAAACAGGAAGTTTTAAGAGGATGGATATTTGCAGTACCAATACATTCTGAACAAATTAATTCTGAACCTTACAAATTGTTTTGGGGTTAATAGTCAAGGCAAAATGGTAGCTATATGACAAAGTTTCTGAGTGTGTGTGTGTGTACTGTCTGAGAGATAGTAGAGTTATTTTATCTAAAATTTGTCTTTATTGACTCACGCAAAATCTCCTCCAAGTGTACAAATCAGCTGAGCTCCAAACACACTCCATAAAGAAAAGCCTCCGCATTCCCAGGTCACCATTACAACACTATTGTCAGGAGACCACCTGACCAATTTAACTGCTCCTGTTTTGTTCCAAATATCTGTTAAGAAATTGTGAGAAGAATTCAAAATAAATGATTGCTTCAGAAATACGTATTTTTTAGTCTGTATTTTCAAAGTGAAATAAACAGAAAGGCATGCCTCCTTCAAATAATGAGATGAATCTGCTCATTTAGGGTTAAAGACTGTAAGGACATTAGCCTTAACCTGACCCCTGACCTAAGCAGAACTAACTCAGTGCCCAAGTTACTTATAAGGTTTGGCGTAGTATCAGCTTGAATAACTACAACTGTGTATATAGAGTTAAAAGTGTTTGGATTTGGCCCTGGCTGGTATGGCTCAGTTGGTTGAGCATTGTCCTGTGCACTTGAAATGTTGCTGGTTCGATCCCCGAGTGGGGTGTGTGCGGGAGGTCACCAATGTTTCTCTCTCTTTCTCTCAAATCAATAAAAAACATTTTTTTAAAGGTCTTTGGCTTTGGGTGAATCAGTTTCTATAAAATTGGGATAAGCCCTTTCTTGAATGATTTAACATAAATGTGAAAGTACTTTGTAAAACATAAGGTATCTTAAAATGTAAAATACTTTCCCTGCTATCTTCATGCTCCATTGACAATATCAGAGGGATCCAAGTTAAAACAACTGAAGTTTAATCTTACATTAGAATTAAGTAATCTCCAGTTTGGATACTCCAGGTGCTCATATTATCCTTTAATTAACAATTGTTCTTTCACCCTCATATATAGCTACTAAAGGAGAAAATTCCAATGTGTAGTAAATTCCAAATTTTGTTACTGTAAAGTCAAATAAAACATGCCAGCATTTCCATCAGCAAGTCAAGAATATCTATAGTATCAGTTGCTTTAAAATTAAGTTTTTCCACCCTAGCTGGTTTGGCTCAGTGGATAGAGCATCAGCCTGCGGACTGAAGGGTCCCAGGTTCGAATCTGGCCAAGGGCACATGCCTGGGTTGCGGGATCCATCCCCAGTAGGGCACCTGCTGGAGGCAGCCAATCAATGATTCTCATCATTGATGTTTCTCTCTCTCTCCCCTTCTCCCTTTCTCTCTGAAATCAATAAAGATATATATATATTTAAAAAAAATTAAGTTTTTCCATTTGCAGTATTAATACATTTTTGTTATAAGTACATGTGCTACAAAGCGGAGGTATATAGATTTTAGCCTTATAGAAGACAGGCTCTGTTAACAGAGTAAGAACTTTTTCCCTCTGCCTCACATTAGCAATTCCCAATAAAATCTACATATATAAAACACTAATATACAACAGCAGACCGAATTGCTCCATAAGACCGAACAGCAGAACAACCAAACCACCAAACAATGGGTTGCTATGATGTGCGCTGACCACCAAGGGGCACACACGGAACATGGCAGGCATCGGCCACAGTGGGATGGTAGAGTAGGTGAGGGGGGCGTCAGACCAAGGTGGGGCGCCAGTTGCTGTCATCGGAGAGAGCCTCTGGTAGTTACTGAAAATTCTTTGCTCCCATGCACCATGGTCCTGCCGGACATTTGCACCTGCTGCTGGCGGCGGCCCCACTCGCACCCATGGTTGGCACCAGAGCTGCCGCTTGCACCCGCTGCCAGTGCCCAGTGCCGGCCCCGATTGCTTGATACCATCAGTGGGTGCGAGAAGTGGCTGCCGGCCCCGATTGCCTCTCAGGGCTTCTCCAACTCACCCTGCTCCTGAGGGGAGATCAGGGCTGGCAACCGCCAATCGCACCTGCTGCCTGCAATGGCCCTGCTTGCACCCACTGCCAGCGCCAGAGCTGCTGTTCACATCTGATGTTGGCATCCAGCGGCGGTCCCAATTGCTTGGCACTGTCAGCAGGTGGAAGCAGTGGCTGCTGGCCCCAAATGCCCGAGGGCTTCTCCACCTCCCCCTGCTCCTGAGGGGCAATTGGGGCAGCAGTCGCCGCTCGCCCTGCTTGCACCCGCTGCTGGCGCCGGCCCCAATCGCTCCATACCAGCAGCAAGTGCGAGCAGGGCTGGTGCCGTTAGCATGCGGGAGCGGCGGTGACGGGAGAGGGACTGCCGACAGATGACCGGGGGCCCATGGTGGGAGGGGCCAGGAGAGGGAGTGGAGGATGGGCCAAGACCCGCCCCTGTGCCCACCCTGGCTTCGTGGCCCACAGTCCCTTTCAAAGTGCACAAATTCGTGCACTGGGCCCCTAATTCATGTATATGAATAACTATGTTATTTATGTAGATGAAAAATAAATGGGAACAAACAAAAGAAACATAATACCTTATTAGTATACTTTATACTTGTCCAGGAGAAACTGAAAACCAAACCAAGAAACATACGAAATCAAACCAAAGATTACAAAATGAAAGTAATCCAAAGTGCAAGAAAAAATAAGGTTTAAATGTGTTCACTGTCACGAAAAGATGTTAATGTTCACAGAAAAGGACAGGTTAAACAGTATTCCTATTATCCTACATAAAAAGAGATATACACACATATGTACCTAACATGTTTATCCATTTCTAAGTTTATGCACATATTAAAATATAGTAGAGATATTAAAAAATGTTAATGGTAGTTAACCTAATTTTTGGGTGGCAGGACTATGAAAATTTTATCTAGCTGGTAACCTACAATGACACAGATTATGAGAATGAGAAAAATGTTAAAAGTAGTTCAGTGGGACAATGGAGAATATCTGTAATACCATCAACAATAAAATAAAAAATAAAAAAGAGTAACACTAAGACTTTTTGTTAACAGGATTGAACTTCCAAGAAAGAAAGAAAGATCTCCAGGAACACAAAGAAAAGAGAAAACTGCCTAGGGTGGGTGGTGGAAGGTGGGGAGAAAGGCTAGAAATACAGGAAGAGAAGGTTGGGATGAGACCTAGCAATGACTAGGGAGTTGGAATCCACATTCCATATACAAAAAGCAAAAAGGGTCTCAGGCCAGTACGAGTCTGGGAATCAGAATGGCAGCTGCTACATCATATAAGAACTCTCAAAGCAACACAACTTGTAAAAATCAGCCAGTGGAACAAAAAGAAAACAAGGATGGCTGTCTCTGTTTAAAATGCAGGACAATACAAATCTCCCTACATCTTACACAGGTTTATAGCCCAAAGTTATAAAGCTCAGGGAGGCAGAGTTCTCCCACAAGAAAGACCACAAGAGTGAGAGCCAGTAGAAACCAAAGGTACAACTGGCACTCCAAGAACCCAAGTAAAGAGAACAATCTAAAAAACACAGTACAGTGTTGCCCAACAGAAGCAATCAACACAATTTCCTGCAGTGACATAAATGTTCTACATCTGTTTGGTCTAAAAGCCACTAGCCACAAATGGCTCTGGAACATTTAGATGTGACTATGCAACTAAGGAAATAATATTTTCATTTTCTTTAATTTCAATTAGACTAATTTAAGTAGCCACATGTGGCTGGTAGCTACTGCACGGGATAGCACAACGTAAGTATGGATTAAAAAAATAAAAACCCTTTCAAGGGCCAAAACCACAATCAAAATATACATTGCTCTGTTCTTGTAAATTGCTGCAAAACTGTCCTCAGAGAAAAATACTACATGTAAGTCTCGGACTGTGCGACCCTCCTGCCAAACCTGCTGTTTCAACACTCGGCCCCGCGCCTCCCAGCAACTGGGCTCACCAGCGAGTCTCAGACTGCGTGATCCACCCACCAGGCCCACTGCTTCAACCACAGACCCTGTGCAACTCAGTGCCTAGACCAGGGGTGGGCAAACTTCTTGACTCGAGGGCCACAATGGGTTCTTAAATTGGACCGGAGGGCCGGAACAAAAACATGGATGGAGTGTTTGTGTGAACTAATATAAATTCAAAGTAAACATCATTACATAAAAGGGTACGGTCTTTTTTTTTTTTTAGTTTTATTCATTTCAAATGGGCTGGATCCGGCCCACGGGCCGTAGTTTGCCGACGGCTGGCCTAGACCCTTTGGTGAGAGGAAAAATGGGGAGACAAAGAAACAACTGCCAAAGTAAAGAAAAGGAGGAATCACCAGAAAAGGAACTAAATGAAATGGAGGCATTCAATATGTCAGAAAAATAATTCAGAGTAAGGGTCATACAGTTTCTAAACCAGCTGGATGAGAAAATCAACAACTTATACAAGAATCAAGAGGAAATAAAGAATGATATAGCTACAATAAAAAACAAGATGGAAGGTTTCAATATTAGATTAGAAACGTAGGACCGAATTAGCGAATTAGAAGACAGGACAGAAAAACACACCCACTATAAAGAGCAATTGGAGAAAAAAAAATTAGAAAGCCAGAGGAGAGCCTAAGTGAGCTTTGGGACAACATGAAACAAGTAATATACACATAACAGGGGTTCCAAAATGACAAGAAGAGGAGCAAGGATTAGAAAACGTATTTGAAGAAATAATGACAGAAAACTTCCCTGATTTGGGAAAGAAAAAAGTCACACAAGCACAGAGAATTCCAAACAAGAAGAACCCAAAAAGACCCACACCAAGACATGTTGTAATTGCATTGGCAAATGTTAATGACAAAGAGAGAATCTTAAAGGCTGCAAGAGAGAGACAGAGAGTTAACTACAAGGGATCTCCATTAGATTATCAAATGATTTCTCAACAGAATCACATCAGACCAGAAGGGAATGGAATGAAGTATACAAAGTGATGCAAAGCAAGGGACTGAATCCAAGAATACTCTATCCAGTAAGGCTATCATTCAAAATTAAAGGGAAAATCAGGAGCTTCACAAACAAAAAAAGGCTAAGGGAGTTTATCACTACCAAGCCAGCAATACAAGAAATGCTAAAGGGACTGTCATTAAAAAAGAAAAAAAAAGAATTATAAATAGAAAAGAAATACAAGGAACACAAGCACAAAGAATAAAAATGGCTACAAATACCTACCAGAAATAACCTTAAACATAAATGGATAAGAAAACATGACCCATATATATGCTGTCTACAAGAGACCCATCTCAGAACAAGGGACTCACTCAGACTGAAAAAGGCACGGAAAAATATCTTTCAGGCAAATGGAAATGAAGAAAAGGCTGGGGTAGCAATACTTATATCTGACAAAACAGACCTCAAAGTGAAGGCCATAATAAGGAAGGCCTTCATAATACTAAAGGGAGAGATACAACAAGAGGATATAACTCTAGTAAACATATATGCAACCAATGCAAGAGCACCCAAATACATAAAAAAAACTCCTGGAAGAGACTGACAGCAATACAAACATAGTAGGGGACTTTAATACTGAATTGACATCACTGGATAAATCCTCTAGACCAGCGGTTCTCAACCTGTGGGTCGTGGCCCCTTTGGGGGTCAAACGACCCTTTCACAGGGATCGCCTAAGACCATCGGAAAACACATATATAATTACATATTGTTTTTGTGATTAGTCACTATGCTTTATGTTCAATTTGTAAGAATGAAAATACATCCTGCATATCAGATATTTACATTACGATTCATAACAGTAGCAAAATTACAGTTATGAAGTAGCAACGAAAATAATTTTATGGTTGGGGGTCACCACCACATGAGGAACTGTATTAAAGGGTCGCGGCATTAGGAAGGTTGAGAACCACTGCTCTAGACAAAAATCAACAAAGCAGTAGCAATCCTAAATGACTCACTAGATCAGATGGACTTAACTGACATCTTCAGAACATTTCACCCCAAAGCAATGGAATATACATTCTTCTCAAGTACATGTGGGACATTTTCAAAGACAGAGCACATAATGGGACACAGGCAAAGTCTCTCCAAATTCAAGAAGACTGAAATCATATCAAGCACCTTCTCAGATGACAGTGGCATAATACTAGAAATCAACTACACTAAAAACAATCAAAAAAATTCAAACACTTGGAGGCTGTATAGCATGCTATTAAACAATGATTGGGTTACCAAAGAGATCAAAAAAGAAATTAAAAACGTCCTGGAAACAAATGACAATGAAAACACAACAATCCAAAATTTATGGGACACAGTGAAAGCAGTACTGGGAGGGGAAGTTCATAGCATTACAGGCCTACCTCAAAAAACAAGAAAAACTGGTAAGAGATTATATAACTCTACAACTTAAAGAATTAGAGAGCAACAAGAAAAGCCCAGAGTGAGCAGAAGGAAGGAGATAATAAAGATCAGAGCAAAAATAAATGTCATAGAGACCAAAAAAACAATATAAAAGATCAATAAAACTAAGAGCTACTTCTTTGAAAGGATAAACAAGATTGACGAACCTCTAGCCAGGCTCAACAAGAAGCAAGAGAGAGGACCCAAATAAACAAAATCAGAAATGAAAGAGGCAAAATAACAATAGATCCCAGAGAAATACAAAGGATTGTAAAAAAAACCACTATGAACAACTCTATTCCAACAAACTGGTCAACCTAGAAGAAATGGACATATTCCTAGAAAAATATGACCTTCCAAAACTCAATCAGGAAAAATAAAATCTGAATAGGCTGATAACTATGGATAAAATTGAAGCAGTAATCAAAACACTTCCAGCAAACAAAAGCCCTGGGCCAGACGGCTTTACAGGGGAATTTTACCAAATATTCAAAGAAGAACTAAAACCTATCCTCCTCAGACTATTCCAAAAAATTCAAGAGGAAGGAACATTTCCAAGCTCTTTCTATGAAGCCAGCATTACCCTAATCCCCAAACCAGATAGACACTACAAAGAAAGAGAACTACAGGCCAATATCCCTGCTGAACAAAGATGCTATAAAATCCTCAACAAAACTCTAGCAAATCAGATCCAACGTTACATTAGAAAGATCATACACCATGACCAAGTGGGATTTATTCCGGGGATGCGAGACTGGTACAATATTTGCAAATCAATAAAAGTGATACATCATATAAACAAATTGAAAGACAAAAATCACATAATCATATCAATTGATGCAGAAAAAGCATTTGACAACATCCAATACCCTTTCTTGATAAAAACTCAGCAAAGTGGGAATAGAGGGATCATACCTCAACATAATAAAAACCTTACATGACAAACCTACAGCTAACATCCAAGAGATACAAATCAAAACAACAATGAGGCATCATCTCACACCTATCAGAAAGGCTATCATCAACAAATCAACATATGACAAGTGCTGGTGAGGATGCGGAGAAAAAGGAACCCTCGTGCACGGCTGGTTGGAATGCAGACTGATGCAGCCACTATGGACAATAATATGGAGTTTCCTCAAAAAATTAAAAATGCAACTCCCATTTGACCCAGTAATCCCACTTCTAGGAATCTATTCAAAGAAACCAGAAACACCAATCAGAAAGGATATATGCACCCATAGTTCACAGTAGCGCAATTTACAATAGCTAAGATTTGGAAATAGCCTAAGTGTCCATCAGCAGATGAGTGGATTCGAAAACTGTGGTACAGCTACACAATGGAATACTACATTGCTGTAAAAAAGAAGGAACTCTTATCACTCAAAATAGCATGGATGGACATGGAGAGCATTATGCTAAGTGAAATAAGCCAGTTGGAGAAAGATAAATATCATGTGATCTCACTCATTTGTGGAATATAATCAACAACATAAACTGATGAACAAAAACAGATCCAGAAACAGAGAAGCATCAGAACAGACCGTCAATCCTCAGAGGGAAGGCACGGGAATGTGTGTGTGTGTGTAGGGGGGGAAAGGTCAGGGGGGATTTGTATGCATACCTATAAGCACAACCAATGGACACACACTAGGGGGTGAGAGCATGTGCTGGAGGGTGAGAGTGGCCGGGGAGAGGTCAATGGGGGAAAAAGGAGACATATGTAATACTTTAATCAATAAAGAATAAATTTTTAAAAATTCTACATGCTGACCTTTAAAGTCTATACAAAAAGAATGATAAAAAACTGAAGGAGCAATGGAGCAAAAGAGGGAATAGTATTCTAACCAGTTCATTAAAAAAATTTTTCCATTGGAGCTGTAACTTGGAAGATGAAAATGTACCCTCCATGTAGAAATATGGGGCATTTCAGGTAAAGAATAGGTGAGACAAAGGCTGACTCTCAAGGACCTGCAGGTATTTTCACAGTTAAATGAACCGTAAGACTGCAGTTCCCATCCTGTGCCAAAGTATCCCACTGTGGAAAACTCACAAGGGGTTCCAGGAGATAATTTTCAATCATCTGAAATTAGCATTCACTACACATATCTGTACATTAAAATGTTAAAATCAGAAGAACAAAGAAAACTCACCAGGATACTGTTTTGCTGTTAACTCTAGTTTATGAGACAGCAGCATAGCTCCAGTGGTGTTATCTATTGTATAAACCTGTACAGAACCACTGTAAAAAAACAAACAAACTTCAGTGAAAAAAGATAAATGCAAATATAAAAAGCATTATTATGGGAATGCTTATGTACTGCTGGTAAGTATATAAACTAGAACAAAACGAAACTGTAAATAAGTTGTAGTCATCTCATAAGTTTGATCAGATACATATTCTGTAATCTAGCAACTTCACCTCTAGCTATACCAGAACATCCTTGTCATGTATAATGTTCATCATCGTATTCTGTAAAGTGCAAAACATGGAAATCTGAATGTTCAACAATAACAGAAAGGAAAATGAACTGTGGTATAATCATACAGTAATATACCACATAGTATTAGAAAGAAATAAAATTTAGTTACATGCACTAAAATAGGTAGCATAGGTATACAGTATAATTGTTTCTAATAGTAAAAAGCATTCAAAACATAGTAGTTAAATATACTGTGGTAAAAATGCAGCAAAGTCCTAAGGTACACTAACTGCAGACCAGTGACTGCGCTTGTGGAGAAGGGGGCAGGCAGAGCTTCATCAGCTTTGGTAATGTGCTTTCTCATGTTAGATGGTAATTTATATAAATTTTCATTTTATTATTGTTACATCTCATTATTTTTAAAATCTATACACATGATACACGCTCTTTTGGGTATAAGGTATATGTAATTATTTCATTTAAAACATCTTTACAGCCCGGCCGGTGTGGCTCAGTTGGTTGTCATCCCATGCACCAAGAGGTTGCTGGTTCTATTTCTGGTCAGGGTACATGCCTAGGTTATGGGCTTGATCCCCAGTAGGGGGCGTGCAGGAGACAGCCAATCGATGCTTCTCTCTCCATTTCCTTTTCTTTCCCCCCTCTCTCTAAAATCAATAAAAATATATTTAAAAAACAAACATCTTTACAAGGGTCAAATTTATGAAGGACCAGAAAGCAAAAGAAAATATGTTACTTCTAAAGTACATTTCAAAACTAAACTTAATGATCATTTAAAAAAACATTTCTGCTTATGAAGTTTTAAAAATTTTTTTTAACACAAATATTGTTTGGGGCTGCCAGAATATCCTGGCACTTATGCACGCTTCTCTGTGGCAGGAGAAGTCAGATGGTTCCCACAGCAACTCTGATCCACTTCCACCCAGGTCCAACTTCCCTCAAGGGTTAGGAATGGGGCAAAATAAAACACCTGCAATAACGGGCCACCTGCAGCTACCTCACAGCTCATTAATGCTCTATTTTTCTATTTATTTAAAATAATTTCTTTTGCCACATCCTTCAAGTTAACATTAATCTGTTTTTGATTTGGGTCTTTTTTGTATCTTTGATGCCTCAGTTTAATACTCAAATGGGACCCTCTACAGATCTCTGGAGTTCTCTCCTTGTGCCACCCTCTTTGGTGTCTGTCCTGTGAGTCTCAGGTGCTTTGGTCTCCCCAAACTCATTTCCAGGTACTCAACTCAGGGAATCTGCCAGGCTCTATCTTCCAACCTCATGCTATGCCCTGGAAATTCTCAAAGTAATTAAAGCTGGGGCACTTGTAGAGTTTTCTTATTTTGTTTCTCATCTTTCAGGGATTGCTGTCTTTAGTTACCTGATGTCCTATTTCTTGAATTCAAAATGCCTGTTTCATATTTTTGTCCATTCTCTTGTTTTAATTTCAGGTGGCAGAGGAAATTTGATCTGTTATTCCATCTCAGTCAGAAGCCAAATGCCTAAATGTATCTTTCCAGACCACATACCCAAACACCTGGCTGAAAGACAACACTAAGTAGCTAGCAGGTTTCTGCTTTGCATCTGACACACCGTCAAGTGCTAACTCTGGGTTGCTGAGCTCTAACACGCCAGTGAGGAGTTCAAATATTTCTAATTTAAGTAGTAGGTATTATGTCACTACTTAAAAAGACTGAAAATTAACCCTTTAAGTATTCTATAGTGCCTATACTCTTTAAATTATTTTTCTTTCCATTTCTCAGCCCATTGTAAGAGAACATTTTTTCATTAAAAGATACTATTTACTAATCTTAAAGCAAAAACATCCTATATAATAAAGAGGTAATATGCAAATTAACTCACGCCCTCACAAGATGGCTGCCTATGACAGATTGGCAGGGGGGTTAGTGAGGGACAACCAAACGACTGAACAAGCAGGCTGTGTGGGGCAACCAGGCCAGCAGGGGGTGAGGGATGACCAAACGACTGAACAGCAGGCTGCGTGGGGTGACCAGGCCAGCAGGGGGGACTGTGAGGGGCAACCAGGCTGGCAAGGGGGGCAGTTGGGGGCGACCAGGTCAGCAGGGGGGAGCAGTTGGGAGCAACCGGTCAGCAGAGGGGGTCAGTCGGGGGTGACTAGGCTGGTGGGGGGGGGGGGCAATTAGGAGCAACCAGGCCGGCAGGGAGGGGGCAGTTGGAGGCAACCTGGCCAGCAGCAGAGGGCAGTGAGGGGTGATCAGAACGGCACTCAGAGGCAGCGAGGGGCGATTAGGCCGGCAGGGGGAGGGTAGTTAGGGGTGACCAGGCAGGTAAGCGATTATGAGCCAGTGGTCCAGGATTGTGAGAGGGATGTCCGACTGCCGATTTAGGCCCGATCCTGGGGGTTGGGCCTAAACCGGCAGTCGGACATCCCCAAGGGGTCCCAGATTGGAGAGGGTGCAGGCTGGGCCTCTAGTCTTTCTATAACAGAGATATGGCTACTACCACCATAAGTGATCAAAGTTAGCAGTATTAATACTAGGACAACTCAACATTACTATTACACAATGCCATAGGAAGTACACAACATCATGAATGGCAAAAATGTTTAGCCAAATCTAAACAAACCTTTAAATATAAAGGTAAATGTTAGGTTGTAAGACTGATCCCCTGAAAATTGGCATCCTAAAAGAAAGATGTCTTCTTACAGGATTCTATAGGAAAACCAATTCCTAGAAAAATACAGCTACAGTCTAGTGCTCAAGGGAATTAAGCCTGGTAAGTGATGGCAGAGCAGAGCTAAAAGACACTAGGCTACAATGTCACACAGCTATAACCACAAAACTTACACCCCAGCCCATGGTCATGACAGATGGGTTGGTACTCTCCCAACCAATGAACACTTTGTACACCGTAAGAGTCTACAGACACTAAATTCAAAATATTGTGGCATGTGGGGATGGTTTCCCTTTTGGGTGTGTGGCGGTTAACTGGTGAAAACTGAGACGAATAAAAGCTGAAGGCCAAGACTCTACCTTCATTACCCTGGGGAGAGCTAGAGCACCTCTCCTGGATTCTCACATCGGCCTTGATAGACCCTTGGGTGCCAGCCCTGAATGTAGGTGATGTGAAACTATATCTGCCACTGCTCATGTCTCTGAGTTCCCCCTAAATGATGACATGTGAGCTTCCTAGTCATTAACTATATTGGCTCAATAAGAACCAGCTTCAAAGTTCCAGTCAATTCAGGTGTTAGAAAAACTAATTAAATGGCATTATGAAGAAAGAATAGAAATTTAGAATGTGAGACATTCTATAAACAACTGACATGGACTCTTAAAAAAAGTTTATGTCATACAAATAAGAAAAAAAGGTGTAAGGATTGTTATAGGCAAAAGGTGACTAAAGAGAAATAATAATCTACACTAATAAAAGAGAAACATGGTAATTGGCGTACGACCGCTAGCTACCCTTTTCATTGGCTAATCATCGAGATATGCAAATTAACTGTCAGCCAAGATGGCGGCTGGCAGCCAGGCAGCTTGAAACTAACATGAGGCTTGCTTGCCTCAGTGACGGAGGATCTTTGGAGGAAACCAACGTTCCCCGCCTGCGGCTGCAGGCCTCTGAGCGGGCAGTTTAAGAAACATTGTAACAAATACCGCCGGACTTCAGCCAGCAGATTTGCAACATTGTATGCAAAGGCCAGAAACCTACTTTCAGCCGCGGAGGCCTAAGAGCTGGAGCCAAGCCTCAAGGTAAAGCTGGCCCAGAATTAAAAAAAAAAAAAAGGAAAAAAGGAGCGGTTGGGAACTTCAGTCACTCCCAGCCTGAAAACAGCCCTCAGCCCCTCACCCAGACTGGCCAGGCACCCCAGTGGGGACCCCCACCCTGATCCAGGACACCCTTCAGGGCAAACCAGCCGGCCCCACCCATGCACCAGGCCTCTACCCTATATAGTAAAAGGGTAATATGCCTCCCGGCACTGGGATCAGCATGACAAGGGGCAGCGCCCAAACCCCCTGATCGCCCTGCGGCTCTGTGTGTGACAGGGGGCGGGGCCCCAACCCCCTGAGCAGCCCTGCTCTGTGCCTGATAGGGGGGAGCTCCCCAACCTCTCCCCCCACGGGCCCTGCTCTGTGTGTGATGGGGTAGAGCCATAACCTCCCCATCGGCCCTGCCCTGAGTGTGACAGTGGCAGCGCCCCAACCCCCTGATCGGCCGTGCTCTGTGGGTGATAGAGGGCGGTGCCCCAACCCCCTGATCCGCCCTGCTCTGTGTGTGACGAGGGCAGCGCCCCAACCCCGATTGGCCCTGCTCTGTGCGTGACAGGGGGTGGCACCGCAACCTCCCCATTGACCCTGCCTTGAGTGTGACAGGGGACGGTGCCCCAACCCCCCAATCGGCTCTACCCTGAGCGTGACTGAGGGTGGCATCACAACCTCCCAATCTGCCCTGCTCTGTGCATGACGGGGCGGCGCCCCAACTCCCCAATCGGCCCTGCTCTGAGCCCGACCAGGGGCTGCACCTAGGGATTGGGCCTGCCCTCTGCCACCCGGGAGCAGGCCTAAGCCAGCAGGTCGTTATCTCCCGAGGGGTCCCAGACTGCGAGAGGGCACAGGCCAGGCTGAGGGACCCCCCTCCCCCCCCGAGTGCACAAATTTTTGTGCACCAGGCCTCTAGTCAAATATAATTCACGAATTTTGCTTGATTATGGTTGGAACAAAGAAGCTATAAAAAAAAACCTTGGTTAATTTCAACAAGGCCCTGATCGGTTTTCCCAGTAGTTAGAGCATCGGCCCATGGACCAAAGGGTCATGGGTCCAATTCCCAGTCAAGGGCATCTACCTCAGTTACAGGTTCGATACCCAGCCCCAGTCTGACGAGTGTGGGAGGCAAACAATTGATGTGTCTCTTTCAAATCAATGTGTTTTTTTCTCTCTCTCTCTGCTCCTTCATTCTGCTGGGGTCCAACCCCAGCGGGTCCAGGGGTCCCCAAAGGCGTAGACGGAGTCAGCGAAGAAGGAAGGACACGGAGACAGTGTTCAGTTGATCAGCAGCCTAGCCAGGATCTCCAGCCAGGATCTCCAGCCAAGTTCTGGTCTGGATCTCCAGAGAAGTTCTGCTTTGGATCTCCTGCCAGGTTCTGTGTCCATGTTCTCTTGCTAGGTTCTCCAGGTTCTCCAGCCAGGTTCTGTAGCCATGTTCCCTCGCTAGGTTCTCCAGCCAGGTTCTGTCCAGGTTCTCCAGCCAGGTTCAGTCACCAGGTTCTAGTCAGGTTCTCTTGCCAATTTCTGTAGTCAGGTTCAGTCCAGGATCTTTTGCCATGTTCTCTCCAGCGAAGTTCTTCTGTCTGTAGGTTCTGTGTAGGTTCTGTCTTCTTAGTTCTGTGTTCTAAGCTCTGTATTCTAAGTTCTGAGTCTTGCTGTCTTGTTACATCTGTATTTATACCAGTTGATTCAATCCTATCAATCTCTATTACAAAGGTTAGGGCGTTTCTTATCTCCATTCCAGGGAGTAAAGATTATGTAGCTTAAGCATGATTGTTCGTAATTAAAGTGATTAATTACCCGCCTGGCACTTAGTTGAGGGGTTTTATTCCCTCCCTAACTTCAGGGGAAAATCCCTACCTGGGGAAACAACCTTTCTCAGAGACCTTGGTTAAAACACATAGTGCCAAGAAGGTGAGCAAACATATTAAGAACAGTATGCCATATATGCCAGGTCCTTTGAAACAGCAAGGATGGACCGGCTCCCGGCATCATTCTTTCTAAAAAATAAAATCAATGGGAAAAATATCCTTGGGTGAGGATAAAAGGAAAAATAATTTCAACATGAATTGAGTATCAGATCTTAAAAGGGGTTTATTAATTTTCTCATATGTGATAAAGTTATTGGGTTTTTATAAGAGAATGTCTCTTTTTTTTTTTTGGAAACCAAGAAATAATATAAATGTCCACTAACAGCAACAGCAGATAAATTATGGTATATTCATACACTGTAACATTATTTATAAATAAATCAAAAATTATTTCAGCTACAGGCAAAGAACTTGGATAAATTTTACAATATTGACTGAAAGAGTAAGACATGTAACATAGAATATAATTCTATTCATATAAAGTTCAAAATCAGGTGAAACTAAGTTATGTTCTTTAAGAACACATACATGGGTGATAAAACTACAGAGACAAAGAAATGATTATCACAAAAGACAGAAAATTGGTTACCTTTAAGTGAGTCGGGGAAGGGACAAAAGTTGTGATTAGGATGTAGCCAGGGTAAAACTTGTATTGGCTGGCAATGTGCTATTTCTTGGCCCAGTTGTGAATAGATATGTGTTTGTATTAAATATATTTGTAAAATGGAATATTTGCAGTATGCACTTTCCTGAAAGTATATTTTTATTTTACAATATGAAAATTTAAAAGGATATTACAAACTTTATGCCAATAAATTTAACAGTGCATATGAAAAAAAAACCCAATTTTCAGAAAAATATAAATTGCCAAAATTACTTAGGAAGAGATAGACAATCTGAATCTTCTTAAATCTATTCTTAAAACTGAATTAAACCAGTAACACAAAAAATTCCCATACAGATAATTCTAGGTTCAGATGGCTTCACTGACAAATCTGACTACAGAGAAGAGAATGAGAAGGACAAACCCTCCTCAACCTGTTTTATAAGGCAAGAGAGTTACAAACTAGGAGAGTAAGAAAAATTATAGGCAAATGTACTCATGAACATAGACTTTAAAATTCTAAACAAAATATGACCAAATCAAATTTGTGAATATGAAAAAAATACGCTTTTTCTTCTTTCTTGTACTAAGTTTAATTATATTTCTACATTTACCTCTTTAATAAAAAGCAGTGTGAGAGGATGAAGATTCCTCACTTTACAAAGAGATTGAGAGTGTAATGAAGGTGGTGATGAATTATACATGTGAATTATTTATACTAAAAAGATACTTTGACACTTGTACCTGGAGATTATACCAGATGTATGTTCTACAAAAACATTAAGTCTCATTTTTAGGGCAAATGGAATTTTATATTTAAGAAAGTTTTAAAGGCTAACGAGCACTATACATACTGTAAGGGATTACTGTAAATATCTGATACAGGGTGGGACAAATAGGTTGCCAGTTATTCATATGGAAAATACATGTTAATAAAGAATAATACAAGAATAAACTGTATTTTGTGAACTCATAACTGTAAGCCTATATCGCCCATCATGTATAATCTTTTTAATTGAGCTAAAATAGCCTGATAGTCAGATATCATTGCTGTTTTCTAATGTATCCCAAGTGCTAATAACTGTGCCTGGTACATGCCAGACACACAGATATGTACTGAATAACTATTATATTTTACTTCTAAAACATGCATTATTTGTATTAAAACAAGAAGCTGATTTTATCTATGAGCTTTAAATTTGCTCCTTCACTAACGTATATCCACTGATTCAAAGACAATGTCAACACTGATGTCTTAAAAAAAAAAGATTATATAAAAAAAGGAAAAAGTATCTTCCTGATCCTGTTAAATAATAAAGAACCTACATTTTAACTGATTAAATTTTTTAAACTTGTAACTCAATTTCTTACCACTGAAGAAAAGCTCACTTTTACAAATTAAGATAATCTCCAAAATCTGCCCTTTACATTGGTTGTTCCAACCTAAAATACTGTTAGATTTGCCCTAGCTGGTTTGGTTCAGTGGATAGAGCGTTGGCCTGTGGACTAAAGGGCCCTGGTTTGATTCCTGGTCAGGACACATGCCCAGGTTGCAGGCTCAATCCCCAGTAGGGGGTGCACAGGAGGCAGCCGATCAGTGATTCTCTCTCATCACTGATATTTCTGTCTCTCTCTCCCTCTCCCTTCATCACTGAAATCAATGAAAACATATTAAAAATAAAATAAAATACTGTTATATTTTATATTAAGGCTGATTCATAAATTATAATGGGATGACAAACTTGACAACTATATTAGGAACATCTGATGTTTTAAAAACATTTTTTGCAATAACACTTAAATTGCAGAAGTCTATATATTACCTCGCACAACCAAATGCCATTAGTCGATACTTGTTATTTACAGCTACACAAGTTCCGTCAACAACATCTTGTGGCCAAACTCCATGAAGCTGCTATAATAAAGGAAAGCAGTTAAGGTTTAAAAAGTGTTCTCCAAAACACAATGTAATCAATATAATTCTCCTTCAATAAATGTAGTTTCATAAGGTTTTATCTTATTTGGTTTCAACTGGATAGAAAAATATTCCATCAGAACTACTATCTGAATTTTCTCCCTTAAAACATCAATTTCATTAGTTGTTTCAATAAATATTCCCCAAATGAGCTCAGTCCAATGCTGATCTATTTACAGAACACTAAAAACTGGATATTTGATCTCTAAATTCAAATTAAATGATGATGACTTTCCTGTTAGGATATAAACCTCTTGACAGAACAAACTGCTAACTTGTTCACTATTATTACTCTTATAGTCAACTAGCACATAGCTCTAAGTACACAGCATAATGGTTAGACAATCATACACTTCACAAAGTGTTCCTCCTGATATTTCCAGCACCCACCTGGCACCATACATAACTATTACAATACTGTTGATTGTATTTCCTATGCTGTACTTCACATCCACATTATTTGGTATATTCTTACCAGCAATTCATAATTTGTCAATTGCTGACTATTCTCTATTATTCCTTTGCTTTATGGAGTAATGGTTAATAGTATGGTATCCGGCAGCCTGATATCTTAGGTCTACCACTCATTTGCTGAAATGATTATTTCACCTTTCCAAGCTTTGGTTTTCTTTCATCTGTAAATTCCTTACCTCTTAGAGTGTTTTAAAGATTAAATGAGAGTGTACACACATGTAAACCACTTAATACAATGGCTAGCATTAAATAAATGAATGTCACTATTATTAAATTTATATGCTATTTTATTCTGAATAAGAAATATAATAGGCTCAGCTCCATTGTGCTTGTCAAATCAAGGACATCTTAGATTATAAATTCTAAGGCAAAGCTCATCATGACAGTTTAGTAAGCACAAAAAAATAGCACACTGCAATATACACTTTACTTTTAGATGATCCCAATAGTAAACATTAGAAGACTCAATATAATGATGACTTTTTTGAAAATATACTACTACAGACTTTATTTAATTACTAAATGAGCTTTATAACGTACTATCTAAACATGGAATATTTGCTTCTTTTTGTAGAAATTTAATTTTAAATTTTAATAATAAAACTGGCATTATTTTAGATTACAAAAAATGGTAACGATTGCATTGAGCATTATTTCTTTGGATGACTGCTTACTGAAATTCATACCTGCAACAAGTATTTTTCAGATGCCCATTATTCACCAGGCACTGCTCTAGGTGCTGAGGAAACGGCAGGTATTTAAGCACACCTAAATCCCTACTTGTATTCTGCCTTACATTTGTTAAGAGGCTGACAAATTAAAATAATTATCCAGTATATTGGAAGTTGGCAAATGCTACAGAAATAATAAAGCAATTATGTGGAAGAGGGAGTATGGGGGAAGGATGTAATATTAAGTGGATTTGTCTGTGAACATGTGTTTTAAGGCAAGTACGGAAGGAGATATATCAAGTACAAAGGCCCTATCAGAGATTGCATTTCTGGTATGTTCAAAGAACATCAAAGAGGCCTGTGCAGAAGGGGTGGAGTGAAGGAAGAGGAAGTAGAAGATGAGGTAACAGCTTTTTCTCCAATTTATATATTGGGAATCATTGGAGTGCCTTTATTTTTTAAACTTTTCAATTATGAATTATAAATACATTAGAGAAAAATACACAAAACAAAAATGTACATCTCAATAACATCACCAAGTAAACACTTGTAGAATTACCACTCTACAAGTGGTAATTGTGAGTACCCAAAGGTCTCCAACAGTGTCCTTTCTGATCAATACACCTTTGCCCCATCACAAAAGTAACCAATATCCAGACTTAGATGGGAATCACTTCCTTCTTTCTCTTTGAACCATTACCACTTAAACATGCATCCATACAAACTGTTTTTATTTTTCCTTTAAATTTACATACAATAGACTCATAGCACGTATCCTTTTGTGTCTAGCTGCTCTCACCCAATGTTTGTGAGATCCATCCACGTTGTTGCACACAGTCTTGTTTGTTCATGCCCACTGTTACCTCAAACACTGGGCTTAGCTCACTAGGCCTCTGGCCTCCTCCAGCCTGGTATTCTTTATTGTCTAATTAGCTCTCCAAAACCTTTAAGCACTTTTAAAAAATATTTTTTCTTCAGCTTTTCTAGTTGCCCTCAGCAGGTTTTGTCCTAATTATACTAGGTGTACCAGTTAATAATGCAGATTTTTTTCAATAGATGGAGTTACACATATGTTGATTTGATATGTATGCTATTTTGTTGTATTGACAGCAAGCTTCAAAACTCCATATGTGAAATTTGCTGAAAGTGTTAACATCACAGATATTTTTGCACTTAAAAATGTCCAATTTCATGCCAAAAAAAGAGCACTTGTGGGAAGTTTTAATTCATTACTTCATTTTGAAGAAAAGTGCTGCTGAATACTTTGGGAAGCTTATGGTGAACATGCTCCATCTCAAGATACTTGTGAATGCTGGTTTAAATGCTTTAAAGTGATGATTTCGATGTGAAAGACAAAGAACATCCAGGTCAACTGAAAAAGTTTGAAGACCAACAATTACAAGCATTATTGGATGAAGATGCGTGTCAAACTCAAAAACAACTTGCAGAAAGATTAAACACTGCTCAGCAAACAATTTCCAATCGTTTACAAGTAATGGGAAAAATTTTAAGGGAAGGAAAATGGGTGCCACATCAACTGAACGAAAGACAAATGGAAAACTGAAAAGTCATCATCAGTAAAATGTTGCTTCAACGGCATGAAAGAAAGTCTTTTGTGCATCAAATTGTGACTGGCGATGAAAAGTGGATTTATTTTGGGAATCTCAAACGCACAAAATCATGGGTTGATCCAGGTCAACTATCAACATTGACTGCAAGGCCAAATCACTTTGGAAAGAAGACAATGCTCTGCGTTTGGTGGGATCAGGAAGGTGTGGTGTATTATGAGCTTCTAAAACCAGGTGAAACCATTAATACTGATCGCTACCAACAACAAATAACCAATTTGAACCACGCTTTGATTGTGACCAGAATGTGCCAGAAGACATGGCAAAGTAATTTTGCTTCACGATGACACACCATCACACACTTCAAAACCAGTTAAAGACACGTTAAAAGATCTTGCCTGGGAAGTATTAACCCACCCGCTGTATTCACCAGACCTTGCTCCTTCAGATTACCACTTGTTCCGATCGATGGCACACGCACTTTCTGAGCAGCACTTCAAAATGTACGAAGTGGAAAATTGGGTCTCTGAATGGTTTGCCTCAAAACAAGAAAAGTTCTATTGGGACAATATCCACAAATTACCTGAAAGATGGGGAAAATGTGTAGCTAGCGATGGACATTACTCTGAATAAAAGCACTTTTAATGTTTCTCTTGAAATTATCGTGTTTTCTTTGATTACAAAATCTGCCATTATTAACCAATACACCTCATACAGTCCTACTGAAGGGGTTTTGAGCAGAGGCGTGGCATAATCTGACATATTTTAATTTATTTGTTAAATATATTAAACAATGCTGAACAGAATTTTTATAAAGCATTTAAATAATATGTAATATAGCCTGGTCGGTGTGGCTTAGTGGTTGGGCATCAACCTATGAACCAGGAGGTCATGGTCCAATTGCCATATGACTGGGTTGCAGACTCGATCCCCAGTAGGGGGTATGCAGGAGGCAGCTGATTAATAATTCTCTCTTATCATTGATGTTTCTATTTCTCTTTCCCTCTCCCTTCCTCTCTGAAATTAATAAAAATATATTTAAAAATGAATAATGTCAAATATAAAGATGCCAATGTGTTTCCTAACTACCGGTAATACATGTGTATTGTTTTCTTCTAATTTATATTTTCTACTTATAACATCTATATATAAAGAGCTGGGTTCCATAACTTCCAAAACGACCAAACAGACAACCGAACATTGGAAGTCAGTCCTGAAGTCAGTGCTGGGTCGCCACTGCCACGGGGGCTGCGGATCAGGCCCAGAGAGAGGCCCAGAGACAGAAGCAGGGTCTGATCCGCAGCCTCCATAGCAGTTATTGATGAGCCCTTGCCCCTCTCTCTCTCCAGGCCTTGACAGCAGCCGTGCCTTTCTTTCTCTCCGGGCCTTGCCAGCAGCTGCGGGGGCTACCGATCAGCCCCGCCTCTCTGACTTGATACTCAAATCTGGGTGAATTGCGAGGAGCCAATGGTTGCCTAGGAGGCAGAGCTTTTGATGCTGACTGGCATAGAAACCAACCAATCAGAATCTAATCTAGGTGAACTGCAAAGGCAGAACTAAGGTGGGGGCTGAGGAGGGGTTTTAAGGGCAACAGCTGTTTGGTGTAAGGTGTAAGAAAGTGGTTTCATTTTTTAATGACCGCTTTGGCAGTATAGTGCATATGGCTGGCTATCAATCCGGACATAGGGATTATGTATTTTTGTCTGCTAAGAGCATCTCCTCCTGCCGAAAAAGGCTTTTTCTCCCCCATTTAAGCAAGCCTATCCTATATAATCTATCTATACTAATAAAAGGGTAATATGCTAATTAGACCGGGTTGACTGGACAACCGACTTCCTTCTGGTCAAAGCCATGGTGGTGGGAGCCGAGGCAGAGGCAGTTGGGGGCAAGATCAGGCCGGCAGGGGTTAGGGGCAATCAGGCCGGCAGGGGAGGGCAGTTGGGGGTGAGATCAGGCCGGCAGGCAGAGGCAGTTAGGGGCGATCAGGCAGGCAGGCAGGTGAGCGGTTAGGAGCCAGCGGTCCCAGATTGTAAGAGGGATGCCTGACTGCCGGTTTAGGCCCGATCTCACAGTCGGACATACCTCAAGGAGTCCCCAGTTGGAGAGGTGCAGGCGGGCCACTAGTTTAATAATGCCCATCTATTTTCCATTATATTTTAAACCTTAATTGACTAGAAAAATTTCTTTAATCAAATACTAACAAAAATTGATACTCAGAAAAGTCATTTTCAGCTCTAATATTTTTGTTTTCAGTAAAAAACATTTAAATCCCAAACATAATTACAAATATATTTGTACCTTGTAAAAAAAGAGGTTCTTCAAAAGCTTATTTTTATTCTAATTTACATACTGATATGTTATTACAAATGTATTAGTTAGTACCTTACTACCTGAATAAAGTCGGTAATGAAAAATAGTTATTAGAAACCTTAAAGCTGATACCATGTAGAAAAAACATACCCTCAAAAACTAGCAATCAAAAACACCTTAAAATCCTTTCCAATTAAAAAGAGCACACTGACCACTAATATTTATCTTCTCTGACTACTGGAACAGAAAAGATTTTTTCAAAAGCATTAACTGCAAGAACAAAAAATGGGAGATGAGGTAGTATCAGAAAATCCTGGAAGCTGGAAAGTATAAGGACGGGTAGAATCCTTAACTGGCAGTAAAGAATGTTGAGAAGCAGCTAAGTTTACATTATAGGGCACACAAAGGCTTGGGAAGTTAGATGTCTCTGAAAGGCTGTACTGAAAGCAGGACTGGTTCAAAGACTGTGTAAGCAGCAGCTGGGTCTTTAAGAAGTACCTCCCTGATTTGAGCTGCTAAGAAACATTCCACTTCCATTCTAACAGAAAACTGGAGGCTTTTCTTTGAAGAAAAATAAAACAAACAAACAACCTCCAGTGATCTCTGGACCATAATGAAAACAGGGATAAGTAAAAGTTTACATTCTGAATCTGGACCCTCCAGTCTAACTCTTCCACAACTCAAATCCTAGAATACTTGGTCAGCCAGGTATATACTTTCTGGAAAGGACTGCAGGACTCTCCTCAAATGCACCTTGGATACAGAGATGGGAGGAAAGGAAATAATCCAGTTAGCTCACCATATAGTAAAGATCATAGTCAACCAAACCCCACAGAGCTTATCAACAAACCCAACATTTTATTTTGGGTCTCTACACAGCAACCAAATTCATAAATTAACTGATCATATATGAATTAACCATTCATTGTGAAATAATCACATAGAAATAAAGGAGTAAAGGATCCTCTGGATGATGATGGAGAGCCTCAATACACCTGTGTTAAAGGCATGTATAGTGAGCAACACTCCAGACTAGAGCAGGTCAGTGGCTCCAAGAGAAATTTCTTCAAGAATATGAAATGAGAGGAACCAAGATGGCGGCATAGGTAAACACTGGAGTTTGCTGCCTCAAACAACCACTTCAAAAATACAACTAAAAGATGGAACGGACATCATCCAGAACCACAGGAAGGCTGGCTGAGTGGAAGTTCTACAACTAGGAGGAAAAAGAAAAGCATACCGAGACTCAGAGGAGGCGCAGTGCTGAAGTAAAATACTAAGGTGCGGAGTGCATGCGGAGCGGGCTGGCAGCTGAGGGCGTGGTTGTTGTTTTCAATCGGGAGGGAGTCTCAGGCTCTGAGCTCCACTTCCGGGCGAGTCTCTAGGGACCCAGACTCATACAGGAGAAACGGGACTGTCTGGCATCCCTCAGAACCCTAGGGCAGCTTTCTCTCCGTGGGGCTTGCAGCGATTATTGGGACACTGAGAAACAGAGCCTCTGAGGGCAAGACTGAGAGCAGCCGTAACTGCTAACCCCGCCCTGTTGATCCTGTGGGACCTGCCCTGCCCAAGCCCTTCAGGGAAACTTTTGCTGGATAGCCTCAGGCAAAGGCTAGATTAGCACCTCCCTAGCGATCCAGGAGCCAGGAAGCCCAGAGGTCAGAGTGGGACCATCCAGTTTTCAACTCCATGGAACCATAAAAGACACACTCAGGGGGCAGACTCAGTGAGCACCAAAGCCCCATTGAAGCAAGTCTAGCCCCAGAGGGGTGTCTACAGCACAGAAGTTCTCCCACTGCAGACACAGCTGATTCTCACAGCCAATTGGCCTGGAGGTCAATTCCTCACAGTGATAACTACAATCAAGGCTTAATTACAACAAGACTGTGCACAAAGCCCACAAGGGGGTGCACCAAGAGTGTCTACCTCAGATAATTGGGACACTTAGCACAGAAAGGCACTCTATCGACACAGCGAAGCATAAAAAATGCCAAGACAAAGAAACAGGACACAAACGACAGAATTGGAGGAAAGCAAACTGCTGGATATAGAGTTCAAAACCACACTTTTAAGGTCTCTCAAGAACTGTCTAGAAGCCGCCGATAAATTTAATAAGGCCCTCGAAAAGACTGGTGAGACCGCCGATAAATGTAGTGAGATCCTGAAGAAATCTAATGAGACCCTCGATGTTGTGATAAAGGACCAATTAGAAATTAAGCATACACTGACTGAAATAAAGAACATTATACAGACTCCCAAGAGCAGACCAGAGGATAGCAAGAATCAAGTCAAAGATTTGAAATACGAAGAAGCAAAAAAACACCCAACCGGAAAGGCAAAATGAAAAAAGAATCCAAAAATACTAAGATAGTGTAAGGAGCCTCTGGGACAGCTTCAAGTGTACCAACATGCAAATTATAGGGGTGCCAGAAGAAGAGAGAGACCAAGATATTGAAAACCTCTTTGAAGAAATAATGACAGAAAACTTCCCCTGCCTGGTGAAAGAAATAGACATACGAGTACAGGAAGTGCAGAGAACCCCAAACAAAAGGAACCCAAAGAGGACCACACCAAGACACATCATAATTAAAATGCCAAGAGCAAAAGACAAAGAGAGAATCCTAAAAGCAGCAAGAGAAAGAAAACCAGTTACTTACAAGGGAGTACCCATACGACTGTCAGCTGATTTCTCAACAGAAATTTTGCAGGCCAGAAGGGAGTGGCAAGAAATATTCACAGTGATGAATACCAAGAACCTACAATCAAGACTACTTTATCCAGCAAAGCTATCATTCAGAAGTGAAGGCCAGATAAAGAGCTTCACAGATAAGAAAAAGCTAAAGGAGTTCATCACCACCAAACCAGTATTATATGAAATGCTGAAAGATATCCTTTAAGAACAGGAAGAAGAAAAAGGTAAAGATACAAATTATGAACAACAAATACACATCTATCAACAAGTGAATCTAAAAATCAAGTGAATAAATAATCTGATGAACAGTATGAACTGGTGACTGTAATGGAATCAGGGACATAGAAAAGGAATGGACTGACTATTCTTGGGGGGGGGGGGGGAAGGGGTGTGGGGTGAGGGAAGAGATTGGACAATAATCGTGCACCTATGGATGAGGACAGTGGGTGGGGAGTGAGGGCGGAGGGTGGGGTGGGAACTGGGTGGAGGGGAGTTATGGTGGGAAAAAAGAGTAACTAATGTAATAATCTGAACAATAAAAGATTTAATTAAAAAAAAAAGAATATGAAATGAAAGAACACCTATCTATGTGCTTGAAAAAACAGAGAGGAAATTTACACAACCAGCAGACAGTCTGGGGTTGAGTTAGTGGTAAATACATAGAAACTAAGCAAAGTAAAAGAACTAAGAATTATTAATTCCAAGTGGGAGAAAAAATCTACAGGAAAAGAAAAATATAGCATCTCACATGGGGCAGGTACTAATATAAGTGTACAAAGCAATATCAATGTAAACAATGAATAGTAATCTAATCAAAACACAACAGCTATGCTGGAAAGTATGTGGTGGAAGCTAGGGAGAGGGAAGTATGTGGTCATTTTCCACAGTTGGAGGTACATAAACACAGCCTAAAAACGAAAAATTAAAGAAAATACACAGAGTAGTGAGGATGAACAGCAAAATACACAGTAAAGGAACAAAAAGTAGTTGCCTACAAGAATGAAAATTGGGTGTGAAGAGAGCAGGGAGGGCAGGAAATCTCATTTTTCTTTAGCGTGTCTAATAGACAATCATTGGTCTACTTATACTATATATATGTGTGTGTATATATACATAGTTTTTATTTTAAAAATTAATTCACAGGTGAATGGGGTGGAGGAGGTTGGGGGGGAAGGGGATCTCTGTAATACTTTCAATAAAGATACTAAATAAATAAAATTAATTAACAATAACCCATAAAATCATAAATTAAAAAATGGGGGAGGGATTTAGTAACAGACTAAAATTACTCAATACACAATAAATAAAATAAACATTCAAAGTAAGCGAGTCATACCTCTGAAGTAAATCTACTGGACATTGGTGTAATAAATCCCACTTTACCGTCGTTAAACACCACAGCAAACCCATCAAGTGTGGCACAGTATTCCATGTCTCTGATGTGCACATCTGCAAAGCCCAGGAATGAACCTGCTAATAAAATAAGTACATGAAATATAATAAATAATTCCCTCAATTTTTGCTTAAAAACCCTGTAAGGATAGTTAAAAAGGCAAAAATAATGACCTAAAAACATTAAACAATGCAACCACTCCTTCCTACTGAGACACACACAAACAACTCCCTTGCATAATTAATTCCGAAATAGAAAAATCAATGTTCATCCACTGCAATATCTAACTAGGTTATATAAAATATTAATCATCTGGTTCTACCCCATGCAGAAAGTATAACTACCTCTAGATGACTGTAGATCTAGTGAAAAGGGTACTGTGGAAAGATTAATAGCTTTCTTTCCATTTGTCATTCCTTCCCAGTGAATAAGATGAAGCTGTCCATCAGAAGTAGCAACCAGGAGATCTTCCAGCACAGACTGCAAACTGTAGGGAAGTAAGCAATTTGTTATCAGTTACCTTTTAAGAGAGTAAACTGGGAAATCAATGAGTATGAATATAATTGCCCTAGAGAATATTCATTCAGAGAAGATAATGAAACCACTTACAAAACTGTCATTTATTTACAATTTAGTTATATAGTAACTTTATGTGTAATTTAATCTAGAATCAGAAATTCTGTAAGAAATGGAAGACTATGAGCAGCCATAGTCACAATTTGATGAACTCAGTTAAAAACTAGAAATACTGGAACAACAAATTAGAAGATGGAAGGAAGAGTGGTAGCTGACAAAAGGCAGAGAAAATATAAAAAGAACAACCAATGAAAAGATGACGATCTGGAGCCATTGAGCATAGAGTAACACTCCGCTCACCCTGCCCAACAGAACTTTCACCAGTGATAAAGTGTTCTGTATCTGCACTGTCGAGCACAGTAGCCACTAGCTACACATGATAACTGCACTCTTGAAATATGGCTAGTGTGACAGAACTGAATTTTAAATTTTGCTTACTTTTAACTAATTTAAACTGAAATGAATTCATTTCATTAGTGGCTACTGTACTGGAGAGCAGTTTTAGACCACTGTGTTTCCAAGGTTATCATGAGTCTCAATTTGTTCATCTACTGAACAAATATTTATTAAGCCTATGCTCTGTAGCAGGTGCTATGCTCTCTGTTGGAGATTCCAAAGTCAATAAAATAAGTTTCTCCCTTTAGAAGAACTCTCAGTTGATTATTAAAAAGTAATTACAGACAATCCTCGGGTTACGTTGGACTCGATGTACGTCGTTTTGCGGTTAGTACGTCGCCATTTCCCATTTTTTATAAGAAAAAAAGGTTCCATCATTTCAACGTACGTATATATGTGCTTTATGTCTTTTATTATTTACTTACCACAGGAAAGGTCAGGAATTGTTATCTTTCTTTTACTTTTTTTTTTTTTTTTTCCTGTTTTCACTTCATTACTGCTGTGTATGTGCTCCATGTGAGTGATGCAGGTGCTTATGTAGGTGGGTTCCGACTATGGCAAAAATCGAGTTACGTCGCACGGCGGGAACGGATCTCCAACATGACCCGAGGACCTACTGTATGTAGTATAATCTCAGCACTTATTGATATTTGCAAAGAGATTTATTTTTTTATTTTTATTTTTTCTAAAATATATTTTTATTGATTTCACAGAGAGGGGACGAGGGAGAGAGATAGAAACATCAATGATGAGAGAGAATCATTGATTGGCTGCCTCCTGCATGCCCCACACTCGGGATTTAGCAGGCATATGCCCTGGCCAGGGATCGAACCATGACTTCCTGGTTCACAGGTCGCGCTCAACCACTAAGTCACACTGGCCAGGCTGCAAAGAGATTTAACATTTACTTACCGAGTGGCAAATAAATGCCTCCTTGATTTACTCTTACATGCCCAGGCCCTAGGGCAGTGCTAGTTATATTTGGAAATAAATGTTTGTGGAAGGAGGGGAAAAAAGGGGAATCCATAAAGGAAACTGCGAAAGTACTGGCAGGGAGAAAGAAAAAGAGAATAGGGGAAGAAACAGCAGAAATTAGTACCAAGAAAGCCTAGGAAATAAGATGAATTTAAGAAAGAAAACTCAAGAGTATTAAAGTAGAATCAAGAATGATAAAATGTTGTGTGTCTATAATATATACTCTAATATACACTATTAAAAAAGAGTATAATTCATAAACATTTAAATCCATAATGGTAAAAAAATGTTTTAATTCTTAAATTAAACCTTCGATTCTTTGGAAAGTTTAGTTCAGTGACTCATTCCCCAAGGATTTGAGACAATACTGAAACAGAGTAGAACATGTCCCCACAACCCAGATCCAACTCTTGAACACCAGAGCATTTGTAATCAAGTAAAATTCCCAGTTTTAACTTTCACCTTTTAAAGTATTATACGTGTTCTTTCATTTCAAATTTATATTTTTGTGATAAAGTTTATATGTAGCATGTGTTGAGCAGAATACAAAAACTTACATTTTAGATCTGCTACTACATGTGAAAAGAGGCGAATGAGCAGAACAGTCATTATTTTACCAGTGATTTTCATTCAGCAGAACTCAGCCTAGGTTTTTTTCAAACTATATTTTCTCTCTCTCCCCTGCTCCTATCTTCCTAGAATTACTGCATATGACCAGGTTATCCTGCAGTCTTTTAACTGCCTGCTAGGCAAAACTCTTCTGACAAAGTTAACGCAATTAAGAATCTCTACATCATCACCCACAGTGCTGTGAAAAAATATAGCCACACATGTGAGTAAACAGGAAAATGTGACCAAGAGTCAAGAGAAAAAAAATCAACCATGAACAGACACACACAAAATCCTGATGTGGGAATTAAAAGATAACGACTTTAAAATAATTGTGATAATGATTTTAAAAATGAGGAAAAGATATATAGCCTCATTTCATTAAAACTAAACAAACTCATTAAACAAAGGCTGAAGTCAGTTGTTAAAGTACTGAATAGTTCCAAAGAAGTTAAACAGGCCTTGTTCCAAGCCACTCAAGTGCCTGTCCATCACTGATTGCCTCACTCACAAAGATCTAACTACTAAAGGATTAATGCTTGGCATCATGGGATATCAGGACCCCGTACCAGTAACCAATACCCCATGTCTTTTCATTTATACTGGTTTTTTAATATTTTGAAACCACATAAATATACTCTATATCCTCAGTGAGCCTCTCTAATTACTAACTTCATCATGAGCTTTATAACAACTACCTGATATTCCAGAGGTGTTTTTTTAAAAAATATAATTCATAATTATCAATTCTCAAATAAGCAAATATATTTAATACCTAATTAATATTAAATACTATATACTACATACGGCTTTCTTAAGTGCCTAGGATGGAACAAGATATGGAATAAACTATGGTATTTATTATCATTTATTGTGTGGTAATGGTTAGTACTTTTAGCTTTCTATCCTCAATAACAAAGTTTGGAGGCTTAACATTAATCCTATACTTTTTTTTCAACAAAAAATTAAAAGATGGCAATAATGTTTGGGGAAAACAAATTTAAAAACACTAGAAAATAATAAATTAATTGAAAAAAAAGATAGCAGTACTTTTGCCATCTTATGCCTATAAGCAATAGTGTAACCATTACCCATAACTTTATATGCCATATTTTTGGTAGAGGGAAGGATAATTTGTACAAGATGGCAGGAATTCTTTCTTTTAAAGGCTTTCTTTCGAACCCATTTCCATGAACCACACAATTGTTACCACCAGGTGGAGGTAGAACGCCATGCTGTTCCACCCCGTTTGGTACTCACAGACATTCAAAATCCCTTTGCAACAAATTACATTCTTGAAAAGAAATCTATATGCTGAAATAAAATCTGAAGTAAAGAGCAACTTTTTGACCAAGGTGATGAATAATGTGTACTCAATATTTTATAACCCTGATCACATTTAAGCAAACAAAAACCAAACGCATTTTTTTTCTATAAGAAGAATATATAAATAGATTAAACAAGCCTGTATACAATTTCGCTTAATATGGACCAGTATCTGTACTATATTCTAACAAAACAGTGAAAGAAGCTGTTCATTAGAACTGTGAATCAGAAGAATTTTAAAAACATAGGTATTACATTTTTATAGTTCCATATATTTACACTAGAGGGCGGGTGAATAAAAATTCATGCACTGGAGTAGGAGGAGTCCCTCAGCCCAGCCTGCCCCCTCTCATAGCCCAGGAGCCCTCAGGGAATGTCCTACTGATGGTTTAGGCCTGCAGTCTGGCCTCCCTCTGTGGGAGGCAACTGGGCCAATCAGGGAAAGGCGCTGCCCCCATCACCCCGCTGCTGCTGCTGCCACTGATGCAGCTTTGTCCAGAAGGACATCCTGAAGACATCTGGTTTATGTGATCTAATTAGCATAATACCCTTTTATTAGTATAGATATTACATCCATATAGTTCAGTATTTATTAACAGCATATAGTAAAAAGTCTTTTTCCCAAAACTGTCCTCCAGCCACTCAGTTCTCATGCCCAGTCTTATGTATTCTTCCAGAACAATACAAAGTCTACCACCACGTGCTCCTTTTAAAAAACAAATAATAGCATTCTTGTATAGAGCACACCTTGCTTTTTCTCCCAAAAAACATATCTGGGAAGTTTTCGTCAGTAAAGAATACCCTCACTGGTTTTACAGATGCATCTTAGTCCCACTGTACAGATATAAGAAAATGTATTTAAACAGATCCCTACTGATAGATATTTAGGTAGTTTTCAACCTTTTACTACTGTTAACAATCCTATATAATAAATCCTATATAATAAAAGGTTAATATGCAAATTGACCAGTGAAACGACCGGTTGCTATGACATGCACTGACCACCAGGGGGCAGAAGCTCGATGCAGGAGCTGTCCCCTGGTGGTCAGTGCACCCCCACAGGGGGAACGCCACTTAAAAGCTGGGCAGTGTGGTGGCAGGAGCCTCTCCAGCCTCCGTGGCAGCGCTAAGGATCCTCCAAGGGGTCCTGGACTGCGAGAGGGTGCAGGCCGGGCTGAGGGACCTCCCCGACCCCAGTGCACAAATGTCGTGTACCAGGCCTCTAGTGTACAATAAAAAACCCTGTATGTCATTCCCAATATGTATTATTATATGTGCAAGATTAATTCCTAGAAGTAGAAATGTAAGGCAAAGGTCATGAACATTTCTAACTTTAATAGATATTGCTTAATCAACTTCTATAGAAATAACATGTCAAATGTGAAGCAAATAAGAAAATAAAATTAAATTATAGGTACAGTAATTTGTTTTTCTATCAATGAATGTAAAATAATTTTTGCTATTTTGGTACTCTGGTCTTCTTATTACAAAACCCTACTGACACTTGGATCAGAAAGCTCAACCTTCTCCCAAGTACAGACATAATTCTCCAAAAGTTATAAAAGCTATAGAAACAAAGACACTTTCTTTTTCTCAACCTTTACTCATCAGTATCTTTTAAGTAATATGGACTACGTCATATCGTTCAAACAACTTATGGATCTTACCATAAATACAAATTTCTAAAATAACATTATAGTTAGTATACCCAATTTATGGGCTTTATTATAATAATTTAAGTATAATAATGTACCATCTATAAATTTTCACATTTTCATAAGGGTTAATCAAGAATTTCTAGGGTTAAAAAAGTTATCCTCAATGAAAAGAAATGAAATTAATCTTCTTATTGATAGTATGATTAACCAACTACATCGCCTACTGTCATCACAAAATGCTATAGTTAACCAAAGTACTGTACCTTGTAATGGGTGCTTGCAAATCCAATACTTTCCTCATCTCTAAAGTTAATGCGGGAGCACACTGTTCTTCCTTAAAATGGGGTGTCCCCTTCATTTGTGGGCTTCCTCTAAAGCATAGCAAAGATAAAGAATTAAAGAAAAAGAAATTGAATTCTTATTCACTCTTTAATATATACCCAATTAAATAAAGTAAACTTAATCAGACTTTTAAATCAGGTGTTCATTCTGTAGGTTCTCAGTTGAAAAGCAGACCTACATTCTACTATAGCAGACATATCTGTTTCTCAATTAGAAACAAATGCGTTTGACTGATGTAAGTTGTGTTGGAGAGGTGGGAGTGAAGGGAGAACAAAGAATCTTAAGAAAAAACACAAGATAAAAGTGAGCTCACAAGAGAACAGAGATTTTGTTTTAATTATCTGATGGCCCTTACTGAGATGAGCAACTATGGGAAGACATACACCATTCTATATAGTGCATGTCCAAAGTGATCCAAATCCTTGCCTCATCTTACCTTACTCCATAACTCATCCTTCACTTCTATCCTTTGGGTATGTATTAGAATTCAGTTCAATTCAGGGATGCAATTAGATGTTTCACAAAACACTTGGTAATAAATAGCAAAATGGCTAAATTTGAAAATTTTGTGGCATTAAATGACTGCAACTAGAGTGCTGAATCAATATCAACATAACCAAGCTGTTCCATGCAGCCACTTAAAAGGATTATAAAACTGCCCTGGAATCCTTATCTCCACATGGCATAGGACCATCTTTCTCAATGCCTGTGCTGGAATTTAATAGCTGTCTCTTTTCTTACTATCAGCTATCACGTACTCTTGGCAACAATTAGCCTGCCTAAGTCATCTCTCTTTTTCTAGTCATCGATAATCCTGGAAACCAATTTGTTAATACTGTTAAAACTATGTGCAAGGAATCTAACAAGAGCAATAGCTTCCAAAGTACTTCACTTTGTGAAAATTACTTTGATGCTCAGAAAGCTTCTTGCTTACTTTTTGAACTCAGATTATTTTCCATATAGAAGCTTGGTGACAATCTAATGACTGATGTGCTTAGTTTAGGTCTGGAAAATGTATGTTTTATTTCCTTAATATACTAATGAGGTTCTCCAGTTCTGTTCTCTTTTTCTGGAACTCCTATTAGGTTAGATATTGAAGCTTAAATTAACTTCTAATTTTCCCTTGACTTTGTCTTTTGTTCTATATCCTGAACTATTTTTTCCAATTCTTTTATATTTGCTTATTATACTTTTTATTCCAGGAACTTTCTCACCCACCTCCCCTTTTTACTTATAGCACCCATGGTTTTCTGTTGTTTTAATTAGTATCTGAGGTTGTTTATCATTTCCTCAAAGTGTTTTTGTTTCCTGCATTGCCTATTTTCTTTGAGTTTCCCTTTTTTCTAATGCCTCTTTTTTAAATTGGCCACTTTCCTAAAATGGCTAACAATCTTTGGCTATTAGTTAACAAGAACAAGTTAACAAGAACAAGCTAATTATAAGCTCTGTGTGTTCAAGCTGGGTTTGAATTTTAAAGCAAATTTAGGTAAACCCTGGCTTTTCAATTTTAGAAAAGCAATAGCATGTTTGGGTTGGTAGAAAGGAAATGAGTTAGGTTTAGACGTGATGAACTTGACATTGCCTAGAGATACATCTAAATGGATATAGCCTGCAAGGTGGGCCTGAAGCTCAAGAAAGTGGTACTGCATTAAGGAAAAATTAAAATGTAGAACAGAACAGAACAAATAACAAAACCCTAGGGAATAAAGCATAATTTAGGTACTATATAGTAATCTTAAGGTTTTGATTTATACTTAATGAATAACATCTTTAAGAAGTAGATGAAATTAACTCGTTTTCAGATGAGTAAAATAAAACTCAAATAAAAGACAGCAACATGATTAATCCTGAAAGCTAAGGAAAGCCACTGAAACATTTTATGTACGGAAATGGCATGTAAATTTTATGTCAGCAAATTCATTTAGGGGAAAACTATAAAGATGGTTTAAGAAGATATTACAGCAATCCAAGAGAAAGCTAAAACTAAAGTAGTGTTGCTAGGAGAAGGAAACACCATACAGATTACATCCAAGGAAAAACACACAGGATGCACAGAAGGTGGAATAGAGGGGACTTGCTACACACTGGCTAGTAGAGCCATGAGGCAGACAGAACAAATAAAATCAAGTAAATGGTGGTGTCATTTACAGAAAAAGGAAACTGGCCATAGGCTTTCCTGGGATTAAGTTACTTAAAAATAAGAATGAATTTTTTTTACACTTAAAAAATTTCTCCCTTCTGATTTTTCAACTATAATAGACAGACCTAAAACTTATTTCAGTAATATCTTTCAGAATACTCTTCCCTGGGTGTATGTTTTATTTCCTCACCTCTGAGATCTTTTTAAATGTTATGTCTCAGTGAAGATCGTGACCACTCTATTTCGAGTTGTGTCCCCACTCACTACCCCTTGCCCTGCTTTATTTTTCTTCATAGAATGTATCTCATTTTCAATTTATTTTACTTATTTGTCCCTGTCTACTAGAAGAACACAGCTCTCTGCATAGTTTTTGCCATCCCCACCCCCTTTGTTTCACTGCTGCATCCCTAGTACCTATAATAGTCATGGAGCTTGGAAAAAATTCCATACTTAAACAGAGATGGATGCATGACAATAAGTTTTCAGAAAGAGATAGGCACCCTTATCACCAGGCCTTTATATATTATGTGTGTGTTTTTAAAAAAGCTTTTTGTTTATATTATTACACATCCAGACAGCCTTCAATCTGATAAGAACCATATGCAGGGCTCTCTGAAGTGGGCAGATCTTTGAACACTTCTATCATTCTTTGGGTTTAGGTGCCAGTCTTTTTTTTTTTTTTTTAAATATATTTTATTGATTCCTTCACAGAGAGGAAGGGAGAGGGATAGAGAGTTAGAAACATCGATGAGAGAGAAACATCGATCAGCTACCTCCTGCACACTCCCCACTGGGGATGTGCCCGCAACCAAGGCACATGCCCTTGACTGGAATCGAACCTGGGACCCTTCAGTCCTTAGGATGACGCTCTATCCATTGAGCCAAACCGGCTAGGGCTTAGGTGCCAGTCTTATATCTGTGATCAACAAGATATTTATACAATAACATCCCTAACAATATTATTAGTAAGAGCTCATGCAATTATGAGGTAAGCTAATGGATACATAAAATGTACAAAGTTCAGCTAATGGTTGCACATGTACATTAACAGAATACATACATATTGAAATCAAAGTACATTTTGATGTTTTGATAAGATCAAGGAAATAAAAGAAAAGCAGTTAGTTTATTCGCCAGAAAATTAACACTAAAAAAAAAATGTTGAGGGAAACTTTCACATTTATAACTAATTCATACCTCCTTTCTCCTCTAAACTTGATGTAATTTAGTACGTTTCTGGATTTTTGAAAAAGTTGTGTTAAGGTTAGAAACCTCAAGCCTTGATTAGTTATCCTTTTCTTGCTTTCCACCTAGCACTAATTCATTAACAGTCTGCTAAATTCTCAAAATCTAATGAAATATACTGGAGTGGGGGACAGGAAGTTTTGATAGTTGTTTTAGAGATAATATTTACATTTTAAATATTTGATAATTAAATGTACTGAAGTTTAGAATGTACAATTTTTTTTAAAAAAGAACTTTGGCATCAATAGACTAGTCTTTTAAAAATATGAGGTTAACAGTAGAAGTGGAAAGATGAATAAGGGGGGAAATATCTGCATTCATGCAGGTAACATATTTGTTAAAATTATTTTCATTATAATGAAATAAATCTGATTTGCAGTTTCAAGATCTACTAAACTCATATTTAAGGATAAATACATCAATATATTCTAAAGCTAAACACACATTTATTTTCTGATTTATCCCTGGCAATTTCTTTTATTAATTTCACTGCAAGCTGCAAGATATAACAAAGAAGCCAGACGACTTTCAGTAGATAAGTCTATCCATAGTCTGAAGGGATAGTTTAATATACAGCAGAATTTATAAAGACACAAAAGATAACAGCGAAACATTCATTAATCAAAGAATAAATGAACTTTGAGGCATAAAAAGTCATTTAATAAGACTGCTATCATTGTTGAAGGCTGACTCCCAACTCTTGCTGGAAACAGCACTCTGGAAACTACGAAAAGATCACGGAGGCATCTGACCTGTCTCAGGTGGAGCACACTGGAAAATGACATGCGGTCTGAGTTAAGATGCTGTCACATAATACTGGGAAGCGGAGGTACTCTAGAAAAACTCAAGTGATGGACTCGTAAGATTTAGAGCACAGAAACAAGAGACAATAGTTTCTATAACTGAGAAGACAACTACTAACTATTGGCCTCGATTATGATGCTTCTATTCTTCAGAACTATAATAAACCATTCCAGATCATTTCTCCTCTTTTTTATTTCCTATTTTCCAAATAAATCCTAAAGTAGACAGTTAGATAGGCATAAATATAGTTTAGGCAATGTAGTATTAGTAATAAAGAGCACAGACTTTGAAGATACAACAATTATGTCTGAGTCCTGTGCCACTTACTAGTGTGACTATGAATGAGTCACTTGGCCTCTCTCTCCATCTCTGCTGTGGTTTGCAGAGTAACTGTACCTAACTACCTTGCAAGATTGTTACAGGGATTAAATGAACTTGAAAAAGTGCGTAGAATAGCATCTTGAACTGCATGAATATTTACAATGACACAAATGATGACAATGATACACTGTCAAAAATAAAACATTTCTGCCTGGCTTGAATGGCTCAGTGGTTGAGCTTCAACCTATGAACCAGGAGGTCATGGTTCGAGTCCCAGTTAGGGCACATGCCCAGGTTGCAGGCTCCATCCCCAGTAGGGGGTGTGCAGGAGGCAGCCTATCAATGATTCTCTCTCATCAATGATGTTTCTATCTCTCTCTCTCCCCCTCTCCTTCCTCTCTGAAATCAATGAAAATATTTTTTTTTTAAGTAAAACATTTCTAAAACCCTCCTTAAACCAATATATGAGCCACCATTTTCCAGGCTTTAAAAACCTGAAATTATATAATCCTCCAAACAATTGAAGAAGAAAGTATTTTTATTTCAATTTTACAAATAGGTTCTGCAGAAAAACTACCAACTCAGACTAAGTAACTCAACTAAAAAAGTGGTTTAAAACGCAAATACACAACAGGCTGACTCTAAGTCCTCGCATTCACTTTGCTCTGCAAAACTGTTTCCCTGTAAGAGATTTTTAGAAAGTTTATGCAGCAGTTACTAAGAGTATAACTCTGGGGAAAAAGTACCTTATTATCCAGCCAAATATAAAAAAATAAGCAATTACTTAATACATGGTATATATTATATAAAACCACTTAAAATATCACAAATGAAGTAAGAATTTGGTGAAGGAAAAATACATTAGTGATAACAGCAGCTATCCTTTATTAATTTTCCCATGAGCAGGGCACTTATCTGAACATTTAATATGCATGATCTCACTTAATCCTCGGAAATAATTACTACTGTGATCTCGTTCTATGGATGAGGAAATAGGTTTTGGAGGTATTAAATAACCAAATAGGAGTCATACAGCTGAACAGAGGCAGAGCTGACATTTAATTCCAGGTCTATCTGATGCCAAAGCCTGTTCCTTTAACCACTAGTGATTCATGCTGCTCTAAGGTTATACACATTTTATTGAGCTCATGTACTCAAACTGAAAATCCCAATATGATATGTGAAAGAACACTCAAATGAAAACTAAAAACAATGCTCTTTATTAGTTCTCTAGACCAACATACACAGTCAAATATAGCCAAGTTCATGCACTGTCAGGACTACTAATTAGTTAAGTGGCCTCCCCCCAAGTCTTAGAAACAGAACGCAAGAAATTCTAAAACTTTTCTGGAACACAAAAGTGATTTTTAAAATACTATTCCAAAACACTGTATATGTATATATGTAAGTCATGTTTGTGAGTTGGAATAAAGAAAACAGTATTTTTCACTGTTTCAAGACCCAGCCCAATTATCCTATCTAATAAAGAGTGAATATGCTAATTGACCCTCACACCATTGAAAAGATGGAGGCACCCACAGCCAATTAGGAGGGAATATGCTAATTTACTGCCCCGCCCTCAAAGATGGCGGCACCCAGTCCCCTCAGCCCTGCCGGGGCACCTGCCTCCGGAGTCCCCCAGTCCCCTCAGCATCCCAGGGCCGGCCCAAGGTGCAGGCAAGCCTCAAATATTGGCTGTCCAGCCGCCCAGGGCTGCCCGAAGTGCAGGTAACCAGGGCCGGCCAAGGCCTGCGCTACCAGCAGTGGCAGCAGCAGAGGTGAGATGGGGCATCGACTTCCCCTGACTGCCAGGTCACCTCCTGCCCCTGAGGGCTCCCGGACTGTGAGAGGGGGCAGGTCAGGCTGAGGGACACCTCCTTCCAGTGAATGAATGTTCATGCACCGGGCCTCTAGTAATAGTATAAATGACTAGAGGCCTGGTGCACAAAGTTCATGCACAGGGGACGGGTCCCCTCAGCCCAGTCTGCACTCTCTCCAATCCGGGACCCTTCAGGGGATGTCCGACTGCCTTCAGGGGATGTCCTGGGGATCGGGCCTAAACCGGCAGTCAGACATCCCTCTCACAATCCTGGACCGCTGGCTCCTAACTGCTCACCTGCCTGCCTACCCTGTTGCCCCTAACTGCCCCCCCACCGCCAGCCTGGTCACCCTTTACTGCTCCCCCTGCTGGCCTGGTCACCCCCAACTGCCTCCCTCTGCCAGCCTGGTCACCTCACGCAGCCTGCTGTTCAGTCATTTGGTTGTCCCTCACTAACCCCCCTGCCAGCCCGGTCACCTGACACAGCCTGCTTGTTCAGTTGTTTGGTCATCCCTCACTAACCCCCCTGCCGGCCTGGTCGCCTCACGCAGCCTGCTTATTCAGTCGTTTGGTCGTCCCTCACTATCCCCACTGTTGGCTTGGTCGTAGGCCGCCACCTTGTGAGTGTGTGAGGATTAATTTGCATATTACCTCTTTATTATATAGGATTACAGTTAAGTTCAGATTATCCTGATTATTGCTTTTTATTGACAGGAGCATGTCTAAAGTGGACTTGGATGCAGTAGCTTAAAATGCACAAGTAAATGACATGTTAGACACTGATTACAAGTTTTTCATAAAATTCACAAAATTACTACTTAGAATGAAAAAATAATAAGCTTTATATTTAAAATTTATAAATATATCAACTACCTATTACAATGTCCATCTTAACATTATACTTTTTCTGCCAAAAGGTCTTTGCATTGAAGATTTTTATTGAAAAATAATCAAATTAAATTCCATCATCAAAAGAATTTGTTCTTTTCAAAAGATTTCCAAAACTCAGAAAAGCTCAATTAACACTTTATTTCTTACAAAAAGAAGTGAACTAACAGCATCAAGGAAAATCTAATTTCCTAAAACCTATGAGCTACATGATGTATGTTAGCCTTTCCCAAAATATATTCTCAAGAATATTAACAAATGTTATTTGAACAAACACTTTCACAATGCCATTTTTTAAAAATTGTGGCCTTTTTGTTTTAGATTTTCAAATACATGGATTATTATTTTTTTTTTTTACCACAGTAAATATAAAAAATTTTGGAAAGTTCAAGAGTTGAAAGAAGCTGGAAAATCACTATAGTTTTACCATTTAGGAGCAATAACAATATATGTATTGTTCCAGCATTTTTCTTTAGATGATTTTTTATGTTGTTTTTGTTTTTTTTTTTACAAAGTAGTGGTCATATTACGTATATAATTTTGTATGACTTGTTTCTTCACTAGGTATTATATGATCAGATTCTCAAGTTTTAAGTTTTTCTGAGACATGATATTTAATGATGCATATTATTTTAGGAGAATGTACCACAGTTGACTCCCACCTTTGTGTATATCTACTAAAAGCGTGCAAAATACATTTTACCATTCTTCCACAACTATTTTTATATACTGAAGTGTGTCTTTTAAAACTGTTATAATAATGTTTTGCTTTGAGTTACTGTTTAGAGTTACTAATGCAGGTTAATTATATTTTCCCTTTTGAGATTGCTTTTGCTTATTTATCTTTCGAAACTCTGTGTTACTTAGCAATTTATATGGCTCCTTTATAAAAAGAGTAAGCTTTGGTCCTATTTACTGCAAAATTTTTCAGTTTGTTACTTGCCCTTTTAATGTTCTTTTTCCCCCTATTCTCAGAAATATAAATTTTCACATAATAAAATCAATTTTCCCTTTAATTTCTTATATACACGATAAACTTTGGCTGTCTTCCACCACTTAGAAATGAGATATTTATCTATATTTTCATACACATTAATGACTTGATCTTTTTTAAAAGATATTTTTCTTTAAAATTATATGTTCTTTTATTTCTAAAGTTCTTTCAATAAAACATTCTTTCACTTCAAAAGTAAGGTTAAAAAAAGGTAAGAAGCCCTAACCCAGCCGTGGGCAAACTACGGCCCGCGGGCTGGATCCGGCCCGTTTGAAATGAATAAAACTAAAAAAAAAAAAAGGCCGTACCCTTTTATGTAATGATGTTTACTTTGAATTTATATTAGTTCACACAAACACTCCATCCATGCTTCAGTTCCGGCCCTCCGGTCCAGTTTAAGAACCCACTGTGGCCCTCGAGTCAAAAAGTTTGCCCACCCCTGCAACTGGTTTGGCTCAGTGGATAGAGCGTCGGCCTATGGACTGAAAGGTCCCAGGTTCGATTCCAGTCAAGGGCATGTACCTTGGTTGCGGGCACATCCCCAGTGGGGGGTGTCCTGGAGGCAGCTGATCGATGTTTCTCTCTCATCGATATTTCTAACTCTCTATCCCTCTCCCTTCCTCTCTGTAAAATATCAATAAGATATATTAAAAAAAGAAAAGGTAAGAAAACAATGCAAAATATACAGAATAACATAGTTTAAAGATCAAAGTCCACGTTCCCTCAAATTCTTTTCTATTCATATACAAAAATATATACACAAGAAAAAGTGACCTTTCAACTTACTTAAAACATTTCACCTTTCCCCCTATGGTCTTTTAGCAGCTCCTTGATAAGGATGGGAGAATGCTAGAACTGGAGTATATTAATAGTAATTCTGATTGTCTAAGAAGGGATATAGTACATTCACCCAAGGTTCTCAGACTTATTTAACTACAGAATTCTTTACTCAAGTAATGACAGTTCAAAGACCTGGTAATTTTTTAAACACTATTTTGGAAATACTAGCTTAGCTTATTTTAATCACTTCAGACAACCCAGAATTGTAATGTTTTTGTAAATTCAAAGTGTACATATCAAATATTAAAAGAATGAAAGATGAACTTACTTGGGATACACTGGTTCATAAAGGTATTTGTCCCCTCTTGTAGATGTAATATGAAAAAACAAGATGTAGCCATTTGCCGTCTGAAAGATAAATTTTATTTAAGACTATGAGAACCAGGAGAATCACACAATAATCACTTCCGAAACAGTTCTGTCATACCAAGATGAAGGGAAATAATGAGATGAATGTGTACTGGGTACAGAATTGCACTGCTCTGCAAGTTGCTATATTCCACTCCTTTAGAAAAGTGCTCTCAGCTGTTATTTGGTGATTCAATACTTTAACATGCTGGGAGGGAAAAATATCACAATGAAACAAAGAAATTCTAAAGTAAATTGACATCTTTCCTTTATTCCCAAACAAATTACATTCTAATTCATGTTACAGTGACTCTCAAGTTGCAGTGGAACAGACTTCCATTTAGAAGGGTGTGAAGGGGAGTATTAAAGGTAGCAGTGGGAAACAGAGTTGGAATGGCAGGTTGGGGCCAGATCACAGGAGACCCTGAATACTAGGCTAAGCAGTTTGCAACGTATTTTGTATGCAATCAGAAGCCAATGCAAGATTTGAAAATAATAATGTAAGAGCTGTGACTTAGCTATACATAATTAAGATGCATTTCAAGTGGAGAAAAATACTAGCTAAAAGTTTTGAGTTCTAGGCAATCTACACAAAACATAAAAACGGCCTCTATTAAGGTCATGGCAATGAGAATAAAGAGAAAAGGATGATAGTAAACTAGAGATAGGACTTAGCAGCATATTGGTGACTAGATGGGAATGCAGAATCAAAAGATGCCAGAGTTTTTTCCTATTATAAGCAAGGTTACAATGAAAATACACATATGCCTAAATACACCAGTGCTATTCTGGCTGGTATGGCTCAGACAGTTGGAGCGTTGTCCCATACACCAAAAGGTGGTGGGTTTGATTCCTGGTCAGGGCACATACCTCAGTTTCTGGTTTGATTCCCATCAGTGTGGGTATGGGAGGCAACCGATTGATGTTTCTCACCCACATCAATGTCTGTCTCAATCTCTCTCAAATAAAAAAACACAAAATAAAATAAATAGATAAATACAATGGTGTTAGTATTTGTCAGATATAATCATAGAAATGAAGAGAGTACTTAAAATTGATTTCAATGCTCTTTGTGCCTGAATATCTATTCGTTGTTTAAAATTTAGAAAAACTGCCCTAGCTGGTTTGGCTCAGTGGATCAAATGTCGGCCTGTGGATTGAAGGGTCCCGAGTTCGATTCTAGTCAAGGGCACAAGCCTGGGTTGTGGGTTCGATCCCTAATGGGGAGTGTGCAGGAAGCAGCCAATCAATGATTCTCTCTCATCATTGATGTTTCTATCTCTCTCTCCCTATCCCTTCCTCTCTGAAATCAATAAAAATATTTTTAAAAAAAGTTTAGAAAAACATTAGGAATAATTATGGCCCGCCGTAATAACTTGGAACCCTCAAGTAAACAGTTAATTCATAATGAATATATTTCATGTCACAGATTAAGAAAATGTACAATACATTTGAGGAAAAAGGACCATTAAAATTAGTAAAGCTTCAGAATCCAATTACACTTTGGTTACCAGGAAAGTTCACTTATCCAGTACCCATTCCATGGTAGCATTTATTTTTATTATACCTTGATAGATTATTTTTTAGTATAAATGGCTATTTGCAAAAAGTGGCTGCTTTGCTGAACGGGTAATACAAAAATATCAGTGAACCTTCTCAATTATTACCATACTAGAGGCCCAGTGCACGACATTCGTGCACTGGGGAGTGTGGGGGTCCCTCAGCCCAACCTGTACCTTCTCCAATCTGGGAGCCCTCAGGGGAGCCCTCTCCAATCCGGGAGTTTCTGTCTGTCTTTGCAATCATATGAACAAATTGTCTGAGACCCCAACTCAGTTTGGTTTGTTGCTCACAGAATAATAGAGGCATTTTTTTTTCTCTGCTTCATTGGTGGAGATTTCCTGGAAGTTTTAGGATATCTTCCCTTTAATTTTTCGTAGACACTCTGACTTTACTTACGTCTCTCACCTTTGCTTTCCCTCCATCCCCCACCGCAACAGTAACTTGCTCCAGGCTCACTTTCTCTAGAGTCTAGGACAGTGGTTCTCAACCTTCCTAATGCTGCGACCCTTTAATACGCCGGGTACTCGTATGTGGGCGTATCTGCATGTGGGCGGACCTGCCTGGAGATGGATAGAGGAGCGGTGTCTCGGTTCCTAAGACCATCGAAAATGTTTTCCGATGGTCTTAGGCTACTCCTGTGAAAGGGTCGTTTAACCCCCAAAGGGGTCGCGACCCACAGGTTGAGAACCGCTGGTCTAGGAGCTCCATGTGCCACCAGAACTATGATTCCCAGCATTCCTGGTGCTACCCGTGCTCTAGGCTTCTGCTTCAGGTCCTGGGGCTGCCACCAGAACTACTATTCCCAGAATTCCTGGTGCTCCCCACACTCTTGGTTTTCCCTTCCTACTCTGTCTCCATCCCATGGCCTCCCATTCTGCCAAGTCCTCCAAGCCGCTCCACTCTCTGCCGGCTCTCCCGCTCTGCTCTCGAACCGGCAGCTTGGGGGGAGTGACCAAGAAAGCCACATCCCCACACGCCGCCAGCTCTCTCGCTCTGCTCTCCACCCAGTGCTGTGTATGCAAATTAACCCACCATCTTTGTTGGGTTAATTTGCATACTCACTCCTGATTGGCTGATGAGCGTAGGAGAGATGGTCAATTTACATGTTTCTCTTTTATTATATAGGACTAGAGGCCCAGCGCATGAAATCGTGTGGGTAGGGTCCCTAGGCCTAGCCTCCTGTGATCAGGGCCATCTTCTGCCCGCTCGCCAGTCCCCAGGCCAAATGCCACCTCCGCCACAGGGCTGTCAGGCCAGTGGGATCACCAGTTCATCCCCGGCTGCTCGGGGGCTCAGGCCTGCAGGAAAGCGTGTGCCGGTGACTTCACCTCCATGTGCGTGCGCCAGGCCGGCCGCTGATGGAAAGCGCTGCCTGCTCGGGGCAGCTCACGTGGGCACCGCTGCTGCTGGAGCTTGAGGTGCTGATGGAAGCTGAGGGGCGCGCCCGTGACCTACCCACCCTGGCGTGAGCAGCCCTGAGCGGGCAGCATGTTCCATCAGCAGCCAGCCAGTGCACGTGCATGGAGGTGAAGTTGCCGGCACCTGCTTTCCTGCAGGCCTGAGCCTCTGAGCAGCCGGGGATGAACTAGTGATCCCAACAGCCTGACAACCAGCCCAGTCCTCACGCCACCCACCCCGATTCCCCTGTTCACCATCACTGATCCATCAGAGCCTGCCAGCCGAGGTAGGGACCAAGAGATCAGCCAGTCAGCCAGCTCGCCAGTCCCCAGTCCCGCCCCATCCGTCACTTGTGGGATGGGGGGTAAGGACTGCGAAGTGGTCAATGCCACCTCATGGCAACTGGTCGAGCAGTCGTTCCGGTCATGACGCTTATGGCCTCTGGCCTTTTATTATATAGATAGATAATGATTCTTCTGCATTAGTCTACATTATAATGTAAGAAATAAAAACTTAACAATCTCTTTTGTAGGCAGAGGCAAATAAGTTGAACAGGTAAAAATGGTTTACTTTAAGTTAAGTTTCTGGGTTCTGGTGAGATGGAAAGACAGTGGACACATTTTTAACCTTTTCCTTCTCAGAGTACATTTACCAAAATGTGTGTGGATGGGCCTGGAGGATGCTCTTGAGTTCCCATGGGGGAAAATGGGTGCCGAGGGACCAGGATGAGGGAAAGTTCTGCTTTGCCACTCCTCGAGGCTCTGGTTCCCTAAGTAAGCCTTAAAAGCAGAAGCCCAGGGCTGAATGTGACTGCTCCCAGAAGTGGATATTGACAGAGCTGTCCACATAATCCCATGACTCCAGCCAGCATAGAGGTTGCACTGGTGAACCACATTGCTCCCAGACCTCAGGGTCTGGAGGAGCCTTCCGTTTAAGGTCCTTCAACTAGGAGAAACTGCCTGAGAGTAGAGGAGACTCATCCTAAGCTTCAACACAGAAGAAGAGTTTGTAAGCTGTCTGCCTCTGCAAACTGAAATTTGAGCTAACACCTGCTGGTTTGCATGGCCAGAGAGACCCACAGGAAAGCCTGACCTCTATGGGTGGCAAACAGAACGCAAGAAAGGAAAATTCCGCTTTATGAGAGCTCAGTAACTTTATAATGGAAGACCTAACTACATGGCTAAAATATATGGATCCCACTAATGAGTTACATAGATGAGAGAGAAAAATGCAAGTAAATTAAGAAAAAAGATATTTAGGATTTTCAAGAGATATTATTAGAAGATAAGAGTTTTCAGAGCTAAATATTTCCTAATAGAAAAATTCAACAGATGAACTGAAAAAGAGTAATTATTTTTGTGGGAGATGAACCTTTTACTCCAGAAGATTAAATGGAAACAATCTCAGAATATATAAAGATGAAATAATTACTGAAAGTTTAGAGACTTGGAGGGGAAATTTGGGAGGTTTGCAAATAGTGAGTAAAAAATCAAGAAATAACATAGGACAGGGCAAATCTTGTTCTATTCTTCTATTATTTAAAAAAAAATAGAAGAAAAATTGCCTATCTGCAGAAACAGTTGAGTCTTCAGAGAGAAGAGGCTGAGATTGAGTTTTAAGGGGGGGAGGGTGAGGCTGTAGAAGGAGACAGAGGGAGATAGTTTAATTAAAAAAATCTATTGATAATAAGCAGAGATGACTAAATTTTAATGATAAAGAGAAAAATCATTCAGAAAAAAAGAACAGGTTGCCTGCAAAAGAAAAAGAATCAGATTAGCACTAGACCTATCATCACTAACACTGGAAAACAGAGGGCATTAGAACAGTATCTCATGGCTGGAAAAAAAGAATCTCAATCTAAGAATCTTATACTGAGACAGGATATCCTTTACCATGGTTGAAGAATGGTATGTTTAGACATTACTTATTTCATTTAATCTGTGAAGGACTACCATATGTGCAGAAAATGCTCCTGGCACTGGAGCCACAATGAAGAAACCTAACATGGAACTAGGTTTGAAAAATAAACAAACACAGGC